CACCTCTAGGCTATGCACCATTCATCATCATCTTTTAACTCCCTTAACGCCTGTCCTGCTTAGCGACAGAAACATTGAGCTCAGCTGTGTTTAACTAATTTAATCAACCTCAGTGATTCACTTAACAAACGTGGCAAGAAAAGCCATGTAAAATGGGGCAAAATTCACTCAAGAAATGTCTGGAAATTTTGGAACCCGTTGTGGTCGTAAGTGGAGGACTCTGGAAAAGCAAAAAGGGGAAATGGCTCCCAACTTTTCTTTGATACAAATATATTCGGTTCAGTTTTGATGCCCCCCCCTTGTCAGATACACGCTGTAGTTAAGTCCTCGGAGATAGGGCGGCATATAAATTGCATTAAATAAATAAATAAGTGATGATTTTTCTCTCTTCTTAAGGCGTTTTCTGGATCTGGGAACAGGTTGGATGGAAAAAAGAAGGGAGTCGATCCAAGCCCGTCCCCAATTAAACCAGAAGATATTCGACGGTTAGTTGGGCCTTTCTTTTTTTTTTTTTTACTTCCACCACAATTCCCTCAGATCGTTTGCTGTTTTTTTTTTCTGGTGGTCTGGTTTTCCTCATCGCTTGTTTTGTTTAGGCCTAGTTCAGCGGTCTGCAACCCTTAAACACTCAAAAGAGCCATTTAGACCCATTTCCCACAGAAAAGAAAACACCGGGAGCCACAAAACCTGGGTGGGCGTGGCCAACTCGATGTCACTCACTCCCACCCAGTCACATGACCCCTTCCCTAGCCACGCCTACCCAGCTGGTCATTAGGGCAGAGAACCGGTTGTTAAGAAACACCGGGAACCACAAAATCCTTTTGACATCTCTCTCTTTCTCCCTCTCTCTCTTTATCTCTCTATGTCTCTCTCTGGGTAATGTAGGACCCAGTTTGTGGGGGCAATAAGCTGACTTTGTATAAATATACAAAAATATGAAGGCTATTGCTTAACGCATTGTAAGCCGCCCTGAGTCTCCGGAGAAGGGCGGCATATAAATCAAATTTAAAAAATAATAATAATGAAACATCTGCCAGAAAACAACCAAATTCAGAGACCAAGACCTTATTTCAAGCCTGAGCTACAACTATTTTTCTCCATCGTTACGCTTATTATTAGTTGTATTGGTTGGCTGATATGGATGGGCTGAAGAAAGACATGATGGCTAACCTTTTTGCCGTTGTGTGCCAAAAGCCGGGGGAGTGTGTGGGGGGGTGGTCAGGCACGCACATGCCCATATCCATACTTCAATTCCTCCACATGCCCCACCCCCACATATGAGCACTCAACCCCCTCGCGCGACTCCCACTTTTGGCACACAACGGGTAAAAGGTTATTGGTGGGCCTGATAGGCCTGTTTTTTGCCCTCCCCAGCCTCCAGAGACTTTCTTGGAGGCTGGGGAGGGTGAAAACAGCCTTCCCCCCCCTTGGAGGCCCATCTGGGCCCACTTCCCAACTTCTGGTGGGCCCAGAAGGCCCGAAAACCAGCTGGCTGGTTCACACATGCATGCTGGAACTGAGCTAGGCCAACACTCGAGTGCCCACAGATATAGCTCTGCGTGCCACCTGTGGCACGCATGCCATAGGTTCGCCATCACGGACATAGGAGATGTCATTTGTTCATCTGATCAAGTACTGAGACTAGTGGGACAAGCAGAAGAGCTAAAAAGGCAAACACAATAAGCAAAACTGTGTAAGAAATTGTGAAATAGGAGATTTGGAAAAACTAGAAGAAAACGTAAGTTAGGAAAGAGAATGCCTGAAAGTGACTGCAAAAATCTAGATGGCCACTAGATGGCAGCAAAATGCATTGTTTTCTATAGCTCTTTCCTGCCATCTAGTGGTAGCTCCAATTTCTGCAGCTCAGATAGAGTAGTTTCTAACTCAATCTTTACAGGTGGATCTGTAATAACTTGTGAAGTATTGCCTACAAATTTCTAATGTTGATTCCTTTCCCCCCCTTACCCTTTTCATCGACACAGAGCCCTCCATCTAGGTTGTGACTAAAATTACCAGAATCCCCAAGCAGGAGGATTAATCCTTGCATTTGCTAGCAATTTTGTGATCTTTAATGCCAAAACTTGGAAAGGTGGTTCAAATCATCATCATCAACTTCTTTTAATGACCCCATAATTCCTTGTGGGATGGAGTCTGGGCAACTGAATGGCACTGAGTATTTACTGGCCGGATGCCCTTCCTGTCACCAATGCGGAGGTTTTTTTTTTCCAGCAGATATAGTCCAGTGGTGAAATCCAATTTTTTTTACTGCCGGTTCTGTGGGCATGGCTTGGTGGGCATGGCAGGGGAAGGATATTGCAAAATCCCTATTCCCTCCCCACTCCTAGGGGAAGGATATTTCAAAATCTCCATTCCCACCCCACTCTGGGGCCAGCCAGAGGTGGTATTTGCCGGTTCTCCGAACTGCTCAAAATTTCCGCTACTGGTTCTCCAGAACCTGTCAGAACCTGCTGGATTTCACCCCGATATAGTCTCAGTGTGCCCAGAGAGAAAAATATCTGCCTCTACCTAGGATCGAACTCACAGCCTCCTGATTGTGAGGCGAGAGCTCCAGGAAAGGTGGTTCAAATACTGGAAAATCTCTAGACTGGTTCATTATCCCGATCATGCAGCCAAGATGGAACTCCAAAGAGGTACTGCTCTCCTACTGCACTTCTTCTCCGTTAATTTCTGCCTGTCACAGTCCTTTCTTGTCGAAAACCCCAATGCCAAACACATTGCAATACGTAGTTGGTTTAACCAGATCCTTTGGGAAATGATTCTAATTAGAGGAACGTCAATTGCAGTCCCCAAACAACACTGGTGGCTGACTTTACTACTGGAAATACTGTATACAAAACCTTCCTTTCTGAAAAGTCTTTTAAGAGCTTGCTTTACAATCCACAAATGCAGAAGAGAATTTATGTCTCTGCCTCAAAGGCCTTGCTATCTAATTTAAAAGAACACACAGTAATAAACTGTAGCAAAACTCCCCAAAAAACGAGAGAAAACAATAAAAGTGGAATAACTGTTATTTATACACATATCGTCCTAAGCGCATTGGTGTAAACAGTTTGTTGGTTATGTTTACTTTTAATTATTGGTTACCAAATTATTTATCACTTTGAGTGATATCCTCTGAAGTTTCCCCTTAAAATTGTAATTACCTATTAGCATTTTGTTTTCCATAGCTTCGATGTCTATAGGCCAGAGCTGTAAACACCCATAAACACATCAACACAGAAATAGGGTGTATATCTGACACGGGCCTTTTACTCATGGAGAGGAGAGGAGGGAGGGGAGGGGAGGGGAGGGAAGAGGAGAGGAGAGGAGAGGAGAGGGGAGAGGAAAGGAGAGGAGAGGAGAGAAGAGAAGAGGGGAGGGGAGGGGAGGGGAGGGGAGGGAAGAGAAGAGAATATAGAAGAAGAGGAGAGGAGAATATATTAGGGGAGAAGAGGAAAGGAGAGGAGAGGAGAGGAGAAAAGGGAAGGGAAGGAAGGGAAGGGAAAGGAAGGGAATGTTTATTGTCATTTTTTTCTGTAAACACATTAAAAAATGAAATTCTGAGCAGGGGGTTGGACTAGAAGACCTCCAAGGTCCCTTCCAACTACATGTTATTCCATTCCATTCCATTCCATTCCATTCCATTCCTCTTTTGATCAAACTGTCTCCACCTCAAAAGACACTCAGCGCCAACAACAAACTTCCTTGCTTCACAGCCTCGTGTTCCCCACTGCCTCTCCCACCCAAAACATTATCGAGAAACATTTTAGAGATTGAAAGACCATCTTACACCCTCTGTGCAATCCACCGGATACTTCTGCCGGGGACACCTTTCAACCGGAGCAGTCCGAAGCAACATAGACTTGTCCAAAACCGCTTCCTCCAAAGTTCCTCCCTTGCTAAATATCACCAAATCCTATACAGACACTCTCAGTGTCCGTCCACAGTGTCTAATTGTTGTAGAGAAAACATTGTTTTCTCTGGAGCCTGGATAGCTCAACAGACAAAGGCACTGTAATTTAACACCAGCTGTCTGCAATTAAAGTAAGATCGAATCTCGCCAGGCTCAAGGTTGACTCAGCCTTCCATCCTTTCTAAGGTAGGTAAATTGAGGACCTAGTTTGTGGGGGCAATAAGCTGACTTTGTATAAATATACAAAAGTATGAAGACTATTGCTTAACGCACTGTAAGCCGCCCTGAGTCTCCGAAGAAGGGCGGCATATAAATCAAATTTTTTAAAAAAAATGTATCTGCTGTATCAATCCCCACTACCATTTAGAGCTTTCAATAACACAGGACAATCACAACCGGAGTGGAATATTTGTGTATACCAGATGCTGGTTAAAGAGAAAAAACATTTGTAGCTCAAAAAATATATATAAAATACTACCAAGAGATTAATACCAAAAAATACAACATTTCATTAGCTGTATCTTTGCCTCTATGTCCTAGAATGGAATACAAAGCTATTTTTCAACCTTTATAGTCTCAAACTATAGGGACGCAGTGGCTCAGTATGTCGATCGAAAGGTCGACAGTTCAGCGGTTCGAGCCCCAAGCGCCGCGTAACGGGGTGAGCTCCCGTGACTTGTCCCAGCTTCTGCCAACCTAGCAGTTTGAAAGCACGTAAAAAATGCAAGTAGAAAAAATAGGGACCACCTTTGGTGGGAAGGTAACAGTGTTCCACGCGCCTTTGGTGTTTAGTCATGCCGGCCACATGACCACGGAGATGTCTTCGGACAGCGCTGGCTCTCCGGCTTTGAAACAGAGATGAGCACTGCCCCCTAGTGTCAGGAACGACTAGCACATATGCGCGAGGGAAACCTTTACCTTTAGTCTCGAACTGTTCTACTTTTAAGCCTGACACTCATAAATGTTTCTCTTCTGCACGTTCACACACAGTACAACATTTTGATAAACCAATAACCTAGATTTATCAAAACTTGGTTTAACAGGCTTCAGATACAACAGTCAAATCTTCCATCCAGAAATTACCAGAATGATAGACAATGCCCACTGCATCACCATGGTTTGGTGATCATAAATTGCCACAATTATGTAATTATGCAAAAAAAAAAAACAAAAATACATTTGCAGAAATGTCCACCATTTTTAATTAGGGAAATGGCTTTGATTCCAAGAACATAAATTTGAATTTAACGGACATTCCACTTAAACAAAGCGCTTACCTGAAAGTCCATTAAATCAAGGCCTTACAGTAATATATAATAACTTTTCTACTGTAACGCTTTTAAATTGATTAAAAAGTCAAAAAAAAAAAAAATAAAAAAGAAAGGACCTGAGCTTTTTACCCAAGAGAAATGAAATTAGGTATTTCATGTAGGTATTTCATCACCGACATTGTTTTATATATGGGAAATGGAGAATGATAACATGTGACAACAATGGTAAAAAAAAAAGCAAGGCTGCCATTTTGAAAGCAAACATTCTTTCTAATCCTACTTCATTCAATCATTTAAATGATTGGAACCAGAGGTGGTATTCAGCCGGTTCGAACCGGTTTGGGAGAAACCGGTAATAGCGATCTGGGGGGGGGGGCGCCACCACAGTGCTATGCCATCCTATTTAGCCACATTTTCAAGCTGTGCACATGCATGCAAGCAGCACGCGTGAGCAAAGCACATGCGTGCAAGGTGTGCACGCGAAACAAGCATGCGTGCACACTCACATTTTTGGTTCTGGGTGAATCGGTAGGTAAATTAAACGAATCCCACCTCTGATTAGAACCTTTATAGTTTGAATGCACATTGAATGTATGTTTTGAAAGGGATCACATCCTATTTACCTGGTTTACATTTTCCTGGGGGGGGGGAAGTGTATCGGAACTATAAAGCTATAACCTGACAAATGTCCTTCAGAATGTCAGAATGTACAGAAGGAAATAATATGGCAGTGGTCACCAACTGGTGTTCCATGGACCACTGGTGGTCCGTGAGAAAATTTTGGTGGTCTGCAAAAAAATTATTTGCATTTTTTATATTGCACTAAATCAGGGGCCCTCAAACTACAGCCCCTGGGCTGGATACATACAATGAACTGTTGTGTTGCTGAAGAGAGTCTCCCACTTCGGGGTATTTTTGTGTGGGTTGGAGGAGGACAGAAATTCTGACTTGAGGTCTGCTTCAGCCTTCTGGTGTGGGGCTTTGGGTGAAGGCTGGAGGGAAGCATCACTGGTGGCAAAGAGCCGGAGGGCCTTGTTCCAGTGGGACAGCATCATGGCCTGGAAATGGCTGACCATCTCAGCCTGCTGAGCCTCCAGGCGCCGGTACCTGGCCTTGCACCCCCACAGGTCTTCCCTCTGCTTGGAAAGCCTATGCTCGTAATCCTCAGTGAGGTGCTTCTGCTGAGTCTCCTTCTCGGCCAGATCCAATTTGAACTGAGCCAGCTGTTTTGCCAACTCTTTCTCATTCTGGCTTCTTAGCTCCAACAACTGCTTCCTGTTGGGGCCCTAAGGAGCCTGGACGGGCAGGCGAGGAGTGGCTGGGAGGGGAGGGGCGAGTAGAGGCCGGTGAGGTGCCCCTTGACGTGAGTGACATCAAGTTGGCCATGCCCACCCAATCACATAACCACCCAGCCGGTCTTTGGCCGATCATAGTAGTGGTCTGCGGGATTTAAAATTATGAATTTAGTGGTCCCTGAAGTCCGAAAGGTTGGGGACCCCTGTTATATGGTATGCTCAAGAATATGGTTCCCAGACCATGAATCTGAGACTCAGAGCTCCAGAGTTTAAAAAAAGTCCTAAATTCAGTGCCGTCAATGTCATTTTTGTAACTAAGCTCCCATCCTCTTGTTTTCCTTTTTTTTCCCCCCTTTCCCAGAAGTCTTCCAGAAAAAGAAATAATTGAGCTAGAAAAATTGCCAATGGCTTCTTTCTCAATAAAGACAGATAGAGAAAGAGACAGAGGTGGGAAGAGAAATGGAGGCAGGAAATCCAGAATATTATGTAAAAAAAAAAAAAAAACGCTTGGAAGATATCCTAGCTTTAGGTCTCTGAACTCTTCCAGCACTATGGAATGGAGATCAATAATCTACCTGCTATGATAGCTGAAATTCTAGACCACATACTTTGAGAATTAAGTTTGCTCCTACCTGTTTCTCCTAAAATAAGACATCCCCTGATAATAAGCCCAATCGGGCTTTTGAGCGCATGCACTAAAATAAGCCCCCCCCCCAAAAAAAATAAGCCCTCCCCAAAAATATTTAAACACAAGTGCAGCCGGTCCCCACCATTTCTTGGTTTCCTCCATGCACCCCAAAATAATAAAACCTCCCTGAAAATAAGGCCAAGCACTTATTTTGGGGTTCAAAAAGTATAAGACAGGGTCTTATTTTTGGAAAACATGGTATTTTGGGGTGGTTTTTTTTTGAGAATGCAATAGTTCGATAGATTAGTGTAAAACAAGGACAGAAGTTTGGCACATTTTACTGTATGTCCTATAAATAAAACTCCAGCAAAAGCAAGAACGTTAAAATCATCCTCAGCAAGGATATACATTGAAAATAATCATCTCCCATACGAGTTACACGAATATAAGTACGCATAGAACTCAAAATATTTACTAAAAGTGCACTGACTTAGTTTGCCAAATTTTATTTCGGTGGATATTCCAAATGTAATAAAGAGAAGCTGACACATTGTGGAAGGAGCAACTCAGCCTCCAGGCCACGGTCTAACCACTGTTACAAGGAAGCTGCAGGTAGGCTTACGAAACTGCAGTGTCTGTTCTAGCAATGTTGGTTATGAAAACAGCGCAGTATGGTCATTTGTATTGAAATTGTTCCCTTGGCTTAACGACACGGCCAATTATGAATTCAAAGTTTGACATAAAAGGGATTTGTGAGAAACAAATGAACGGTGATGGTGAACCTGAAGTGGCACATGGAGCCATGTCGCCTGGCACGCGCAGCATTGGCCATTCCTCTTTTGGGTTTCTGGCACGCATGTGCATGGACGATCAGCTGGCCTTCTTGCATGTGGCAGTATTAGAAACTGGAAGAGCTGGTCTTCCATTTTCCTGCGTGAGCATGCGTGCCGGCCAGCTGATCGTTGTGTGCATATGCGTGCCAGAAACTCGGAAGACTATCTGGCTGGCGCGCGTGTGCGCACCAGAAACCAGAAGTTCATTTTCGGACATGCCGCATGTGACCTGGGCACCTCCTCTTCTGGTTGCAGCTCAGACGAGCACGCGCTCGCACGTGAGCTTCCTTTTCAGCACTCGGCGCCAAAAAGATTCACCATCACTGTTCTAGAAGAAGAGACCATCCCTATTTGTTCTGGACACGCTTCCGATTTTCTGGAACCCATTTTTAGAAACAACGCTCTACAAGGAATAGCAATAGCAATCGCAGTTAGACTTATGTACCACTTCACAGTGCTTTACAGCTCTCTCTAAGTGGTTTACAAAGTCAGCCTATCGCCCCCAACCATCTGGGTCCTCATTTTACCAACCTCGGAAGGGTAGAAGACTGAGTCAACCTTGAGCCTGGTGAGATTCGATCCGCCAAATTGCTGGCAGCCGGTGATCAGCAGAAGTAGCCTGCAGTACTGTGCTCTAACTACTGCACCACTGTGGCTCTTAGAGAAGCACGTACTTCCCTCAAATGTGACCCCCATTTTATTTTCCCCAAACTCTATTTATTTATTTAATCTTGACAATGAAGGGAGGAAAAAATTAAACCGGCTTGCATTTATGAGATAGACTGCCAGGATAGCATACATACATCCCAACTAATCATGGGGTTGACAGAAGTTGGTTATCTAAATGGACTCCTTATTTTCCGGCAGAATAAGAGAGGTTCATCATACAAACTTGGGAAGGATATTGCAAAATCCCCATTCCCTCCCCACTCTGGGGCCAGCCAATCGTGGTATTTGTTGGTTCTCCGAACTACTCAAAATTTCCGCTACCGGTTCTCCAGAACCTGTCAGAACCTGCTGGATTTTACCCCTGGGGGAGTCCCCTTTACAGGTGAGATGGGCGACATAACAATTTTAATTGACGTCATCCCCATATAACTGTCTGGTTTGGCTCTGCAACCCAACAAGACAGACAGAGACTTCAGAGGATCATTAGAACTGCAGAAAAAACCATGGCTACCAACCTGCCTTCCATGGAGGATCTGTATACTGCACAAGTCAAAAAGAGGCTGTGAAAATATCTACAGACCCCTCGCATCCTGGACATAAACTGTTTTAACTCCTACCCTCAAAACGACGCTATAGAGCATTGCACACCAGAACAACTAGACACAAGGACAGTTTTTTTCCACATGCCATCACTCTGCTTAACAACTAATTCCCACAACACTGTCAAACTATTTACTAAGGCTGTATTGCTATTATTATTCTCATCTTTCCTATTATCTATCTCCTTTTCTACTATAACCTTGTTGCTTGTATCTACGATTATATTGTTTTATTTAGTTTCCTAGTATGATTTAATTGCTTGTTTAGTATCCTATTACTATCACTACCCTGTTTCCCCTAAAATAAGACATTCCCTGATAATAAGCCCAATCGGGCTTTTGAGCACATGCACTAAAATAAGCCTCCACTGAAAATAAGCCCTCCCCCTAAATATTTATGTGCAGCCGGTCCCTGCCATTTCCTCTGTTTTTCTCCGTGCACCCCAAAATAATAAGACCTCCCCAAAAATAAGGCCAAGTGCTTATTTCGGGGTTCAAAAAAATTTAAGACAGGGTCTTATTTTCGGAGAAACACGGTAAGTGCTGTATCATACGATTCTTGATAAATGTATTTTTTATGTACACTGAGAGCTTATGCCCCGAAGACAAATTCCTTGTGTGTCCAATCACACTTGGCCAATCAAGAATTCTATTCTAAATAAAATGTTGATGTGGGTAGATTGAAGGAGAGTCAAAATACCCAGAATATCAGAGTTTCATATTAAGACAAATCTGGGGCCAAAAACAGCATTGCTTTTTTTTCTATTTATATTATTATAAAATTATAATATATTATAATAAAATTAAAAAATTTTAAAAAACCCCACAACATTCCCCTTAAGAAAGTACAGATAGCCCTCAGCTTACAACCACAACGGAGTCCAAAATTCATGCCTAATTTTTTAAGTGTTTTTAAGTGTTTTGTTTATCGTTTTTAATTAATGGGGCCAAATTTATATATATATTTTTAATTAATTAATTAATTTATTTGTTTGTTTGTTTCCATTTCTATACCGCCCTCCTCCAATAGGACTCAGGGCGGTGAACAGCCAAAGTAAAAAACAGAACATACAAAATTTAAAAGCAGTTTAAAATAATTAAATATTTTGGCCGTAAATTAAAACAACCCAATTTAAAATCAATTTAAAATTTAACTCAAGCCAGCCCAGCTAGTTGAAATAAATAGGTTGTATAAATAAAATTGTATTTTAATATTTGTACTTGATGTTTTTACTTGGCTGTTCACCGCCAAGTCCTCAGGGAGAAGGGCGGTATACAAATTCAAAATAAAATAAAATAAATGAAATAAACATCATTAAGTGAGAAATCCCCCCCCACACACACACAATTTTACAACTTTTCTTGCCACATTTGTTAAGTGAATTGTTGCAGTGGTTAAATTAGTAACAGGGTTGTTAAGTGAACCTGGCTTCCCCACGGACTTCGTTTGTCAGAAGGTCACAAAAGGGGATCGAGTAACCCTGGGACCTCTGCAACCGTCGTAAACGTGAATCACATGACCATAGGTATGCTTTGATGGTCATAAGTGAGAGGAGCGCTCCTAAGTCCCCCTTTTTTTCCCAGCGCTGTTGTAATTTCAAACAGCCGCTTCAAAACGGGTCGTAAGTCGAGGACTGCCTCCAAAGTATCTGTTGGTTCCGTTTCTTAAAAGTATCTTTAAAAAAAAAAAAAAAACCACACTGATTTTTTTTTCTTTCCAGAAATTCAATCCAAAAATCTTTAAAAAGAAGCAGAAGAACGGCAGTTCCACCAAACCCAGCTGCCCGTATTGCTGTTGTGCAGTTGGGAGCAAAGACCGATCGCTTTCTGTCTGGGTAAGTAACAGGCCGAGTCAGATTTTAAGTGGTAGGTGGTCTTTTTTTAAAAAAAAAATATTTTATTAGTTTTAAAAGTAAAACAATGGACATTGCTCAACGTCTCTGGTTTCTAACATTTGCGTCTAAATCAAGTTAATAAGTAATCTATTCCCTGATCTATATACAAATTTACATATCTCCTATTTCATTATATATCAAGTATGCAGTATTTTACTTCCTAAACAACTATGCATGTATTTAATAAACCTATATTACATTCACAAATTCAATATACATTGATATATTGATATACATTGATATGTACATTCCCAGACATTCATTATCCCTTGTTTTTGGCATTCTTCCTCTTATCTAACCAATTTTTTTTTTAAATTTTTATTTATTTTTATATGCCGCCCTTCTCCGGAGACTCAGGGCGGCTTACAATGCGTTAAGCGATAGCCTTCATACTTTTGTATATTTTTATACAACGTCAGCTTATTGCCCCCACAAACCGGGTCCTCATTTTACCCACCTTAGAAAGGATGGAAGGCTGAGTCGACCTTGAGCCTGGTGAGAATTGAACTCGCAGTAATTGCAGGCAGCTGGATGTTAAATGCTGCCTTAGTAGGAGGCATTATTCCAGATTTCATAGTATCTTGATTCACTTTTGTCTTTGAGTTTTAAAATAAGTCTGTCCATCTCTGCACAGCTGTAAATTTTGTGTATTACTTCTTCTGCTGAGGGTATTTCTTTACACTTCCATTTTTGAGCAAATGCTAGTCTTGCCACGGTAAGTATATGCAATATTAAATAGGTTACATTATTGTCATATTTGACATCTGTCATGCCCAGTAAGAAAAATTCCGGCTTAACTTCTATTTTAAACATTAACATCTCTTCTAACCAGCTCCTTATTTGCTGCCAGAAACTTTTGGCTTTTGAGCACTCCCACCACATATGGTAATATGACCCTAGATCCACCTCACATTTCCAACAAATTGGGGAGTGTTTTTTACTAATTCTTGCCAATCTTGTGGGTGGGAAGTGCCAGGGGCAGGTGATCTTTTGTGTGTGGGTCGGATAAGTGGCCGACCTGATTTTGTGGAGTATTTTGTGGCAATTCTTACGCGGCCGAAGTGCGAACGCCGCCGTTGTGTTAAATGAACCCATTGCTTACTACTGCAACAACGTTTTGCCAATTGTGTTGGTTTTTGGCAAAACCACCCTAAACCACTGGCTTGTGAGATTGGTGAATGCCGCAAACGGACATAAATCGAGGACTACCTGTAACACAGTTTGAAAGCTGCAGGTTCCCACCAATTTTCTTAAAATTTTCCATTCTTATAGCCAAAGACGAATGTATGCTAAATTAGGTGTGTCATTAAATCTTAGGACATGAGGCTCCTTTTGTGATAATTCATATACCCGCCATTTTGTTTTTAGCTGACGTGTCTGAAAAGGCCATTGGTCGTCATACATGAGCTGTTCGACAAGTCCATCATGGATATCTCATGGTAAGGTGGCTTTCATGGGGACTCACCCCCAGACATTGTGTGTGCTCCATCACTGGAGGCTTTTAAAAAGAGATTGGACAACCATTTGTCTGAAAATGGCACAGGGTCTCCAGCTTGAGCAGGGGGTTGGACTAGAAGACCTCCAAGGCCCCTTCCGTCTCTGTTATTCTATTCAAAATCTCCCCTCCTCCATGTTATTTTAAGCATTTGCGTGAGAACAACTGAATCTGCTCGCGAAGAACTCAATTAGCTACGTTACTGCTCATGCATCATGCATAATTCTAAGAGCACATTTTTTACGATGAAAATTTAATCACAACCGACCCACCTTTAAACGGTCAAACCCCGGAAAGTGGTTTATGGGCTTTATTTATTTTAATTCTTTTAATTACAATTGTGGGATCCTTGGGGAGGGGGGAAGATCTCTGAATTTGGCTTGTTTTTTGCAGACGTTTCATTACCCCAGCAGGTAACTTCATCAGTGCTAGAATTGCAATTCCACACCCTAAAGGGCTTTCCCGGAGGGATTGAAACGGGATTGGGCGAAGCCCAGGTCTTCTGAAAAGCAGAAATTATTTCAGAGTTAGTTTTTTGGGGGGTTTTCAAACTCTTCTTGGATGAGAAGCGAAATGCCTTCAAGGAAAAATGAAGTCTGCTTTTGAAACAACGATGACCTGGATTACTTCACTTAATCCTCCAGGGAAAGATTGAAGGCAAACGAGGTCCAGGCAGAAGAAGAAGCTCATAGCTTCAAAATCTAAGGGACTGGGTTTGGACAAAACTCAGCGGCACTTTTTCGTTGCGGCTGTTGATCAAAATAGGGATCGCCAACGTCCGATGACAGATATGGCACAAGAAGAAGAAGAAAAAAAGAATGACCTGGTTGAGTTGAGAATCTCCATAGATTTTTTCTCTCTCTCTCTCTTTGTTTCTCCTCCTTCAGGACTTTGAACGGCCTTGGCATTTTAGTCTGCTCCATGGATGGATCGGTGGCATTTCTGGATTTTTCCCAAGACGAGCTTGGGGACCCGCTGAGCGAGGAAGAGAAGGTGGCTGCGATTTACGCTGAGCATGCTGACCTTTCGAATTCCTTCTGTTTTAAATATTCTCAGACTGCCTAGATCAGGGGTGTCAAACTCGATTTCATGGAGGGCCACATCAGAGTTGTTTGTGACCTCGGGGGTGAGGGGTGCAGGGGTGGCCATGGCCAGCTTGATGTCACTTATGTCCGGGCATCTGTAGTAGCCTGAGCGCTCTTCCAGCGAAAATGGGCTCCCAAGCTCTATTTTTGGCCACGGTGGCCTCCTGCAACCCTCTGTCAGCAAAAACGGAGCTCCGTTTGCACTGGCAGAGGGCTGCAGGAGGCTGTCACGGCCAAAAACGGAGCCTGGGAGGACTGCATGCAGCCCTCCTGAGCTCCATTTGTGCTGGCAGAGGGCTGCAGGAGGCTGTTACAGCCAAAAACAGAGGCTGGGTGGGCTTTGAGATAGGACCCCAGAGATCAGGCAAAGTGAGATATAATCTGTGATGCCACCACGCTTGATTAAACTTTGCTTCGTTGGTTTGGATCATCGTCCGGGCAACGTAGATTGAGATGCAGAAAACGACATTATCCAGGCTTGGTGAAGGCAATCGGGGAATCTCCAGATAGAGAGAAGGAACAAGGAAGGAAATGAGTGGTTTGGCTTAAACTGCCTACACAGGTTTCCCAGAAATAGCAAATGGGATGGAGCTGAGAGCTAGGCTGTCTTTAGTTGGATCTGAGAATCTCAGGTTACTAAATCTGTCTTAGTTGGAAGCCGAGGAGAGAGCAGAGAGCCGAGTGGGGAAATTGTTTGCATTGGTGCAAAGCAGCAACAGGTTTTTTTAAAAAAAGAAAGTTTTACAAAACAAGAAAACTGGATAGAAGTCCAGAAAACATACTAACCCTCCATAGCAGGGGTATCAAACTCGATTTCATTGGAGGGTCGCATCAGGGTTGAGTTTGACCTCGGGGTGCCGGAATGGGTGTGGCTAGCTCAACATCACTCGTGTTGGGGGCACTTGTGGAGGTCCGAGCATTCTACCAGCAAAAACAGGCTCCCGAGCTCCGTTTTTGGCTGCAATAACCTCCTGCAACTCTCTGCCAGCGAAAACAGAGCTGGGGAGGGCGAGCTCCATTTTCGCTGGCGGAGGCATCACGGGCCGATCCTTCGCTGTTTCCATGGTGGCGCCGTGGGCCAGATCTAAGCACCCCGCAGGCCGGATCCAGCCCTTGAGTTTGACACCCCTGGCCTAGATGGGCCAGTGGCCTGATGTTACGTTCCGGTGCTCTCTCCCCTTTCAGAGCAACATCCACCAGTCGACGTACGGTAAAAGTTTAGCTATCATGACGGAGGCGCATCTCTCGACGGCTATTATCGAGAATCCGGAGATGTTGAAGTACCAACAAAGGCAGCAGCAAGTGGAGAAGAAGAACGAGGCCCTGAGAGACGGAATGGGCCCCGCAGCAGCGATAACGGCGCCTAAACTGGCCAGCATGGTGAATGGAGAAAGCTTGGAGGACATTAGAAAGGTAGCGATTTCCTCTCGCCTCTTCCATTCTTTTTGGTCCTTCTTTTTTGGTGAACAGATGGTAAAATGAAATATACATGTTAGGCCATGTAGCCATGGAAGAGCTGATGCCTCTTGGATAGAAGATGGTCCTTCCTTCCTTCCTTCCTTCCTTCTTCCCTTCCTCTCTGTCATCTCTTTCCTTCTCTCTTTACAGGTATATCTTCCTCCTGCCCTCCTGCCCTAGCTTCCTCTTTCCCTTTCTATCGCACTTCCTATCTCCCTTCCTCTCTTTTTACTTCTCTCTTTGCAGGTATATCTTCCTTCCTTCCTCCCGCCCTCTGTCATCTCTTTCCTTCTCTCTTTACAGCTATATCTTCCTCCTGCCCTCCTGCCCTCTTCTTCCTCCTTCCCTTTCTATCCACTTCCTATCTCCCTTCCTCTCTTTTTACTTCTCTCTTTGCATCCTTCCTTCCTTCCTCCCGCCCTCTGTCATCTCTTTCCTTCTCTCTTTACAGCTATATCTTCCTCCCACCCTCCTGCCCTCTTTTCCTCCCTCCCTCCCTCCCTCCCTCCCTCCCTCTTCCTATCCTTCCACTATCTTCTCTTTCCTTTTCTCTTTGCAGGTATATCCTTCCTTCCTTCCTTTGCTTCCTTTTCCTTCTCTCATACCTTCCTACCTCCCTTCCTTTCTGTCTTCTCTTTTCTTCTCTCTTTACAGGTATACCTTCCACTCTCCCTCCCTTTCTATCCCTCTTCCTATCTCCCTTTCTGTCTTCTCTTTTCTTCTCTCTTTACAGGTATACCTTCCTTCCTTCCTCCCTTCCTCCCTCCCTTTGTGTCTAGGGAACACAAGGTTGAGGCAGTCCATTGTAAACATATAGAATAGAATAAGGATAGGGTAGGGTAGGGTAGGGTAGGGTAGGGTAGGGTAGGGTAGGATAGGATAGGATAGGATAGGGTAGGAAGAATAGGGATAGGATAAGATAGGATAGGATAGAATAGAATAGAATAGAATAGAGAAGGAGAAGGAGAAGGAGAAGGAGGGAAAGAAGTAGTAATAGAAGAATGAGAGAAGTGGAAGCAAAAGGAATAGAAATAGAACAGAATTCTTTATTGGCCAAGTTTGATTGGACACACAAGGAATTTGTCTTTGGTGCATGAAGCAAAACTGCCTTTAAAAGTAGATTTCTCGATTAACTGCTTTTGAATACATCATTGGGAGTAAAAAAAAAACAAAAAACAAAGGCTAAAAGGCAAACGGGGGTTTCACATCAATCTAAAGATATTTTGAGATTATCTATTTATCTAATATTTCTTTATCCCTCCCGTTCATACGGCCGCCAACCTGAGCAAGCGATACCGGGAGGCTGGACTTTAGACAAATTGTGTTGTGACGACAAAAAAACCCCCCAAAATCCTAATAATCCTAATTTCTTCCTGGCAGAACCTTTTAAAGAAACAAGTCGAGACCAGGACGGCCGATGGTCGGCGAAGGATCACACCGCTCTGCATAGCTCAGTTGGACACAGGGTACTGTTTTCAAAATATGTCGGATTTTCATTTTGTTTTGAAAACTAAGGTAGAGGTGAACAAACCTTGCAAAGCTCCCCTCACCTCTCTCTCTCAGTGTGAGGAAGAAGCAGGACAGACCAAACCACTTTCAAAAGGGCCTCCCCCCCATCCCCATCCAGCTACGACCGCAAAGAAGGAATGAGATGTATCCCGATATCACCTCTCCTCTTTTTGTAAAAAAAAATCTCAGATTTCAGCCCATACAAATAGTCTCCAGTTTATGGCCAGAATTGGGACCGGAGGCTCTGTTGCTAAGCCAGACTGTCATTCAATGAATTGTGCCCAAATGTAGTCTTTTTTTTCCCCACCGTCGTTAGGCAGGTCGCCGCAGTCACTAAGGGAGTCGTGCTTTTGTTAAGTAAACCTGCCACTCTTGTTCACTGAACCATCCTTAACGCGGTGGTTATCCAGCTTTCCCCCGTGAATTTTGCTCGTCAGAAGCCAGTTGGGAAGGTCATTAGTGGCCATCACATCATCCCGGGATTCTACAACTGTCATAAATGGCCTATTGGTTTCCAAAGATTTAAATTTTGATCATGTGACCCGAGGACGCTGCTACCGTTGTTAGTGTGAGAATGGGTCATAAGTCATTGTTTTCTGTCAGAAAAGTCACTAAAGAAAGGCTTGTAAGTTGTAGACCACGGTCCTGTTTCAGTTATATAGGATCAGGTTGTCCTGATCACTCCGGCGGGGATAATGAGTGGCGCGGTGGCCTAGCGGTGGAGCTCTCACCTCACAATCAGGAGGCCGTGAGTTCGATCCTACCGTATTTTTCGGAGTATAAGATGCACCTTAGTCTTTGGGGAGAAAAATAAGTAAAAAGCTGATTGGCAGGTGGATCGGCCTCCTGGAATACCCCCAATCAGCTGTTCCCAGAGGTGAATTTTAGCAACAGGTTCCTTGGTTGTGAGCTCTGTGCCTTGATTTTTTTTGCTTTTTTTTCCTGCCTCTGAAAGCCTCCGAAACAGAGCTTCAGAAAAAAAGGCCTCTGAAGCTCTGTTTGGAGGCTTTTTTTCTGAAACATCAGTTCTGATGCTTTTTTCAACCTCTGAAACCTCCGTTTGAGAAGCTGGGCGGGGCTACAATTCAGAGTATAAGACGCACCCAGATTTTCACCCTCTTTTTCGGGGGGAAAAAGGTGCGTCCTATACTCAAAAAAAAAAATACGGTAGGTAGAGGCAGATATTTCTCTCTCTGTGCGCACCGAGACTATATCTGCTGAACAAAACTCCGCATTGGCGACAGGAAGGGCATCCGGCCAGGAAAACATTCTGCTAGCTCCATTCAGTTGCCCAGGCTCCACCCCGCCAGGGATGATGGGGTTGTTAAAAAGGAGATGATGGTCCGGCGGGGATAATACGCCCCGATTTCCCCTGACCGCCTTTCTTTTTCCCAACAGGGATTTTTCGACAGCCCTCTTTAACAGCATCCCACTCTCGGGGTCTTTAGCCGGGTCCATGATGTCAGCTTCCCAGACCAATCAGCTCATAGCGTTAGATTACAACGCGGCCAACTCCCTGGGCACCGTTAAGCCTGCCTTAGAGCCCATGGCAGCGGCCGCTAAATCGGCGGAAGACGTAGCCAACAAGGATGGGTGAGCATCGAAACGAAAGGCCTTCTCCTTATGAATTGGGGTGGGTGGGGTGGAAACTTAAGGACCCGTTCACTGCAGCGTGGGTTGGCTTAGCGAGGAGGAAGCCCCATATATATTTTTTTAAAAATCATTTAAAAACGGAATTGTTCCACAGCGAGCCCATGTCCCGTGGCAAATTGGCCATGGCGAGTAGGCAGTAGTGAGTTGGCCGCAGCAAGTTGCCCCGTTCTTCTTTGCTTGCTACTAGAACTTAGATACGCAGACGGAAATTCCATGGTTAGGTCAGGTTACGTTTCCGAAGGATGTGGCTTGCCCGGTGCCCCTCTTAGGTATCCCCAATTTTTAATATAATAGATGCGAAGCGAGCGCCATCTGCTAGTCTGATCTGGATTTGTCCCAGTCCTGGCTACTTCAGAGCAGCGTTTTCTCAAGCTTGGCAAGCTTACAGATGTGTGGACTTCCAACTCCCAGATATTCTGGCTGGGGAATTCTGGGAGTTGAAGTCCCCGCATCTTTCAAGCTGTCACAGTTGGGAAACGCTGCTTCAGAAAGTTGATGGCACTTGGGGTTGAGTGTGGCGTTTCTTACCCCTAAATCCAATGGGGTAGGGGGATAGAAACCGCAGCGGTTCGTGATTTTATTTCTTGCCCAATTGTGAGCAGAGCGGAGCCCTGCCGGATATGTGGGGTGCCTCAAATACGTTTTTCCTTTCTTCTTTTCCCAGTCTGAACGCTACCTCGACTTCAGCTGCTCTCCCAGCCGCTTCGCCCTCAGTGCTGCCCACCTCTTCTAAGATTGAGCCCATGAAGGCTTTCGATTCTCGGTTTACGGAGCGATCCAAAGCCACCTCAGGGACTTCCCCCGTCTCGCACACCAATCAGGTTACCTTGGACAGGTGAGATGCTGAACTGGAAAAGAACCGTTTCAGTTGGACGCCTTTCTTTAAGCAAAGGAGAAAGCACCCAGCTAGCCTCCTCTATTTTTCTGAGAGCTGCAGTCCAAAGAATGCTCGTTTAGGGAGATAACAGTATGCGCTTTAAAAATGTAAATGTCCACTAGATGGCAGCAAAGAGAGCCAGAAACTCTCATTCTTTGGTGCCATCTAGTGGTCAGCCAAATATTTACAATCAGGGGTGGGCTTCAGATCAGGGGTGGGTTCCACTTACCTTTACTACCAATTCGCAGCGGGAGCACACGCACTTCTGCACATGCGCAGAAGCTTCTGCGCGTTCGCAGATCACCTATGATGACGGCGTGGCGGGTGGGTGGAGCCTCCCGCCGGTTTTACTACCGGTTCTATAGAACCGGACCAAACTGGGAGCAACCCACCACTGCTTCAGATCCTTTAGCAATGGGTTCGCTGCCCCGTTGCTGGGTGGGCGTGGGCGTGCCCTAGTTGGCCACCTGCACCATGGCGGGGGGGACAGGACATTTTTCGCCCTCCCCAGGCTCCAGAGGCTTTCCTTGAGCCTCTGGGAGGGCAAAAACTGCTTCCCCTGGGTTCCGGAGGCCGGAAACAGACCTGTTTCCAGACTTCTGGAACTTCCAGGAGGCCTGTTTTTCACCCTCCCAGACCCTCCTTGCGGCCCCTGCACTTACCTGGAATGATGAACGAGCCGCATGGAGACTCCTGGGAGGGGCAGGATGGGGTGGGCATTTGGGGGTTCGCCAAACCCCGGCGATCCTTGGCTAGAGGATCGCCTGAACCCTGCCGAACCCCCATGAACCCATCCCTATTTACAGTCTAGACCTGGAACCCTAATTTATTTACTTACCTATTTGTATCTCACCTTTATAATCTTTAGAAATACCGTATTTTTCGGAGTATAAGACGCACCGGAGTATAAGACACACCTACCTTTTTTGGTGAGGAAAAGAAGAAAAAAAAAATCTGCCTCTGCTCTGAGCAATTTTGCCTCTTTGCAGCAAACAGCCTGCTTTACTTTCAGTTTCGTTTTCAGCATAGCTTGATTAGCACAAGGGAAAAAAAAATCTGCTCCAGCAATTTACCTCTTTGCGGCAAGCAGGAGAGCCCTGCAAACAGCTAAGAGCAAATCAGCTGAGAGTCGGGAGGTCGATCCAATCAACTTGTGCTAATTAGGCTGTGCTGAAGCTGAAAGGAGCTGTTTTTTCTTGCTGTTCGCTTGCAAGGAGGTAAACTGCTGGGAGGCAGAGGCCAAAGGGTGGGGGCCAGTGGGTGGGTGGGGCTACATTCGGTGTATAAGACGCACCTAAATTTTCACCCCCTTTTAGGGGGGGAAAAAGGTGCGTCTTATACTCTGAAAAATACGGTAACTCAAGACCGCAGGTTTATCTGCTTCCTCCTATTTTCTCCAGCACAACTCTGTAAGGTGCATTGGGCTGAGAGCGAGTAGCCCAAAGTCGCAAAACCCAGCCAAGCTTTCATGCTTAAGGGGGGGTCTAGAACTCAGAGCCTTCCATTTTCTAAGCTTAAGCTGGTTCCTTAACAACTGGATCACACGGTTGTTGTTTTTCCCCTTCTTTTTTCTGCAGACTGAAGGAGCAGAACTCTATTCGGGAAAGCAAACCCAGGGATCTCCTAGAAAGTAGCAGCGATAGCGAAGAAAAGCTGGCCATCAAACCCTTGTCGCTCTCCAAGCGAAAGCTGGACCTTGACGTTGAAAAAAAGAAGAAAGGAAGACCTCGGAAAGACTCCCGGCTCATGCCTGTCACTTTAACCGTTCAGGTAACCAAAAAAGGTGGTTGTTTTGGCCTGCCGGCAGCCAGCAGAGCTGGCAGCAGAGTCAGACAGTGAGGAGGTTGGGGAGGAACAATGGGCCAGTCTTGGGGGCTGGGGAAAGCTCGGACGAGGGCTCTGCGTTGGAGGCAGAGATGAGACTTGGGCCATCTATTATGCACGGACTCCGGAGCCTCCAGAGTTGGACATCAGAGAGGCAGAGGAACAGCTGGAGCCCGTTCCCAGTGTGCGCATGCGCAGAGCTGCCAGAAGACAAGAACAACTCAGAAAGCAGGGTCGACTTGGGAGTAAAGCCACACCTTGGAGGTGATTGGCCCCTCCCATAGGAAACAAAAGAGGAGCGAACGGGGAGGGGGCTTTTGCAGGAAACAGTTCGTTCATTCGGTTGTTTCGAGAGTGGAAAGATCTGTCCATGACTCTGTACCAAGTTTGGCCTTGCACTACGTTTGGAAACTATTGACTTGGCAGCCTGCCAAGCGAGATAAGGTCTGTGTTGATAAATATTCCTCTGAAAGACTGTTTGGACAGGCCTTGCTGACTGTGAATGAAAGGAATTCACAGTCGTGTAAATAAAAGGGGTTTTTTTGCCGGGTCCAAGACTCTGCTTCCTGCTTTTTAAGAGAGCCTAGGACAGCGGTAGCCACCTCTCTTTGATACACAACCACCGATCCTTTTCGTTTCCATTTTAGAAACCGGACTGTATCTTCTTAAATCTAGCTGCAAGCACATTAAGCCAATCATCATGGTTTATTGCATAGTGGCACACTGATGATGTTGCCTAGTTCGGTAATGAGACATTTGCAAGAAAACAACCAACCAATTATTAGCAGCTGAGCTGCCAATAATTCTCTTTTATTGGCTTACCGGCGCCTGGTGGCGCAGTGATTTCGAACGCAATATTGCAGGCAAATTCTGGAATACCAAAGCCTAGAATTCGATCCTGATGGGGCTCAAGATTGACTCAGCCTTCCATCTTTCCGAGGTCGGTAAAATGAGGACCCGGATTGTTGCGGCCAATTTGCTGGCATTGTAAACTACTCAGAGAGTGCTGTAAAGCACTGAGAAGCGGTATATAAGTCTTAAGTGCTATTGCTATTGAGAACAATCGGTGATCTCTATATAGCTACTTGATTTAATCAATCCCACTCTTTTAAGAACTGATTTTTAACCGATGAATAGAGTGGGAAGGGACCTTGTAGGTCATCTAGTCCAACCCCCCACCGCCCAAGCAGGAGACCCTACACCATTTCTGACAGATAGCAGTCCACTCTCTTCTTGAAAGCCTCCAGTGATGAAGCTCCCAAAACTTCCAAAGGCAACTTCTGTTCCATTGGTCGATTGCTCTCACTGTCAGAAAATTTCTCCTTATTTCTAAATTGAATCTCTCATTGGTCAGTTTCCATCCATTATTCCTTGTCTGGCCTTCGGGTGCTTTGGAAAATAGCTTGACCCCCTCCTCTCTGTGGCAGCCCCTCAAATATTGGAAGATGCTCTCCTGTCTCCCCTGGTCCTTCTCTTCACTAGACCAGCCATGCCCAGTTCCTGCAACCGTTCATCGTATGTTTTAGCCTCCAGTCCCCTAATCATCTTGGTTGCTCTTCTCTGCACTCTTTCTAGAGTCTCAACATCTTTTTTATAGTGTGGTGACCAAAACTGGATGCAGTACTCTAGGTGTGGTCTTACTCGGGCTTTATAGAGTGATATTAGTACCTCCCTTGATCTTGATCGTATCCCTCGGTTAATGCAATTTAGGATTGCATTGGCTTTCCTGGCTGCCGCTGCACACTGCTGGCTCATTATTTAATTGGTTGTCCACTAAGACTCCGAGATCTCCCAAGAATTTTTTCCCCAAACACGCTCGCGCTTCAGCCCAATTGGCCTGCTTCAAAACTAGCTGAGATTCACCCTGCAGAATTGTTCCGAATACCATCTCAATCGCAAAATCTAATCAGTTGATAGAATTTGTGCTAGAGTGGAGTTGAGAGGGGCATCTTATTGTTTATTGTTTATTGGTTCGATTTATATGCTCCCCTTCTCCGGAGACTCAGGGCGGCTTACAATGCGTTAAGCAATAGCCTTCATACTTTTGTATATACCTGCTTAGTAGGGCTTTTGCCCCCCCCCCCAGCGGTGTTCTTTTTTATACAAAGTCAGTTTATTGCCCCCACAATCCGGGTCCTCATTTTACCTGCCTCGAAAGGATGGAAGTCAACCTTGAGCCTGGTGAGATTTGAACTTGCAGTAATTGCAGGCAGCTGATGCTACTTAACAGCACTTTAGTCTGCTGCACCACCAAGGCTCTTAACATTTGTTTTGTTTTGTCTCCCAGTCTCCGGCTATATTAGCAACTGAGAAAGATGGTGCTTGCCACAGTACACCGTTAGCACTTAAATTGCCGAACCCAGTCCTACAGAAATCGTTCGCATTGCAGGTAAGAGGTAGATTACAGTATTTATTATTAGATTCTTTTTTTTTATCCTGCCATTTTTCTATCCTGTTTTCCCGAAAATAAGACCTCCCCTGATAATAAGCCCAATTGGGCTTTTGAGTGCATGTGCTAAAATAAGCCCCCCCCCAAATAAGCCCTCCCCGAAAATATTTAAACGCATGCGCAGCCTGTCCCCGCCATTTCCTCTAGTTAGGGTTAGGGAGGCAGAGCTGGAAATCAGGTAAGATGGCAAGAGGAGCCCCGTCTTGCTCCATGCGCCCCAAAATAATAAGACATCCCTGAAAATAAGTCCAAGGACTTATTTCGGGGTTCAAAAAAATAAAAGACAAGGTCTTATTTTCGGGGAAACACGATATCTGTCTAATGTGAAATCGAACACAGGACACACACACACACATGAAATCAATAACTCAGGCTCACTGCAGTTTTTATTTATTTAAATTTTGTCTTTAAAAAAAAGAATTATTGTCCTAATGAAAAGAAACAAATTGGCTAAGAACTTTGGATAAAGCTTACTGGGAACTGGAGATTTCACATTTGCCTCAATTGCACACATTCCTTCTCTGTTTCTCTTTTGCTAACACTTTCCCACTCCTCCAAGAATTTCTCTGTCTATCTGTCTGTCTGTCTGTCTGTCTGTCTGTCTGTGATAGCTAGCTAGCAGCTAGCTAGCTAGCTAGCTAGCTAGCTAGATAGATAGATAGATAGATAGATAGATAGATAGATAGATAGATAGACTGAGAGACTGACTCTGTAATATCTGTCTGTTTATCTACTTATCTATTTCAGCCTGTCTGTCTGTCTGTCTTATCTATCTAGCTCTACCTACCTACCATATTTTTTGGAGTATAAGATGCATCTTTTTCCCCTCTAAAAGGGGGTGAAAGTTTGGGTGCATCTTATACACCGAATGTAGCCCCTCCTACCCTCTGGCCCCCACCCTTTGGCCTCTGCCTCCCAGCAGTTTACCTCCTTGCAGCAAGCAGCAAGAAGAAACAGCCCATTTCAGCTTCAACACAGCCTAATTAGCACAAGCTGATTGTCCCCGACTCTCAGCTGTTTCAGGCTGCAGGGATTGCCATTGCCTATTGCTGCTCAGGCCTCTGCTGCTTGCTGCAAGGAGGTGAATTGCTGGGAGCAGTTTTTTTTCTTTTCTTGTGCTAATCAAGCTATGCTGAAAACGAAAATGAAACTAAAGCAGGCTGTTTGCTGCAACGAGGCAAAATTGCTGGGAGGCAGAGGCAGATTTCTTTTTCTTGTTTTCCTCACCAAAAAAGGTAAGTGCATCTTATAGTCCGGAGCGTCTTACATTCCGAAAAATATGGCGTCTATCTATCTGTCTATCTATCTATCTATCTATCTATCTATCTATCTATCTATCTATCCCTATTTAACTATATCTTTCTGTTTATCTCTCTCTCGGCTATCTGTCTGTCTGTCTGTCTGTCTGTCTGTCTATCTATCTATCTATACCTATTTCAGTTACTTATCTATATCTATTTATCTCTCTCTCATCTATCTATCTATCTCTATTGTTTATCTCTCATCTATCTATCTGTCTGTCTGTCTATCTTTACGTTTATCTCTCTCATCTCTCATCTATCTATCTAATCTATTTTATCTATCTATACTATTTCAGCTTATCTGTCTCTATTTCTATCTCCTATCGATCTATCGATCTGTGTATCAGAGAGGAATAGACAAGCAGGTGCCCTTTTAATTACCCACCATATCAGGTTCTTCACAAACCTCCACCTTTCTCTGCTGCCTTGAACTGGGATCGCTTAGGGTTCCAAAGGAATCTCTCTTGCAGGTGAGCTCCGATCCCTCCATGTATATTGAAGTGGAAAACGAGATCACAACTGTGGGAGGAGTCAAACTTAGCAGACTGAAGTGCAACCGAGAAGGGAAAGAGTGGGAAACGGTGCTCACCAGCCGAATTCTCTCTGCGGCGGGAAGCTGGTAAGCTTGGGGGGGGGACGGGTCTGAGGAGGTGCACAATAAAGAGAGAATGCTCAGGTGCCCAGTCTCAAAAGTTGGTGCATCAGATTAAAAAGTGACATTCCCAATGTGATGCCTCTGTACCAGAGGTAGATTTCACTTATCTTTACCACCGGTTTGCCACAAACTCACTTGGTCCAAACTCATCCAGCCAGCTTTCATGCCTTAAGGCGGGATTGGACCTCTAGTCTCCTAATGATTGGCCGAAAGTTCCCCAGCCGACTTTCATGGCTAAGGCTGGACTAGAACTCCCAGTCTCCTGGTGATTGGTCCAAAGTCACCTAACCATCTACCATGCCTTAAGGCGGGATTAGACCTCCCAGTCTCCTAATGATTGGCCGAAAGTTCCCCAGCCAACTTTCATGGCTAAGGCCGGACTAGAACTCCCAGTCTCCTGGTGATTGGTCCAAAGTCACCCAACCAGCTTCCATGCCTTAAAGTGGGATTAGACCTCTAGTCTTTTAATGATTGGCCGAAAGTTCCCCAGCCGACTTTCATGGCTAAGGCCGGACTAGAACTCCCAGTCTCCTGGTGATTGGTCCAAAGTCACCCAACCAGCTTCCATGCCTTAAAGTGGGATTAGACCTCTAGTCTTTTAATGATTGGCCGAAAGTTCCCCAGCCGACTTTCATGGCTAAGGCCGGACTAGAACTCCCAGTCTCCTAGTGATTGGTCCAAAGTCCCCAACCAGCTTCCATGCCTTAAAGTGGATTAGACCTCTAGTCTCTTAATGATTGGCCGAAAGTTCCCCAGCCGACTTTCATGGCTAAGGCCGGACTAGAACTCCCAGTCTCCTAGTGATTGGTCCAAAGTCACCCAACCAGCTTCCATGCCTTAAAGTGGGATTAGACCTCTAGTCTTTTAATGATTGGCCGAAAGTTCCCCAGCCGACTTTCATGGCTAAGGCCGGACTAGAACTCCCAGTCTCCTGGTGATTGGTCCAAAGTCACCCAACCAGCTTCCATGCCTTAAGGCGGGATTAGACCTCCCAGTCTCCTAATGATTGGCCGAAAGTTCCCCAGCTGACTTTCATGGCTAAGGCCGGACTAGAAACTCACCGTCTCCGATGATTGGTTAAAAGTCCTTCAGCTGGCTTTTACGCCTAAGGTGGAACTAGAACTCGCTCACGTCTCCCTCTTTCTAGCCCAGGGGTCAGCAACCCGCGGCTCTGGAGCCGCATGTGGCTCTTTCATCCCTCTGCTGCGGCTCCCTGTTGCTGGTCAGCTCCACAATTGATAGGGCTTTCGGTTAGGACAGGTAGAGGAAAAAGGACGCCGCTCTAGGAGGAGACTCTATGGCGGGGGGGGGGGGGAACTGGACTTCCGGTCGGCTCCAGAATTGAATGGGGGCTTCCGGTTAGGACCTTTGTGGCTCTTTAGTGTTTAAGGTTGCTGACCCCTGTTCTAGCCGGATGCCTTCACCACTAGCCCAAAGTACCAAAACGACTATTTTTGTCTTGTGCTTCTCCCTCCAGCGAAGTGGTGAGTGTGGCCTGTGAAAAGCGGACCCTCTCTGTGTTTTCGGCGTGTGGCCGTCGCCTTCTCCCTCCCATCGTTCTCCATTCCCCCATCTCCACGTTGCACTGTACAGGGTTTTACATGATGGCTCTCACAACGGCTGCAACCCTCTCCGTCTGGTAAGCACCGAACTTCTCTCTCTTCCCTCCCTTCCCCCCCATCACATTTTCACATCTTCCTTTGCCAAGACACGTCACGTGGAATTCGAACGACACTTTGTTTCTCCTCCACGTTTTCCCCTTTTAGGAACGTGCGGAAGCAGTCCGTGGTGGTGAAAGACGAGTCCCTACAAACCATTTTAGCAGGTAACGACGCTCAAGTCCACCTAGGGCCACCTAAACTCTCTTCGAAGGTAGTCCTGGACTTACGTCCATTCGTTTAGCAATTGGTGACAAGTGGTCAGTCACGTGACCGAAGGTTGCAAGTGCGAGGACCGCACGCAAGTCGCTTTTTTTCCCCAGCGCCACTGTAACTTCAAAAAGTCACTAAAATGAATAGTTATAAGTCAAGGACTACCCGTCCTCCGCCCGTCAGTTGACAAGACCCGTCCCGTGTTTGTGCCGCCAAGAAAACTGACGGGTATGTTTGACCTCCGCAGGAAGTGAAACCACCGTCTCTCAAATCTTGCTGACTCAGCATGGCATCCCCGTGATGAATATGTCGGACGGAAGAGCATATTGCTTTAACCCTTCTCTGTCTTCTTGGTGAGCCCCAAGGTGGAAGGTACAAGGGAGGTGATTCTTTTAAGAGCTAAGCAGGATCGGTCCGCCGTTAATGCTTCTGGAACAAACTATATAAAGTTAATATGGCAATAAGACGCGGTTTTATTTTGCTCCTGCACGAAAGACCAGGTCCACCCGTGAGCTTCCCAATTAAACTTGACTTATTACTACTCGTGTCTATGCTCGACTCACGGTTAGCACCACCTCGGAATTAGATAAGGGTTGACAGAATTCAAGGGGAATTGGACTTTAAGCCAATTGTGGCTACGTAGGATTCTAGGCTAACGCCTCTCTTTTTTTTTCTTTTTTCTTTTTTTTCTTTTTTTTAATTTGATTTATATGCCGCCCTTCTCCAGAGACTCAGGGCGGCTTACAATGCGTTAAGCAATAGCCTTCATACTTTTGTATATATTTATACAAAATCAGCTTATTGCCCCCACAAACCGGGTCCTCAATTTACCTACCTTAGAAAGGATGGAAGGCTGAGTCAACCTTGAGCCTGGTGAGATTTGAACTTGCAGTAATTGCAAGCAGCAGATGTTAATAGATGTTAATAATAGTGCTTTAGTCCACTGTACTACAGGCTCTGACTCCACCCTCAGGTCCTGCCACTGCCTTGTCCTACAGTTCCCTTGGGCTTGCTGTCAATTAAAAAAGAATACAGTTTTTTTTTTTTTTAAAAAATGGGAATCTGTTTGGCAGTTGACCTACCTGTTGTTTAAGTGGAGGGCTGGGCTTTGCACAATGGGATGAATCTAAACGGGAATTGAGGTCCGTCTACTCGGCTGGATGGGAAATGAAATGGGTTAAACTCAGGGGTGGGCTTCAAACATTTTAGCAAGGGGTTCTTTGCCGGGTTGCTGGGTGGGCGTGGCCAAGCCTAGTCAGCCTTCTGCACCACGGCGGGGGGGGGGTTTGCCCTCCCCGGGCTCCAGAGTCTTTCCTTGAGCCTCCAGGAGGACGAAAACGGCCTCCCCAGGCTCCGGAGGCCCTCTGGAGGCTGGAAACAGGCCCCTTTCCGGCCTTCCAGAACTTCCAGTAGGCCCGTTTTTTACCCTCCCCGAGCCTCCGCGCGTGGACTTACCTGCATCCAAAACGAGCTGGGTGGGGACTCCTGAGAGGGCGGGGCCAGCCAGGAGTGGGATTTGGGGGTTCTCCGAACTGCACAGAATCTTAGCTAGAGGTTAGCTAAGGGCTAACCCCCAGCAGCCCACCCCTGGTTAAATTCCCACTTTGCACCTGTTTAATTTTGCGAGAAGGTCTCTCTTTCCTCCACTTGGATAACTGTAACATGTTCTGCCTTTCCAGGAACCTTGTCTCCGACAAGCAGGAAACATTGGCACAGTGTGCAGACTTCAGGAGCAGTCTACCATCCCAGGAGTCCATGCTGTGTTCGGGACCTTTAGCCATCATTCAAGGACGAATGTCAAAGTACGACTTTGTCTGTCTCGCTCTACCTCTTTGTGTTTACCGCCAAAACGAGCCAAGCTCTTGATCACCCAAAACCTTGGGGACCCCTGCGTTGAACTCTGAATGCTGCCCCTGTTGGAACTGTGCAGATTTCCCCCCCCCCCCAAAAAGGTGCCAGGTTTTGACCTTCCTCGCCAGCATTGGACAAGTCTGAACAGGATCCGTACCCAACATGGTGTCTGCCAGGACTCATTGTTTAAGTGGGGTCTTGTCTCTACCCCTCAGTGTGACTGTGGTGCTCCTCGACAAATTATTCACCACATTGTGTCCAAATTTCCATCAAGAACTTACACTGGCCCAATGTCTGATATTTGTCTGATATTTTTCAACATAGACTGCCCTGAATGGCAGGGTGGACTGGACATTAACATTTGAACTACTATAAGTCCTGTATTTCAGGGGTGAAATGCTCCCGGTTCGGACCGGATCGCCCGATCCAGTAGTGATGGCGGCGGGTGGTTCGGAGAACCGGTAGCAAAAATCCCTGTCCCCCCCCCATGCCTAGCTGAGCCGCGCAATTATCAGAGGCTTTATTTTTTTTTTTTTTTTTAGTTTTTAAAAGCATTTTTTCTACAACCTCTTCGGCCGAAAAAATGCTTTTAAAAGTTAAAAAAAAAAAAAGCCTCCAATGATCGCGCAGCTCAGCTGGGATCGTCAAAGGCTTTTAAAAGCATTTTTTCTACAACCTCTTCAGAGGTTGTAGAAAAAATGCTTTTAAGAGCCTCTGACGATCCCAGCTGAGTTGCCTGATTAAAAGAAAAAAAGCCTCTGCTGATCAGGCAACTCAGCTGGGATCGTCAGAGCCTTTTGAAAACATTTTTTTACAACCTCTTCGAAAAATGGTTTAAAAGTAAAAAAAAAAAAAAAATGGCCACGCCCACCCAGTCACATTAACCCCCCACCAAGCCACGCCCACAGAACTGGTAATAACAAATTTTAGATTTCACCCCTGCTGTATTTGCCAAACACTAAATCAATCAATCCCCCAAAAGCTCCTATATAGCTTCCTGTCAAGCACCAGGGAAATCAGGATATCCAGGCAGCTCCAATGAGTACAGGTAGTCCTCTACTTACAACAGCTCGTTTAGCGAGCGTTCAAAGGTACAAGGGCATTGAAAAATGACTGTTTTTCACACTTACGACATTGCAACATCCCCGTGGTCGCATGATCCAAATTCAAATGCTTGGCAACTGATTCCTATTTATGACGGTTGCAGTGTCCCGAGGACATGGGATCCCCCATTGCGACCTTCTGAACGAGCAAAATCAATGGGGGAAGCCAGGCTCACTTAACAACCATGTTACTAACTGCACAACTGTTATGATACACTTAACAGTACTGGAAAGAAAAGTGTAAAAAGTGGCAAAACTCATGTAACAAAAGGTTTCACTTACAGTAGCAACAGAAATTTCTGGGCTCAATTGTGTTCGTAAGTCCAGGACTACCTTTATAAAGATTTATTGCAAGCTTAAAGCTCTACAAGAATCTGGCCAACTAACAGTCAAGGGAAATGAGCAGGAGATAAGAAAGGCATTCAAAGTGGGCTGGTCTTAGATCTCTCGCGGGCAATATATATATATATATATATATATATATATATATATATATATATATATGTATACTGGTTTTCAAAATGTTTTTATCAAGGCTTGCAATTTATATCATTGAAGCAATTTAAAATAAATAAAAAGTTTAAAACTAATCATATTATAATACATAATGCCATTTGGTTATTTGATAAGTAGCTATCTAAAAATGGAGAGATTGTGAGTTCCAGTCTATAAAACCAACTGGGTGATATTAGGCTAGTCACTCTGTGTCGGCCAAAAAATATCTTGCCAAAAAAACTGCAGGGATTAATTCAGGTAGTTGCCAGGAATCAACACTGATTTGAAGGCTGAATGAATGAATGAATAAATGAATGAATTTCAGATAAATTGTCAATATATGTTTTGTTGCAATAGTACACTTATCATCACATTATCTTGGTTCCACAAGATCTGATGTTACCCTAGGCAATGCCCAAACAGTCATGACTTTCCTCATTTGTAACATCTCATATTTGAGGTAGCCAGGTGAAACATTAGGGTTCTTTGCCTAAACCCCTACTGATAAGGCAGCTAGCAGCCAAAATTCGAACCCTGTTCTCCAGCATCAACGGTGGTGTTCTAGTTCCTACTGTATCCTGCTGTTATCCAACTGGTTATGCAACTGGTTGACATGGACAGTAAGGGCTAAAGTGGTCCCAGTGGTAAATACCACAAGATGAAATGTATTTGTCCTGGTGATGTACATTTCATTAAAGTAAATAAATATTATTTTATCATGTTTATATTAATTGTGCTTTTCTATTTATTCTTTAAACATAACTAATTGAAAACATAATTCTTGTCAGAGGTTGAATTATTCTGCCTTTTATTTCTAACCTATTGACTTTCTACTATTTTGGCTGAACAATTGTCTTTTCTTCCTGTCATCTCTTCCTCCTTCTCTTACTCATCCAAGGATACTATTTTTATTCTTTGCTGAAGCAGAAAGCAACTACTTGAAGACTTTGTAATTCCAAGGATTGTAAGAGACTATAGGTTAGCTAACCAAGGACCTTCGCTTAAAGTATTATTGATTATATATTAATAGTGATAAGTGGTATTTCAGTTGGAACTAAGTGATTCTGTGAGTGAGCTACCCCAGGTAATTTACTGAAGTAGACTGTATTTACCTTAGTAATTGTGTTTATTCTGTGTCAACTTCCAACAAAGTTATATCTTTATAGAATGGTTAGAGATTTCACCTGGGCTAAAGGCAGGGTGTTAGGATGTCTTGCTCATCTCTAGTTAGGGTGAATATGATCACAAAATAGAAATGCTCTCCTGTTTTTGATAAATTCACAAAGTTAGAACAAGACAGTAAACTTTGTTTTGGATAGATTTGGCTTTCCACATTGTGAACTGTCTAGACTAGACTAGAACTAGAAATGTCTAGACCTAGGAGAGGTCTTCTCCTGTTGTCAGCCAGCAATAAAGGATACAACATTATTAAAAAGGAGTTCCCAATAGCCAGTAATAAGTGATGTAGTGTAAGTTTGCCCCTGCCTGCCCTTCCTCTCTTTCTCACCTCTCTCTCTCCCATCTCTCTCTCTCTCTATAACATGTGATTATTGTAAAAATAATCAAAAATTATATGTTAAGCCTTTTTGCCTTTACAACTGCCTCAGAAACTCTGTAAAGCATTTGCTTACCTTAGACTATTTTGAATGTTAGTTTTTCAGTCTATAACGCTAAACTCTTTCTTGATCAGCTGCTTCCCTTTTACCTTACATACTATGTGTCATTTTAAAAAATGTCTAGATCATTAATCTTTATATGAAAACTCATTGGGCTCTGCTGCCTCATTTTCTTCTCACTTGAATTAATTTCAGTTTTGCTTTTATTATATCCCTATAAAGAACTGTCTTATATTTTTTTCTCATTAATTTCTTCAACTATGAATTCCTTCTGAACATTGGTATAAGTTTATTAAAACCAGCTTTCCTGAACTGCAAGAATCATATTTGATTAAATTCACCTTCAATTTTTCTTAAAAACAAAACTGTACTATTTCACAATGGTTTGATCACAATGTTTCATCTGCTTCAATATCATTGAGTTTTATGTATCTGAGAGTCCTTTGGCTTTAAAGAAGACATACTGTTTTGCAGCTCATCTGTAGAGATGGAGATAGCTTTGTAGTCCCAGTCTGAAAGCATGAAGCAAGCGCAATGGAAGCATAGGTTGTCTATTGTTGTAGTAACTGTGGGTGTTATTTTTAAATAAAAAAACTCATGGTTTTTTTTCCCAGTTTTTGGTGATGCCTGTCTTCAAAGCTAGTGGAGGCTTCATAGCACAAGGGTCAGTAGCAGGTTTTGTCAGTACTTTAATTCCCTTGGCTGGACGTCATGATGGCATAAGATTTCTTTCACTGTATCTTTGTAGTACTTACAATATATGGTCAGCCTCAACATTTTTTTCCCAGACTCTAGTCTTACTGGTGAGATATATAGTAGTCATTCATTCCAATGATGTAAGGATGGGAAATGCTATCCTAAAAGGGCTGCCCAATCACCCAGGATGCTGCTGGAGTATGGACATCTCTGCTTCTCCAGGACCCGAGATGAACCACCACTGGTCCAAGGGCTGGCTATATGCAGGTTTGTGACTACAACTTGATTGTCTTTATCTGTTGCTTCAACACTCCCCCATAATTACAGGATTCAACAAATTCATTTTAGACTGATATGATTTTCAGATGAGTTGTAGGTGAAGATGAATTGCATGTCAGAAAATTGTGCACAATAGAGTTTTAAATGGAATAGCCATTGGACAGAGGCAGTCGCACTCTCTTATCAGAAGAGATCTCAATCCAGTGGCATGTAGAACCATTACAGCTAGAGAACTGTCTTGGGCAATGAATGATCCGGACATTAAAATGTCTTGCCATGCTCTTAAAACGTGAACACCTGAAAATCCTGTCTTCTTGACTACTGGACTATTAATAAGTCTCTTCCACTCAGCGTGCTAGGGCCAGACTTCATACACACCTGACAGACAAGTTTCCTATCTCACTGAAAGATTCTCACCTCCTGGCATTCAGCATTGAATGATTAGAGATAGATTGTCTGCTTCACCTGCTTAGAAGATCATATGCAAACTCTCATTTTGTTTTTGTTTTTCTAAGGAATTGTTGCCCGTCATCGGGCAGAACCTTCGTTTCCAGCGACTTTTTACGGAATACCAGGAGCAGCTGGACATTTTGAAAGACAAGTAGCGTCCTCTGAGATCTTTCTCCAGCCTATAGGAGAGCAGGGAAGAAGAAGAAGAAGAAGGAGAAATAGAAGGTCCATTGGCAGAAGCTAACACTCCTGAAAAACACGGGGGAGGGGGGCAGGAGCCAGGCCTGGGGTCTTTTAACAAGCTAAAATGTTGCCGTTTTTAAAAAGAAGATCGCAAGAGGGAAGTGTGAAATCTGGGGGAAGCAAAAGGATGTCTTTTTTTGGTTCTCTCCTGGAAGTTGAGCCTCACAGCTTGTAGCTGTCAGGGCGTGAGAATGGTCTTCAAAGAGGATTGTTGGATTCCAGAGACACGTTTTTAGTGAGCCTTTTGAATATCCTTTGAAAAAAAGCACATTACAAGAAGCTAAACTGAATGTCATACAAAGCCCTCATTTCGGGGTTCTTTACTGAGGATTTATGTATTGGGGAGATTAAAAAGAGGAGCCGCCCAAAACAGAAAATCCGAAAATCCCTACAGAATTATGCAGCCCACAAAAACTCTCCCAATTGCGGATCACCATTAGAAACGAGAGGCTGTTTTGATCACCGCGGACTATTTTTATACTAGAATTTGCTAACTTGTAATATGAGAATTTTATTTGGCCAATAATTTCCCCCGTCCCGTCCCTCCCCTCCCCTCCCCTCCCCTTCCCCCCTCCTCCCCAAAGTCCTCTTGTCGTATCAAAACGTAACTTCATTAATTATGACAGCTACGTTGCTGAACAATTGTACCAAAATAAATGTCTTTTTTTTTTTTTTAACTATTTGTAAAAGGTATTGGCAAAACGGGAAGGGATAGCTCAAAAAAGGAAAAGGGATTTGGGGTGGGAGGGCATTATTTTTTTGTTTTGTTTTGTAAGTACAATTAATAAATGAACATTGCATTGATTTCAGAACGAACGTGAATGCCTTTGTGCTGCTGGTAGCATTAAACTCTACAGGCCTCCACCTGTGAAAACAAAATCTTGAACTCAGCGTTCAAATAGTCAGTTTTATTTTTGGGGGGCCATGGTTCCTTATGTAATACTGGTCCAAAGCAGTTTACAAAGCAAGGGGGATAATATCAGATTATGACAATGAGTGACCTATTTATTTATTTATTTATTTATTTATTTATTTATTATTTTGATTTATATGCCGCTTTTCTCCGGAGACTCAGGGTGGCTTACAATGCGTTAAGGAATAGCCTTCATACTTTTGTATATTGTGTACAAAGTCAGCTTATTGCCCCCACAAACCGGGTCCTCATTTTACCTACCTTAGAAAGGATGGAAGGCTGAGTGAATTTATTGGTTCGATTTATATGCCGCCCTTCTCCGGAGACTCAGGGCAGCTTACAATGCGTTAAGCAATAGCCTTCATACTTTTGTATATACCTGCTTAGTAGGGCTTTTTGCCCCCCCCCCCCAAGTGGTGTTCTTTTTTATACAAAGTCAGCTTATTGCCCCCACAAACCAGGTCCTCATTTTACCTACCTCAGAAGGATGGAAGGCTGAGTCAACCTTGAGCCTGATGAGATTTGAACTTGCAGTAATTGCAGGCAGCTGGTGTTACTTAACAGCACTTTAGTCTGCTGCGCCACCAAGGCTCATAACATTTGTGATTGACAGTGATTTTTTTGCCATCGCATGCCAAAAGCGAGGGGAGCGCAGGGGTGTTGCGCGCACGCCCACACCCATAATTCAGTGCCCTCTGCCCCCTGCGCATGCATGCATGACCTCCCCCCCACGTGTGACTCCTGCTTTTGTCACGCGTTGGCATGGTGGGCCCGATAGGCCTCTTTTTTCGCCCTCCCCAGGCTCCAGAGGCTTTCTTGGAGTCTGGTGAGGGCGAAAACGGCCTTCCCCATCCCCCCAGAGACCGGAAACGGCCCATTTCCTGACTTCCGGTGGGCCCGGAAGGCCCAAAAATCAGCTGGCTGAGCTAAGGCAACATTCGCGTGCCCACAGATATGGCTCCGTGTGCCACCTGTGGCACTCATGCCATAAGTTCGCCATCACGGACCTATGACTTAATGAAGCAACACTCATATAAACAGCCTTCCTGATGTTACATGTCAAATGGTCTCCAGAGTGTTATATGTACTGTATAATCTTGCTGGTTTTAAGTCTTCCCCCCCTACTCATTTGCAACTGCATATTCTGTCATGTAATAAAGTTGTCTTTCTTTTTCTTTTTTTATCATTTCCCAAGGAATACTAGTTGGGAATCTCCAGACAGGATTTTCAACTTAGTTTGTTAGGAGGGAGTCTTCTAAAAAGCCACACAATGTTGTTTCAAAGAGGTGGATCAGATTTGATAGATGGAAAAAAAAGATGGGGTAGACACATTTCAAGGGAAGATATTAAAAGTTTAGTATATTATAGTTATTGTGGCCTGCCAGCAGCCAGCGGATCAGGCAGTAGATTTGGACAGTGAGAAGGTTGGGGAGGAACATGGGCCAGTCCTGGAGTCTGGGGAAGGCCCGGATGAGAGCTCTGCGTCGGAGGCAGAGATGGGGCCAGGGCCGTCTGACAGTTGTCAGCTGCTTTCGGGGTCAGACATCAGTGGGGCAGAAGAACAGCTGGAGCCTGTTCCCAATGTGCACATGCGCAGAGCTGCCAGGAGAAGGGAACAGCTAAGGAACAAGGGTCGACTCAGGAGTAAAGCCACAGGTGGACGGTGAATGGCTCCTCCCATAGGGAATAAAGAGGCACAAAGGGGAGTGGAGTTTGCAGGAGACAATTCGTTCATTTGGGTGAAGATCTGTTCCTGCAGTTTTTTAAAAAAAATGTTTTATTGAATTTTTACAATTAACCATTATTCAACTCTTGTGCATGACTGTGACCATTTACATATCATACTAGTATTCACCTATTCTCTCTATATTTTTACTATTATTTTCCTTTTTTTCTATTTTCGATCGAGTTATACCGTTTCTCCCATATTACGTAAAAATCCAAGTCCATCAATCCTTTCAATTCCAGTGTCATTTTGTCCATCTCGGCACATTCCAATATCTTTTTAATTATTAAATCTTCAGAGGGTATATTTGAGCTTCTCCAACATTGCGCAAAGGCCAAACTTGCCGCAGTTGTCGTGTAGAATAATATAGGTTTTTTTTAAATAATTCCTTTTCATTATTCCTAGAAGAAACAATTCTGGTATGTATTCTATGTGGAAGCCTGTTATTTCTTGTATCCAATTATGTATTTTCATCCAATATTTTTTTTGTTTCAGAGCATAACCACCATGTGTGAAAGAAGGTACTTTTGTCCACATTTCCAACAATTGGGGTTTAAATTTGGATATATGTTCCTGCATTCTTGCCAAGTATTGTCTGTTACAGTCCAACCCTGCTCAAGCAGCGGGCCCTATTGTTGTGGATTTAATAAGACAAACACAACTTTTAGATTAATCAGACAGATTTTATATATATTGCGCAATAGGTTCAAGGCTCTGTACATGAAGCGCTGAACAAAGACAGAAACTAGGTACAATGGTTTTATACCCTTCTAGACAAAGGATTCTGTTAGGTCAGCAATTCATATGGTCCTATACATTTATCATTTTTAGTTGACATTTCCTAATTACAGAGTTTCTTTGCAAAACAGTCATAATTCTTTTTGTAGATTACTGAAGCATATCTTTTATCTTTTGTTGAAACAACAAAGTGGACATCTCTGTCACTTTAACCTCAAGGTGTAAATCACGTAGACTGTTCTTATCTGTGACAACTGAGAGGCCTTGAAGTAAGCATCCTTGCAAAGAAATGTCCTTGTCTGTGTTCTGAATATAATTGCAAGCAATTTCTCTCTTACAATATTAAGAACAAAGAGGGCCCTTCAGTGACTATCTAACTGGACTCGTGTTTTTTATTTATTTTATTTTATTTGTTACCTGTCCCACCATACTATACCATTTCAGACAAGTGGCTGTCCAGTCTTTTCTTAAAAACCTCCAGTGATGGAGCAGCCACAATTTCTGGAGGCAAACCATTCTACTGGTTAATTGTCCTTACTGTTAGTATGAATGGACTGGACAGGACTGGACTGGACTAGACTAGCAGGAGAAAGAAGAAGGAATAGAATTAGAATTAGAATAGAAGGAGGAGGAGGAGAAAGAGTAGAGTAGAGTAGAGTAGAATAGAATAGAATAGAATAGAATAGAATAGAATAGAATAGAATAGAATAGAATTCTTTATTGCCCAAGTGTGATTGGACAAACAAGGAATTTGTCTTTGGTGCATTAGGAAGTTTCTCCTTGGTTTCAGATTGCTTCTCTCCTTGATTAGTTTCACCAGTTAGCTGAAGAAATATCCACCTTTATTACTGGAAAAAATAAAAATAAAATCCATGCTGGTTTGGGAATTCTGTGAGTCGAAAAACCCAATACATCTCAAAGTTGCCAAGGTTTGGCAGTCTCTGCCCTAAAGCGATAAAAGAAGAAGCAGCAGAAGAAGAGGCGGAACCTTTAATGGCAGCTTCCTGTTTCCCCAGCCGGGGGTGGGGTTTGTTTTGCGCGGCGGACCGCGCTAAACCGGAAGCAGAGCCGCGCGCAGCCTCTTTCCCGGAAGTGGAGTTGTTTTTTTTTTCTTCGCGGGCAGCGTTTCGGGCTTTTCTCGCCGGGTGATTTCGGAGCCGAGTTGAGGAAGGGAGACCCGCCGCCGCCGCCGCCGCCATGGGGAAAAGGCAGCACCAGAAGGACAAAATGTAAGCGAAGCGGCTCTGGAGGGGTGGGGGTGGGGGCGCCTCGGAAGGTCTCCGGAAGGGGGGGGCTGGGGGTGGCATTTCTGCCCAGCCTACCTGGCAGGGAGGTTGTTGAGGGGAGGGGAAAGGGTTGCTGGAGGGGTTTCAATCCGGGCACCGGCGCTTCTTTATTCCTTGGCTTCCTTAGACTCTTTTCCTGCCAAGGCTGCAGGCGAGGTGGGAAGGCAACGAACCAGCCACTGCGATAGACTAGATTAGATAGGGTGGGAGAGAGAGGGAGACGATAAGGAGGTAGGTAGATATAAAATAGATAGGTATAGACAGGTGTAAATAGAGATAGGTAGATAGATATAAATATAGATAGATGATAGATGATAGAGATAGAGAGAGAGAGATAGATAGATAGATAGATAGATAGATAGATAGATAGATAGTTATAGACAGGTATAAATAGAGATAGGTAGATAGATATAAATATAGATAGATAATAAATAGATGATAGAGATATATATAAATAGATAGATAGATAGATAGATAGATAAATAGATAGATATAAAATATAGTAAGATATTGACAGGTATATGTATATGATAAATAGAGATAAATATGAATATATATAGATAAATAGAGAAAGATAGTTATAGACATGTATAAATAGAGATAGGTAGATAGATATAAATATAGATAGATAATAAATAGATGATAGAGATAGATATAAATAGATAGATATAAAATTTAGTAAGATATTGACAGGTAGATAGATAGATAGATAGATAGATAGATAGATAGATGATAGAGATAGATATGAATATATATAGATAAATAGAGAAAGATAGTTATAGACATGTATAAATAGAGATAGGTAGATAGATAGATATAAATATAGATAGATGATAGAGATAGATAGAGATAGATAGATAGATAGATAGATAGATATAAAATATAGTAAGATATTGACAGGTATATATATATATAAATATAGATAGATGATGAATAGAGATAGATATGAATAGAGATAGATAGATAGATAGATAGATAGATAGATAGAGAAAGATAGTTATAGACAGGTATAAATAGAGATAGGTAGATAGATGTAAATATAGATAATAAATAGATGATAGAGATATAGATAGATATAAAGTATAGTAAGATATTGACAGGTATATATATAAATATAGATAGATGATAAACAGAGATAGATATGAATAGAGATAGATAGATAGAGAAAGATAGTTATAGACAGGTATAAATAGAGATAGATAGATAAATAGATATTAAAATAGATGGCGTTGAGTCATGCTGGCCACATGACCACGGAGATGTCTTCGGACAGCGCTGGCTCTTGAAACAGTTGAGCACTGCTCCCTAGAATCGGGAACGACTAGCAGGTATGTGCGAGGGGAACACCTTTACCTAATTAGGATCCAATGCTTCAATTAGCTTATTTTGTCTTTCTTCTAGGTACATAAGTCAAGGTACATATTCCTCTAATTGTCTCTTTCTCTTTTAGGTACATAACATGTACAGAGTATACCCATTTTTACGGAGGGAAGAAAGTTGGTATGTGACCAGACCTGTTGACTCATTTGCTGTTTGTCTCATTTGCATGTCTTAATTTATGTTTTGGGTCACCCCCTGGGAGGAGGGTGTTTGAAGGAAGATGTCCCTCATAGTATCCCAGTTGTAAGATTTGTTGTTGTTAGTCGTGTCCGATCCATTGCAACGCCATGGACAACGTTCCTCCAGGCCTTCCTGTCCTCTACCGTCCTCTGTAGTCCATTGAAGCTCACGCCGACTCCTTCAGTGACTCCATCCAGCCACCTCCTTCTCTGCCGTCCCCTTCTTCTTTTGCCCTCCAACGTTCCCAGCGTTAGGCTCTTCTCCAGGGAGTCCTTCCTTCTCATTAGGCGGCCAAAGTATCTGAGTTTCCTCTTCAGGATCTGGCCTTCTAAAGAGCAGTCAGGGTTGATCTCCTCTAGGACTGACCGGTTGGATCGCCTTGCAGTCCAAGGGACTCGCAGGAGTCTTCTCCAGCACCAGAGTTCAAAGGCCTCCATTCTTTGGCGCTCAGCCTTCCTTACAGTCCAACTTCCCCAGCCATACATTGCAACTGGGAAAACCATCGCCTTGACTATACGCATTTTGGTTGGAAGGGTGATGTCTCTGCTTTTTAGTGTGCTATCTAAAAACAGAAAGTTGTAGGATAGGCTGAACTAAAAGGGAGAATTGACCAAAGTCACTTAATTGCAACATTTTTATAGGGTATTCATGCGAAGAAGAATGTGCTGAATGTGTGAGACATAATATTTTTTTTTCTTTGAATAGAAATTCCACAGTCCAACTTCCGGCGCCTGCCTTTTGATCACTGTAGGTAAGTTTGAAAGAAATCGAATCATAAAAATCGGAAAATCGGAAAAATGTTCCTTCGTTCCATACTTTTACAGGAGTCTTGAAAATTGCTTTTGGTTGGAATCAGTTTATACGGGTTGGGTTGGTCATTCTTCTTTGTTGGCTTAATATTATGCCAAATGGTTTCACAATGCTTTTTTTTATACGAAAATGGAATTCTTTTTCTCCATCCTAGCTTATCTTTGCAACCATTTGAATATCCAGTTTGCACACCAGATGGAACCATTTTTGACTTGCTGTAAGTTGTCTTTATTCCAGTTTCTCTTACATTACCTCTCTCTCTTATCTATCTGTCTGTCTGTCTATATCTATCTATCTATCTCATCTGTTGCTAAGTGAAATTTGTGAAGTGAATTTTGCTCCATTGTATGGCTTTTCTTGCTACCATCGTTGAGTGACTCATTGCAGTGGTAAAGTTAGTAACACATTGTTAAGTGCATCTGACTTCCCCATTGATTTTACTTATAAGAAGGTTGCAAAAGGGAGTCACTTTTTTCAGTGCCATTGTAACTTTGATGTTCTGCCCCAGCTACGGACTCCAAAGAACGCAGCACACACAAAGTCCATTCAAACCTTATTTTACTAAATAAATCAGCTTTTTATAACTACGGCTGTTAATTAACTGCATTAACAGCCGCCAAGAATTCAAAGAATAATAACTGAAAGCTTACTGCGGTTGGCAGAATGCCCAGAAGCAATTTGCAGGAAGCTGATAAGATAAGCAAGACAAGACAAAGGTATGTGAATGAAGTTGTTCCCTGCAAATTGCTTCAGTCAGCGTTCCTCCTTAAATAGGCTAGGAGAGTGGCCAATTAGCTCCAAGCCTTACTTTCGAGGAGACCTCCTCCTGAGGAGCCACTCCTGCCTTTTGGCAGCTCTGTGCGCCCGTGCATCGAGAAGAGGCTCCTCCTCTTTGTCCTCTTCACTTAAGGGAGCTTCTGGAGGTTCTGAAGGCCCTGACTGACTCCTCGCCTCTGGCACCACATCTTCTCCAGCCTCCTCATTGTCTGACTTGAGTGCCAGCTGCACAGGCTGCTGGCGCAGCACCACACCAGCCTCCTCGCTACCAGAAACAGCTACTAGCTGCACAGGCCGCTGACGGGCCGCAACATTTGAACGGTCTCTAAACGAACTGTTGTATGTCAAGGACTACCTGGGTTCAGATTGTAACCCTTTAACTGAGCATCCCACCTGATTATGTATGGGGATACAAAAGCAAAATTGAAATATTGCCTGCTAACTGGCCCAGACAGTAACAAAAATCCATTGTACGGAGTCCATACTGAAACAAAGTAGATTTCACAGAGATTGAAGAATGGGCAGAACAGAAACAGAAAACTGAGTCCGGGGAGGGAGGGAACCCTAGGTCATTCCTCAAGTCTGCCCTTTGAGTTTTGATGTTGTTTTCTTTTACCCAAAATGTACTTAAATGTAGAAACCAATGTCCATACCGTTCTGACTCTGCATCTTGTCTTGTTTTAGGAATATTGTTCCGTGGATAAAGAAGTATGGAACCAATCCGATCACGGGGGAGGCAAGTATTGCTGGATTTTAAAATATGGGATCCATTCCAACCCCCAGACTACAAATATTAAAATCTCCAAAAACAAGAGCTTGACAAAGCAGGTGGAAAACTCCATTTGGGATATGTATAAAATAGCAAGAAAAAAAATCCCAAATATGTCAGTTTTTCAGGATAAGATGAATCAGATCAGGAAATAGACACTGTTGTGGCCCGCCAGCAGAGCTGGCAGCAGATTCGGACAATGAGGAGGTTGGGGAGGAACATGGGCCAGTCCTAGAGTCTGGGGAAGGCTCTGACGAGGGCTCTGCGTCAGAGGCAGAAATGGGGCCAGAGCCGTCTGACCATTGTCAGCTGCCTTTGGAGTCAGACATCAGTGAGGCAGAAGAACAGCTGGAGCCTGGTCCCAGTGTGCACATGCGCAGAACTGCCAGGAGAAGGGAAAAGTTAAAGAACAAGGGTCGACTTGGGAGTAAGGCCACAGGTGGATGAGGAATGGCCTCTCCCAGAGGGAATAAAAGAGGAGCAAAAGGGGAGGGGAGTTTGCAGGAGACAATTAGTTCCCTTAATTGGTTCGTGACTTCTTTTGCCCTCCATTGTTCCCAGCATTAGGCTCTTCTCCAGGGAGTCCTTCCTTCTCATTAGGTGGCCAAAGTATTTCAGTTTCATCTTCAGGATCTGGCTTTCTAAAGAGCAGTCAGGGTTGATCTCCTCTAGGACTGACCGGTTGGATCGCCTTGCAGTCCAAGGGATTCGCAGGACTCACTTGGATCTACCTATCTATCTATCTATCTATCTATCTATCTACCTACCTACCTACCTACCTACCTACCTACCTACCTATCTATCTATCTATCATCTATCTATCGTTGTTGTTAGTTGCGAAGTCATGTTCATCACGGCCCCATGGGCAACGTTCCTCCAGGCCTTCCTGTCCTCTACCATCCTCCGGAGTCCATTGAAGCTCATGCCGACTGCTTCAGTGACTCCATCCAGCCACCTCGTTCTCTGCCGTCCCCTTCTTCTTCTTTTGCCCTCCATCGTTCCCAGCATTAGGCTCTTCTCCAGGGAGTCCTTCCTTCTCATTAGGTGGCCAAAGTATTTGAGTTTCCTCTTCAGAATCTGGTCTTCTGAAGAGCAGTCAGGGTTGATCTCCTCTAGGACTGACCGGATGGATCGCCTTGCAGTCCAAGGGACTCGCAGGAGTCTTCTCCAGCACCAGAGTTCAAAGGCCTCCATTCTTTGTCCTTCTCAGCCTTCCTTATGGTCCAACTTTCCCAGCCATACATTGCAACTGGGAAAACCATCGCCTTGACTATACGCTCTTTTGTTGGCAGTATTAGCCACATAAAAAAGATGTAAAACCTGGATCTGGGATTGTAGAACACACGGGCTGTTGTTTTTTTCTTTAAACACGAGGGGGCAGTCAGATCATTTGGCCAGAAAAGCTTGTCCAGATCTCTAAATTTGCAGCAAATCCATTCCAGGGAAAATCACCCCTTTAACCTCTTCTGTGCTTTTTCTGTTCTTGGTGGCTGCATATTTGGAGATTGTCACATTAAATGACTACTGATTCCTGGAGATTTTTCTGGGAAGATCTGTGAGCAGGGGTATAAGTTTAACTTACACCACTGGAACCAAATTTTGTGTGGCTTTGGCTCTAAATCATTCTTGAGAAAAGTCTACAGGGAATCCTCAACTTTTGACCACAGCTGAACCCCAAATTTGCGTTGCTAAGCAAGTTGTTAAAGTGAGCTTTATCCCATTTTTTTTTTTTTAATTTGATTTATATGCCGCCCTTCTCCGGAGACTCAGGGCGGCTTACAATGTGCTCAGCAATAGCCTTCATCCTTTTGTATATTTATACAAAGTCACCTTATTGCTCCCACAACTGGGTCCTCAATTTACCTACCTTAGAAAGGATGGAAGGCTGAGTCAACCTTGAGCCTGGTGAGATTCGAACCTGCAGTAATTGCAGGCAGCTGGTCTTAATAACCAGCTTAATAACAGGGTGCCTTAGACCACTGTACTACCAAGGCTTACGACCTTCCTTGCCACAGTTGAAGAGAATTCTTTCTTGGCCAAGTGTGATTGGACACACAAGGAATTTGTCTTTGGTGCATATGCTCTCCGTGTACATAAAGAAAAAATAAAATATATTCGTCAAGAATCATAAGATACAACACTTAGTGAGAGTCATAGGATATTAATAAGCAATCAAATCATACTAGGAAACAAATAAAACAATATAAGTTGTAAAGATACAAGCAACATGGATATAGCCATAAGTGGGAAGAGATAGTAATGGGAAGGATGAGAAGAATAATAGTAATACAGCCTTAGTAAATTATTTGACAGTATTGTGGGAATTAGTTGTTAAGCAGAGTGATGGCATTCGGGAGGAAAAAATTGTCCTTGTGTCTAGTTCTGATGTGCAGTGCTCTATAGTGTCATTTTGAGGGTAGGAGTTGAAACAGTTGATGTCCAGGATGTGAGGGGTCTGTAGATATTTTCACAGCCCTCTTTTTGACTCGTGCAGTATACAGGTCCTCAATGGAAGGCAGGTTGGTAGCCATTGTTTTTTCTGCAGTTCTAATTCTCCTCTGAAGTCTCTGTCTGTCTTGTTGGGTTGCAGAGCCAAACCAGACAGTTATAGAGGTGCAGATGACAGACTCCATAATTCCTCTGTAGAACTGGATCAGCAGCTCCTTGGGCAGTTTGAGCTTCCTGAGTTGGCGCAGAAAGAACATTCTTTGTTGAACTTTTTTGATGACGTTTTTGATGTTAGGTGTCCATTTTAGGTCTTGCGATATGAGTGAATCAGTGCAGGTGTTAAGTTAGTAGCACCGTTGTTAAGTGAATCCTGTTTCCCCATAGACTTGGCTTGTCAGAAGGTCACAAAAGGGAATCACATGACCCTTGGACATTGCAATCGTCATTCAAATGTTGCCAAGCGGCTGAATTCTGATGGCCTGATTATGCTACAGTCATAAATGTGAAAAACTGTCATAAATCGCCTTTTATCAGTCCCGTTGTAACTTCGAACGGTCACTAAATGAATAACTGTAAATTGAGGATCCTCTAAATGTGTATGCACCCCTCACTTCCACCAATTCTCCGTGCTGTAAACATTCATCCTCTCCGTGGTGGCGCAGTATATATGTCTTAGATATATTAGGATGCTAATTCCCAGCTGGCTACCCTAACCGTGCCTTAGCACTGTGTGTGGACTCGGCCCCTGGCCTCCCTCCCTCCTTTCAGCTGGACGTTACGTAAAAAGAACACACTGCCTTTTCAGCAAATGGAAAACCTCAGACGCCTACAATATTCTGGACGCTTCTTCCTAGTAAAATAATTGTGTGTCTGTCAGCTGTTTGACAGAGTGGGGATTTGTAGTTATAAAAGACCTGTGCAGTTGTTAGTCTGCCAGCCAGCCACGTGCCAAATGCACAAGCCAGTTTGCAACTTTTAAAGCCGGCCAGCAGGTCTTTTATAACTACAAATCCACATAATTTTTTTCAGCTGGGATGCAGTGGCTCAGTGGCTAAGACGCTGAGCTTGTCGATCGAAAGGATGGCAGTTCAGTGGTTCGAATCCCTAGTGCCGTGTAACGGGGTGAGCTCCCGTGACTTGTCCCAGCTTCTGCCAACCTAGCAGTTCGAAAGCAGGTAAAAAATGCAAGTAGAAAAATAGGGACCACCTTTGGTGGGAAGGGAACAGCGTTCTGTGCGCCTTTGGCGTTGAGTCATGCCAACCACATGACCCCGGAGACGTCTTCGGACAGCGCTGGCTCTTCGGCTTTGAAACGGAGATGAGCACCGCCCCCTAGAGTCGGGAACGATTAGCACATATGTGCGAGGGGAACCTTTACCTTTTACCTTGGGTGTCTTTTTCTCCAAAAGGGATTTTGGAAAAAAACATGCTTGCAGAAACGCATGCGTATCCTCTCCTCTGATTTCTGCAAAATCTTTCCGCTTGCGGAAAATGGGAAACCATGGTTTAAACCAGGGATCCCTAACCTTTCCAGCTTGGCGGCCTAGCCCGGCCTAGGCAGGCGGGCATGTGAGTGGCAGGTATATGCGTCTGCGAACAGCTTCATTTATGGGAGCGATGCACATATGTGTAAAGCTCCACTCGTGCAAAATGGGAGCTTTGTCTGTGAGGGGCGAGTGCTTGCACGAGTGTGCGAAGCTCCGCGAGTGTGAGCAGAAGGCACTTGTGCTCGCTCGTGAAACTCCACTCAGGAGTTTCACACATGCACTTGCTCATTTTTTGAACAGCCCGTTAGTGGGACCCCTCGACTAGAGGACCTCCAAGGTCCCTTTTCCAACTCTGTTATTCTGTTAATTCCGGTATTCATCTATGGCCCTTGCAAAACGACCTGTCTGACTCCCTTCGGAATGGATCTAACCCATCTTCCTCCTGCTTCATGATCCTGTGCGGCCCTCTGCTCGTCCTCCTCCCTTCCCTGGCAGAGTCCCCCACTAAGGAACCCATCCAAGGATGTCAGAAATGGTGTAGGGTCTCCTGCTTGGGCGGCGGGTTGGACTGGATGACCTTTAAGGTCCCTTCCCACTCTGTTAATCTGAATCTATCTAAGATGATCAAAGATCTGGAGACTAAAACGTATGAAGAACGGTTGCAGGAACTGGGCCTGGCTAGTCTAGTGAAGAGAAGGACCAGGGGAGACAGGAGAGCAGTCTTCCAATATTTGAGGGGCTGCCACAGAGAGGAGGGGGGTCAAGCTATTTTCTGGGACCAGAAGTTGGGAAAGGGGGCGTTTTCTGCCTCCGGAGGGCCTTCCCTCTGGGGAAGGCTGTTTTTGCCCTCCCCAGGCTCCTAGAAAGGCTCTGGAGCCTGGGGAAAGCGAAAAACGGGCCTTCCCCACCCCTCCGGAGGCCGGAAATAGCTTGTTTCCCGACTTCCGGTTGGCACGCAAGGTCCGAAAATCAGCTGGCCGGCGCGCACATGCGGGCCGGAGCTGAATGCTCGCGTGCCCACCAATATGGCTCCGCGTGCCATAAGTTCACCATCACGGGTGTAGGGTCCCCTGCTTGGGTGGGGGGGTTGGACTAGATGACCTACAAGGTCCCTTCCAACTCTGTTAATCTGAATTACCATCGCAAGCAAGCCAGAATGTGGGCCTTGGATCCCTCCCCCCTCCCCGTCCCGCTCCCGTCTGCAGCAGAAGGGCCTTTCAACTCCCTCTTCCGCTTTCTTTCATCTGGAGTTTGCCCCAGTGCCCCAGTAACCCACACAGTCGGCGGCTGCTCATGTGCGGCGGGAGGAAGGAAGGAAGGAGGGGAGCCCTGCTCGGTCCTGGCAAAGAGCGGATGATGTCAGCTGGCAAGTCGGGAAGCAGAAACGCACAGCAAGGCTGGCTTGTTCGGGATTGCAGCAAAGTAGGTCACTTTGCCAAAAGGAGCTCAGCTGGCAGGGTGGACCCTGGGCTTGGCACAGAAGCCAGAAGAGAGCTGCCAAAAAAAAATGGGAGGGTGTCTTTTTCTTTCTTTCTTTCTTTCTTTCTTTCTTTCTTTCTTTCTTTCTTTTTCTTTCTTTCTTTCTTTCTTTTTCTTTCTTTCTTTCTTTCTTCCTTTCTTTCTTTCTTTCTTTCTTTCTTTCTTTCTTTCTTTCTTTCTTCCTTCCTTCCTTCCTTCCTTCCTTCCTTCCTTCCTTCGTTCCTTCGTTCCTTCTTTCTTTCTCTCTCTCTCTCCCCCACCCTCCTTGGTTCCTTTCTTTCTCTTCCTTCCTTCTTTCTTCCTTCCTTCCTTCTCCTTTTCTTTCTTTCTGTCTGTCTGTCTTCTCTTTTATTCCTCCTTCTCTAATTCTTCTCTTACCTTTCTTTTTCTTCCTTTTCTCATTCTTCTTTCTTTTCTTCCTTCTTTCTCCTTTTCTGTCTTTCTTTCTTTCTTTCTTTTTCTTTCTGTCTGTCTTTCTATCTTTCTCCTCTTTTTTATTCCTCCTTTTCTAATTCTTCTCTTACCTTTCTTTTTCTTCCTTTTCTCTTTCTCTCTTTCTCTTTCTCCCTTCCTTTCCTTTTTCTTTCTTTTCCTTCTTTCTTTCTTTCTCCTCTTTCTTATTCCTCCTTTTCTAATTCTCTTACCTTTCTTTTTCTTCCTTTTCTCTTTTTTCTTTATTTTTCTTTCTTTTTCTGTCTGTCTTTCTGTCTTTCCCCTCTTATTCTTCCTTTTCTAATTCTTCTCTTACCTTTCTTTCTTTCTTTCTTTCTTTCTTTCTTTCTTTCTTTCTTTCTTCACATGGATAACTCTCTCCATGACTTTCACGACTTATAACAGTAACAAGCAGGCTCTATTACAGTTGTAGGTCCAGGACTCGTTTGGTCTAGAAAGCAGGAGACCATGAATTCAAGTCCTGCTTTGGCCATGAAAGCCAGCTGGGTGATTTTGCGCCAGTAACCAGGGGACTGTGAGTTCTAGTTCCGCCTTAGGTATGAAAGCTGGCTGGGTGACTTTGGGCGAATTTCTCTCTCTCAGCCCAACCCACTTCACAGGGTTGTTGTTGGGGAACGATGCTGCCTTTGACGTATCACCTCTCCCACAGACCATTCTTTGCAATCTATCCCCCCCCCCCCAATTCCTCTTCTGCTGGTGCCGGGAACCGAATTTCTGCTGGAAAAACCTGGGTTTCCATCAGCAGCATTCCTCATTCCAAGCCAGGCCTTGCCGGGCCATTGCCCACGGTTTCTCAGCTGCGGCATCCTGGAATGCTACCAGCAGCTGTGTGGCCCAAGATGGCTTGGCCATCACACAATTACCCTGCAGGGTTTTTTTTTTGTGTATGTGTGTGTGGTGTTTTTTTTTTTTTTTTTTTTACAGATGGCTCCGAATCACAGGACCGCATGGAACAGCGATCCCATATGGGACTCTGCTGTTGTGAACAAGCTCTGAGCTGAATCATTGTTGTTGATCATTTTCTTTTTCTATCTTGCGTTAATTCTCCAAGCTTGGGGGGGTGGGATATATATATATATATATATATATATATATATATATATATATATATATCTGTTGATTTCCTGCCGTTGGGTCCTTTTGCTTGTAGTTGGCGTTCTCCCTCTTGTTTTCTTTCTGTGCTCGAGATGGAAAGCTGGAATATCTATTAAGCCAGATGGCGACCAATTAAAGATAAATAGATAGATAGATAGATAGATAGATAGATAGATAGATAGATAGATGATAGTTAGCTGATAGGTAGGTAGATCATAAGTAGGTAGGTAGATAGATCATAGGTAGATAGGTAGAAGAAACATAGATGATAGGTAGGTAGGTAGAAATGGATGGATGATGGATGGATGGATGGATGGATGGATGATAGGTAGGTAAAAGAAACATAGATGATAGGTAGATGATAGGTAGATAGAAATAGATAAATAGGTGATAGGTAGGTGGATGGATGGATGGATGGATAGATAGATAGATAGATAGATAGATAGATAGAAGAAATAGATGATAAGTAGATAGAAATGGATGGATAGATAGGTGATAGGTAGGTAGGTAGAAGAAACATAGATGATAGGTAGATAGATAGAAAATAGATAGATATTTTGCATAGAAAGAATTCCTGATTACAGAAAGTAGAGCAAAGTTTTACATGCGCCCTGGGCTTGTTCTGAAGCAAGGCGAAAGGTTTGTCAAAAACAGAATTTTTTCATAAACTTTTCTAAGTACAGGCAGTCCTTACCTTACTTAGCAATTCACTTAGTGACCGTTCAAAGTTACAACAGCATTGAGAGAAGGGACTTACGGCCGTTTTTCACACTTACGACTTTTGCAGCATTCCCTAGGGTCATGTGATTTACATTTGGATGCTTGATAAACTGACTCACATTTACGATGGTCGCTGCGTCCTGGGGAGTCCTGTGATCCCCTTTTGCGACCTACTGTATTTTTCGGAGTATAAGACGCACCTACCTTTTTGGGTGAGGAAAGGAAGAAAAAAGAAATCTGCCTCTGAGCAATTTTGCCTCTTTGCAGCAAACAGCCTGCTTTACTTTCAGTTTCATTTTCAGCATAGCTTTATTAGCACAAGGAAAAAAAAATCTGCTCCCAGCAATTTACCTCTTTGCAGCAAGCAGCAGAGTCCTGCAAACAGCTGAGAGCAAATCAGCTGAGAGTCGGGAGGTCGGTCCAATCAACTTGTGCTAATTAGGCTGTGCTGAAGCTGAAAGGAGCTGTTTCTTCTTGCTGCTTGCTGCAAGGAGGTAAACTGCTGGGAGGCAGAGGCCAAAGGGTGAGGGCCAGTGGGTGGGTGGGGCTACATTCGGTGTATAAGACGCACCTAAATTTTCAACCCCTTTTAGGTGGGGGAAAAGGTGCGTCTTATACTTATGCGTCTTATATATAAAGTTGATGGGGAAACCAGATTCACTCAACAACCGCGTTACCCATTGAACAACGGCAGGGATTCGCTTAACAAACCGTGGCGAGAAAGATCGTAAAACGGGGGGCAAGATTCACTTCACCGATGTCTCGCTTAGCAACAGGAATTCTGGGTTCCATTGCGGTCCTACGTTGAGGGCGACCCGTATGCGTAGAACGACAAAGAGACCTGGCCATCCATTGTCTCATTTTTTAAAAAATAAAATAAAATAAAATAAAAATAAAAATTTGGATTCGGATTTGAGCAGGCCAGTTAATCAGCCAGAAAGGGAGAGAATAACTCGTGATTCTTTTAGGCGTCAAATTAATCAGCTTCATTGCAAACCCTCACTTGCTTTGTGACTTTCCTGCAGACAAAAGTTCTTGCAGTTGTCACTTTTAATCAGCTGGGCTGGCTATCCGCAGTTTGCTGGAGGGTTCCACACTTTATTCCAGAATCCAGTTCAGTGCCCTGAGAAATTTCGAACTCTGGTTGACTTTTCGTCCAGTAATGGCACGTCTCTCGCCCTAGTTAGGGAACGGTTTCTTTTGGTAGCAAGGAACGCGGTGGCTCAGGGGCTAAGACTCTGAGCTTGTCGATCGGAAGGTCGGCAGTTCAGCGGTTCGAATCCCTAGTGCCGCGTAACGGGGTGAGCTCCCGTGACTTGTCCCAGCTTCTGCCAACCTAGCAGTTCGAAAGCAGGTAAAAAAAAATGCAAGTAGAAAAACAGGGACCACCTTTGGTGGGAAGGGAACAGAGTTCCGTGCGCCTTTGGCGTTGAGTCATGCCGGCCACATGACCACGGAGACGTCTTCGGACAGCGCTGGCTCTTCGGCTTTGAAACGGAGATGAGCACCGCCCCCTAGAGTCAGGAACGACTAGCACGTAGGTGCAAGGGGAACCTTTACCTTTGTAGGTCATCTAGTCTAACCCCCCAGCCAAGCAGGAGACCCTACACACCATTTCTGACAGATGGCAGTCCGCTCTCTTCTTGAAAGCCTCCAGGGATGAAGCTCCCACAACCTCCGAAGGCAACGTCTGTTCCATCGGTTGATTGTTCTCACTGTCAGGAAATTTCTCCTTATTTCCAGGTTGAATCTCTCCTTGTTCAGTTTTCATCCATTATTCCTTGTCTGGCCTTCGGGTGCTTTGGAAAATAGCTTGCCCCCCTCCTCTCTGGGGCAGCCCCTCCAATACTGGAAGACTGCTATCCTGTCTCCCCTGGTCCTTCTCTTCTCTAGACTAGCCATGCCCAGTTCCTGCAACCGTTCTTCATATATTTTAGTCTCCAGGCCTTCGATCATCTTAGATAGATTCAGAATAACAGAGTTGGGAGGGACCTTGTAGGTCATCTAGTCCAACCCCCCGCCGAAGCAGGTGGCCCTGCACCATTTCAGACAGATGGCAGTCCAGTCTCTTCTTGAAAGCCTCCAGGGATGAAGCTCCCACAGCTGCTGGAGGCCACTTCTGTGCCATCGGTTGTTCCAAACGGATGATTAACTTTTGTGCCTCTTCGTCTCCGCAGAAGCTTGAAGCCAAAGCTCTCATCAAGCTGAACTTTGCCAAAAACAATGACGGTGAGTCGGACACAATTTATGAAAAAGTGAATATGCAATGATGATTGTACAGGTCACCAGGAGGCCTCCGGGGGGGGGGGGGGGTCCTGGAACAAATGACTCTGCTGCTTTTTGTCACAATGAGTCATTCGTTCCCATAAAATCAAGAATTCCAGGTCAGGAGAAGCCCATCATCACCCCAGTTTCCAACCATGAAAATACAGCTGGTCCTGTATTTACGACCACCTAAATATCCTCTTGCACAGCGAGATAGTTGTGAAGTGGGTTTTGTTCCATTTTACAACCTTTCCTGTTGCTGTTGTTAAGCGAATCACAGCCTCCTAGTGAGTGACCTAGAGCCAATCACCAGGAGGCTGTGAGTTCTAGTCTCGCCTTAGGCATGAAACCCGACTGGGTGGCTTTGGCCAATCACTAGGAGGCTGTGAGTTCTAGTCCCGTCTTAGGCATGAAACCTGACTGGGTAGCCTAGAGCCAATCGCTAGGAGGCTGTGAGTTCTAGTCCCGCCTTAGGCATGAAACCCAACTGGGTGACTTTGGATCAATCACCAGGAGACTCTGAGTTCTAGTCCCACCTTAGGCATGAAACCTGACTGGGTGACTTTGGGCCAATCGCCACTAGACTGTGAATTCTAGTCCTGCCTTAGGCATGAAACCCGATGGTGACTTTGGGCCAATCACTAGGAGGTTGTGAGTTCTAGTACCGCCTTAGGCATAAAAGCTGACTGGGTGACTTTAGGCCAATCACTAGGAGGCTGTGAGTTCTAGTCCCACTTTAGGCATAAAAGCTGACTGGGTGACCTTAGGCCAACACCCAGAAGTGAGAAAATGAGTCCTGTCTGTGGTTCATTTCTCTCTTTTTTTCTTCTTCTTCACTTTAGGGAAATACCACTGCCCAGTGCTTTTCACTGTCTTCACCAATAACTCCCACATCGTGGCCATCAAGACCACCGGCAACGTGTTTGGCTTTGAGGTGAGCACCTTCACGGTTGACGGTAACACAGGCAGGTAGTCCTCGCCTTACAACCAGCACTTCCACTGCTAAGCAAGGCGGTGGCTAAATGAGTCGCGCTCGCTTAACGCTGATCTGGGGTTTTAAAAAGGGAACCGGAGAAAAATCACACCGTGGTTTGTCTCAAACCCTCCATTGATTCCCCTGTTTCTTCCTTTTTCGTTTTGTTTTGTTTTGTTTTGCAAGGCGGTTGAGCAGCTGAATATTAAAACCAAGACCTTTAAAGATCTGTTGAGCGAGGAGCCGTTTTCCAGGCAAGATATTATTACATTGCAGGTAAAGGTTCCAAAAGAATCAGATGGGTCTGGGTTTTGGCACTCTCCTCGTTCCAATTTCTTACGAGTTTCCATTTCTCTCTCTCCCATTCTCTCTCTTGTCTTTGCTCTCTCTCTCCCTCTCTCATTCTCTCCCTCTCTCCTCTCTTCTCTCTCTTTCCTCTTTCTTCTCTCTCTCTCTTCTCCCTCTCTCCCCCTCCTCTGCATCCTTCTCCCTCTCTTTCTTATCTTCTCTCTCCCTCCCTTCTCTTTTCTCCTCTCTCATTCTCTCCCTCTCCCTCTTCTCCTCTCTTCTTCTCTCTTTCCTCTCTCCCCTCTCTCCCCTCCCTCTCCCCTCTCATTCTCCCTCCCTCTCTCCTCTTTTCTCTCTTCTCTCTTTTCTTTGCTATCTCTCTTCTCTCTCTTTCCTCTCCTCTCTCTCTCCCTCCCTCTCCCTCCCTCTCCCTTTCATTCTCATCTCCTCTCTCTCCCTCCATCCCTTCCTTCTTTCTCTCCTTTCTCTTCTCTCTCTCTCACCTTTCACCTCTCCTCTCTTCTCCTCTCTCTCCCCCTCTTCCCCTCCCTCCCTCTCCCTCTCTCATTCTCATCTCATCTCCTCTTCTCCCTCCCTCCTTCTCCTCTCCTCTCCCTTCAGTTCTCTTCTCTTTCTCCTTTGTCTTCTGTCTCCCTCCCTCTCTCTCTCTCTCTGTCTTTCTCTTCTTCCCCCCCCCCATCTCCTCCCCTCTTGACTTTCTAAACGTCAGTTCAGTTTTACTGCCAGCCATAAAACTAAAAATTTATTTACCAGTGAGAGCAAACAATTTCAGGGCTGAGTGAAAGGCGTAATTATGTCACTTAATGAGAGATGGGGCAATCCGTTCTTTCTCTCTCTCTCTCTCTCTCGAGCCAAGTTTGCCCGCCAATGGAATATTATTGGAAGAAGCTTTCTTATCGCAAGACACAATGCCACATTCATCTCTCCCCCTTTCTGCCATTTGCGCTCCAACTGACGTCTTCTTCTCCTCCTCCTCCTCCTCCCCCCTTCGGCCATTCTCTCGGCTCTCACTTTGGATTCGGGCCATGGGGCGGTCATCCTCTGGCCGCTGTGCTGGAGTTTTATTTATGTATTCGGCAGCGGGTGGAGAGGGGAAAAAAACCTGCTCTGGGAGCCGTCCGCGTCACGTTTCCTCACTCACAATAGAGAAAAGCAGAAATGCCACTTTTTTTCCCCTGCCCTGCTTTACTTACCGTGTTTCCCCGAAAATAAGATCCTGTCTTATATTTTTTTTTGAACTTTGAAATAAGTGCTTGGCCTTATTTTCGAGGAGGTCTTATTATTTTGGTGGGGGTGGAGCAAGACGGGGCTCCTCTTGCCGTCTTACCTGATTTCCAGCTCTGTGTCCCTAACCAGAGGAAATGGTGACGACCGGCTGGAATATGGTTAAATATTTTCGAGAGGGCTTATTTTCAGGGGTGGGGTGGGCTTATTTTGGTGCATGTGCTCAAAAGCCCGATTAGAATTAGAATTAGAATTAGAATTAGAATTAGAATTAGAATTAGAATTAGAATTAGAATTTTTTATTGGCCAAGTGTGATTGGACACACAAGGAATTTGTCTTTGGTGCATATGCTCTCAGTGTACATAAAAAGACAAGATACATTCGTCAAGAATCATAAGGTACAACACTTAATGATAGTCATAAGGTACAAATAAGCAATCAAGAAACAATATCAATATAAATCGTAAGGATACAAGGAACAAAATTACAGTCATGCAGTCATAAGTGGGAGGAGATGGGTGATAGGAACGATGAAAAGATTAATAGTAATAGTAAGGCAGACTTAGTGAATAGTTTGACAGTGTTGAGGGAATTATTTGTTAAGCAGAGTGATGGCGTTTGGGGAAAAACTGTCCTTGTGTCTAGTTGTTCTGGTGTGCAGCGCTCTATAGCATTGTTTTGAGGGTAGGAGTTGAAACAATTTATGTCCAGGATGTAAGGGGTCTGTAAATATTTTCACAGCCCTCTTTTATTATGATTATTATTATAATATTTTATTATTATCCGGGGAGGACTTATTTTCGGGAAAACACTTTACTACCCTTGTACCAATAGAATTTCAGTTCATTTGTACAGTATATTAATGGTAACATTCAGGAATTTGAAGATCTAGACATACTTTACAAGACTTGCATAATCAAGCTACTTTTGTGTTTTTTACTGAGGACTATAAAAATAAGGGACGTGGTGGTTCAGTGCTTGTCTATTGAAAGGTCGGCAGTTCGGCGGTTCGAATCCCTCGTGCCACATAACGGGGTGAGCTCCCGTGACTTGTCCCAGCTTCTGCCAACCTACTAGTTAGAAAGCACATTAAAAAAATGCAAGTAGAAAAACAGGGACCACCTTTGGTGGGAAGGTAACTGCGTTCCGTGTGCCTTTGGCATTGAGTCATGCCGGCCACATGACCACGGAGACGTCTTCGGACAGCGCTGGCTCTTCGGCTTTAAAACGGAGATGAGCACCGCCCCCTAGAGTCAGGAACGACTAGCACAAATGTGTGAGGGGAACCTTTATCTTTACCTTATAAGCAGCCATCAGCGAGAAGTAAATTTCTTTTAGTAAAACGGAGGTGTAAAACTGGAGTTGATTTGGTCATATTATGTGCCCAGAAGCAAGTCCTGTGAACTTTCAGGAAGGTTTATGTGTCCAGTCTGTCTTCCAAGTCTTCCAAGTCGTCAAAAGCTTTCACAGCTTCCCAAAGTTTGACTCTATTGTCCATTGAAAATAAAATACATGAAGAATCTTTTTTTAAAAGAGAGAGAGAGAGAGAGAGAGAGAGAGAGAGAGAGAGAGAGAGAGTGAGTGAGAGAGAGGGAAAGCTGGCTGATCTTCTGTTTTGATTTATTTCATTTAGGATCCCACCAACGTGGACAAATTTAACGTCTCCAGCTTTTTTCATGTGAAGAACAATTTGAAAGTCACCGACCCAGGTAAGGAGGACGAAAGAATAATGGAGGTAATCCTCGATTTACGACCACACTTGGGGCCCCAAACCTCCGTGGCTGGGGAATTCTGGGAGTTGAAGTCCCCGCCTCTTCCAGCTGCCACGTTTGAGTCACACGGCTTTAGGTGCTGATTAGCTTCAGTGCCCTCCAATATTTCACCGCTGCCCAGTTAACGTCTTTCGCAGAGCCCAAAAACCTGCCTGACCCTCCCCAGTTTTCCAAGTTTAGCAAAGCCAATCCTGTTACCTGTCACCAATCTTTTGCAGATGACGAAAAAGCCAGGTCAGACCCATCCTATTACCTGAAAAATGCCAACATCGAGACCAAAGAGACACTGTTGGAGTTATACAAAGAATTCAAAGGGGACGACATTCTGGCAGCTACCATGAAAGAGCCCGAGAAGAAGAAAACGGACAGGCTGAATGCAGTGAGTTGATAGGTTATTTTCAGTAGCGACTGGAGAGAATGGAAGTAGATCTAGAACTCTGCTTTTCCAACTTGACCACGGGAAGATGGGAGGACTTCAACTCCCAGAATTCTGGCCGGGGAATTTATTATTTATTTATTTAATTAATTATTTAATTATTTATATTTAGTTAGTTACTGTATTTTTCGGAGTATAAGACCCACCGGAGTATAAGACGCACCTTAGTTTTTGGGAAGGTAAATAAGAAAAAAGCTGATTGGCAGGTGGATTGGCCTCCTGGAATACCCCCCAATCAGCTGCTTCCAGAGGTGAATTTTAGGAACAGGTTCCTTGGTTGTGAGCTCTATGCCTTGCTTTTATTTTTGCTTTTTTTCCTGCCTCTGAAAGCCTCTGAAACAGAGCTTCAGAAAAAAAGCCTCTGAAGCTCTGTTTGGAGGCTTTTTTTCTGAAGCTCTGTTTGGGGGCATTTTTTCTGAAGCTCTGTTTGGGGGCTTCTTTTCTGAAACTCTGTTTGGAGGCTTTTTTTTTGAAGCTCTGGAAGCTTTTTTTCTGAAGTTTTTTTCCTGAAGCTCTGTTTGGGGGCTTCTTTTCTGAAGCTTCCTTTCTGATGCTTTTTTCAGCCTCTGAAACCTCCATTTGAGAAGCTGGGCGGGACTACATTCGGAGTATAAGACCCACCCAGATTTTCGCCCTCTTTTTTGGGGGGGAAAGGTGCGTCTTATACTCCAAAAAATACGGTAGTTAGTTTGTCAAATACGTACGAGATAACAGATATAAGTATAAACATGGACATGAGCACAGGTAATGAATACAAATAAATGGGGACAGTGGGACAGGGATGGTGGGCACGCTGGTGTGCTTATGCATGCCCCCCTTTACGGACCTCGTAGGAATGGGGGTGAGGTCCACGGTAGACCAGTTTAAGGTTGAAGTTATGGGGGTTTGAGGATGTAACAACGGAGTCGGGTTAGAGCATTCCAGGCATTGACCACTCTGTTGCTGAAGTCGTGTTTCCTTCAATGGAGTTAAGAGCGGTTTACCTTGAGTTTGTATCTATTGTTTGCCCATGTATTGTTGTGGTTGAAGCTGAAGAAGTCGTTGACAGGAAGGACGTTGTAGCAGACAATTTTGTCTGTTTTGAGTCCAGACAGGCCCACCGTGGCTGCCATTTTTCACATAGAAAGCCTCTCCTGGCATCCTCCTTCCTTCTCTTTCAATACAAGTGGCCCTCAGCTTACAACCACAATGGAGTTCAAAAGCTATGTTGCCAAGTGAGAAATTTGTGAAGGGAGTTTTTGCTCCAGTTTACGACTTTCCTTGCCACATTGGTTAAGCCAGAGGTCTGCAACCTTAAACACTCAAAGAGCCATTTGGAGCCGTTTCCCACAGAAAAGAAAACACCGGGAGCCACAAAACCCTTCCCGTGCCTCACTATTTCTTGATTGGCCACAAAACTAGCATACTTAGTTGAATTAAACCTTCTGTTTTCTTCTGAAACTTTTCTTTTCTTGGATTTATCCATGGTTGGCCTACCGGGGGTTGAAAAACTCAAAAAATTGCGTGACGGCGGGTGTTGCACATTGGCGGTTGTGACGCATATTTTGAGCGACGGGGAGCTGCAGCAGAGGGGTGAAAGAGCCACATGCGGCTCCAGAGCCGCAGGTTGCTGATCCCTGGGTTAAGCGAACCACTTTAACCATTGTTAAATTACACAGTTGTTAAGCGAATCCGGCTTCCCCGTTGACTTTGCTTGTCGGAAGCTCACAAAAGGGGATCACGTGACACCCCACCCCCACCCCTGGGACACTGCAACCGTCATAAGTACAAGTCAGTTGTCGAGCAGCCTAATGTAAATCACGTGATCATGGGAATGCTGCACCGGTCCTAAGTCATTTTTTCCCCGTGATGTTGTAACTTTGAATGGTCACTAAACGAGCAGTTGTAAGTCAAGGACCACCTGTACTGCAAATATTGACGTCCTCATCAGTTGCTTTTTTTACAGGCTCACTATTCCACTGGGAGAGTCAGCGCCTCGTTCACATCCACAGCCATGGCGCCTGAGACGACCCACGAAGCAGGTAAAATGGAGTTCCGGAGGCAACTTCTTTTCCGCTGATGAATTGTTCTCACTGTCAGGAAATTTCTCCTTAGTTCTAAGTTGCTTCTCTCCTTGTTTAGTTTCCACCCATCGCTGCTTCTGTAAAAAGGTTTTTTTTTTAAGCAAACAGTGCATCATTAATCATTCAGTGTGTCATCTGAGTACATATTTTGTCTCCTCTACTTCCTCCTCCATCATCTATTTCTATCACACCTTTATATTTTCATTTAATTTGTTACAACATTCTTACCAAATTTCTTAACATTGATATTAATTCATTTTATGCCTCCCTTCTCCCCATTTTTCTTACCACATTTCTATCTTGTTTTTACGTCTTCATTCAATTCATTACGTTTTCCCCAAAATTTATAATTATATTAATTTTCATGTATATCTCTTCTCTAACCATTTATAGAATTGTCCCCATACCTTACAATACTCCAATTCTTCTTTTTCTTTAATTGCCAATGTTAATCTATTCATTTCTGCACATTCTAATATTTTCTTAAGTACTTCTCCCTCTATTGGGATTTTCTCTGCTTTCCAATTTTGTGCAAATACAATCTTCGCTGCAGTTATAACATATATAATCAAGTATATATTTTCTTTACTATATTTCTCTCTAGTTAGATACCCAATAGGAACAGTTCAGGTTTTAAGTCAATACGTTGTTGTCTCATTTCCGCTTCTTGCCCTCAGGTGCTTTGGAGAATAGCTTGACTCCCTCTTCTTTGTGGCAGCCCTCAAGATATTAGAACGCTGCTATCATGCCTTCCCTACTCCTTCTTTTCATCAGACTAGACATACCCAATTCCAGCAACCGTTCTTTATATATTTTAGCCTCCAGTCCCCCAATCATCTTTGTTGCTCTTCTCGGCACTCTTTCTAGAAGTTTTCAACATCCTTTTTACATCACGGCAACCAAAACTGGATGCAGTATTCTAGGTGTGGTCCTACCAAAGCATTATAAAGTCGTATTAGTACTTCACGGGTTTTTGATTGAATGCCTCTATTAATGCAATTTAGGATTGCTTTTGCTTTTTTGGCTGCCGCCACACACTGCTGGCTCATATTTAATTGATTGACCACTAAAACTCCAAGATCCCTCTAGTCCAACCCCCTCTTCAGGCAGGAAACCCTACACCACTTCAGACAAATGGCTATCCAATCTCTTTTTAAAAATCTCCAGTGTTGGAGCACCCAAAATATCTGGAGGCAAGTCGTTCCACTGATTAATTCTTCCCACTGTCAGGAAATTCCTCCTTAGTTCTAAGTTGCTTCTCTCCTTGATTAGTTTCCACCCATTGCTTCTTGTTCTACCCTCAGGTGCTTTGGAGAATAGCTTGACTCCCTCTTCTTTGTGGCAGCCCCTGAGATTTTTTATTTTATTTTATATTTTATTTTTTAATTTGATTTATATGCCGCCCTTCTCCGGAGACTCAGGGCGGCTTACAATGCGTTAAGCAATAGCCTTCATACTTTTGTATATTTATACAAAGTCAGCTTATTGCCCCCACAATCCGGGTCCTCATTTCACCTACCTTTGAAAGGATGGAAGGCTGAGTCAACCTTGAGCCTGGTGAGATTCAAACCTGCAGTAATTGAAGACAGCTTGTCTTAATCACAATGCTTAGAGATATTGGAAGACTGCTATCATGTCACCCCAGTCCTTCTTTTCATTAAATGAGATATACCGATGCTAAGTGGCAAGGCCGTTAATTCATTGCAAATGGCGTGCTACCCATTAAACCAGCCTTAAGAGAGAGGGGGAGGGAAATGCTTTAGAAATAGGAAACATAAGTAAAAAAAAAAAAAAAAACATAACTTGAAACCATGTGGCCTCTGTTAACAGCTGCCATTGATGACGACGTGGTGCGGTACCGGTATGTCAAGAAGAAGGGTTACGTCCGGTTGCACACCAACAAAGGAGATCTCAACCTGGAGCTTCACTGTGACATGGTAAGGAGTTACTCGGCTCGTTACTGTTGGTTGGCAACTCTTCAAATGGTCCTTCAGATGCTTCAAGGCGGATGGTCCAATAAATAGCAATAGCCCTTAGACTTATATACCGCTTCACAGTGCCTTTCCAGCCCTCTCTAAGCGGTTTACAGAGTCAGCCTCTTGCCCCCAACAATCTGGGTCCTCATTTTACCGACCTCAGAAGGATGGAAGGCTGAGTCAGTCTTGAGCCAGTCAGGATTGAACTGCTGGCAGTGGGCAGTGAGTTAACCTGCAATACTGCATTTTAACCACTGGGAGGAAGGGAAAGAGGGAGGGAGGAAGGAAGGAAGGAGAGCAAATGAAGAGCAATAGCGCTTAGCGCTTATACCGCTTCACAGTGCTTTACAGCTCTTTCTAAGCGGTTTACAAAATCAGCCTCTTGCCCCCAACAATCTGGGTCCTCATTTTACTGACCCCGGGAAGGATGGAAGGCTGAGTCAATCCTTGAGCTGGTCAGGATCAAACTGCTGGCAGCCAGCAGAGTCAGCCTGCCATAGTGCCTTCTAACCACTGCGCCACCACGGCTCATCGGTTAAAATCTTTCCAGATTTGATGAAACTTGGATTCCCTGCCTGTGATGTTTTTATTAGTCACGCTTAGCGACATAAATTTGGGGCTCGGCGGTGCTCGTAAACCAAAGACTTAACCTGGAGTAAAAACAGAGCGGTGTTCTTAAAACAGCTGATGAACCCCTCTGCGATCAGCTGCCAAGAGCTTCCAAGCTCTTTGATTACCTGGATCCATCTCCCTGGGGGGAGGGGGGGAGGGGGGGGAGAAGAGGTTTGCCCCCAGGGTGTATTTTTAGATCCTCCGTGTGGAGGTGAGAAGCAGGGAGTCTGGGCGGCGCTGGCTTCGGAGGTGACGAATGGGCCAAGGCACCGACTTGTCGCAACTTGGCGTTGTGCTGGAGCCTTCAACACAGAGCGTTTCATTTTTCTCTCTGCCTGTTGAATAGCCCTGAGCCCTGCCTCCTTCCTTCCTCCCTCCCTCTTTTTCTGTGCCTCCTTCCTGCCCTCCTTCCTCCCTCCCTCCCTCCATCCCTTTCCCTTGTTTCCTTTTTATCCTCCCCTCCCTTCCTTTTGTCCTTCCTTCTCATTTTACTTCTTTCCCTTTGTTGTTATCTTTCCCTTCTCTCTTTTCTCCTTCCTTCCTCTTTTCCTTCCTGTTTTCCCTCCTTCCTTCCTTTTTTCTTCCATCCATCTTCTTACATTTTCAGGCTCCACTCACCCCCTTCCTTCCTCCTCCCTCCCTCCCTCCCTTTATCTCTTTCCCTTCTTTCCTTCTTATCCTTCCTCTTTCCCTCTTTCCCTCCTTTCCTTTTGTCCTTCCTTCTCTCCTTTCCCTTTGTTGTTATCTTTCCCTTCTCTCTTTATCTCCTTCCTTCCTTCTTTTCCTTTCTGTTTTCCTTTTCTTCCATCCATCTTCTTACGTCTTCAGGCTCCACTCACCCGCTTCCTTCCTTCCTTTCTCCCCTCCCTCCCTCCCTTTATCTCTTTCCCTTCTTTCCTTCTTATCCTTCGTCTTTCCCTCCTTTCCTTCCTTCTCTCTTTACTTCTTTCCCTTTGTTGTTATCTTTCCCTTCTCTCTTTATCTCCTTCTTTCCTTCTTTTCCTTCCTGTTTTCCCTCCTTCCTTCCTTTTTCTTCCATCCATCTTCTTACGTCTTCAGGCTCCACTCACCCCTTTCCTCCCTCCCTCCTTTTATCTCTTTCCCTTCTTTCCTTCTTATCCTTCCTCCTTCCCTCCTTTCCTTTTGTCCTTTCTTCTCTCTTTACTACTACTTTCCCTTTGTTCTTATCTCTCCCTTCTCTCTTTATCTCCTTCCTTCCTCTTCTCCATCCATCCATCCATCCATCCATCCATCCATCCATCCATCCTGTGGAGGTCGTGGGCATCAATCCTAATTAAAGCATCCCTGGCAGATGGCTGTCGAGAGCCTTACATTGCTGCAATCACACTCTCCTACCATGGCCCAGTGCCGCATGTATCTCTTCGATGGGAGGTGTTGAAGCCGTGTCATGTTTTATGCGACCTCCGTCAAAAAACCCTGGTGTAATGTACTCGTGAGGATTTCAGGAGCCAGTAGCTTTTAGGTATCACTGAAGGAGATCATTTTGGACCAAAGAAGGTAGCTGGGAAGAGATGACTCATGAGTGGTGGGAAGAAGACCATGTCATCCAATGATCCATCAAGAGATACCAGCCCTGGGCCTTCCTTCTGAGCCCAGCCATCCAGCTTCTCTCCTTTGGGGGCATTTTAATTATTTGTACTCTAATTAGAATAGAGTAGAGTAGAGTAGAGTAGAGTAGAGTAGAGTAGAGTAGAGTAGAATTGGAAATGGGAATGGAATGGAATGGAATGGAATGGAATGGAATGGAATAGAGAAAAGAGAAGAATTGAATTGAATTGAATTGAATTGAATTGAATTGAATTGAATTGAATTCTTTATTGGCCAAGTGTGATTGGACACATAAGGAATTTGTCTTGGTGCATATGCTCTCAGTGTACATAAGGCCAATAAAATACATTCATCGAGAATAAAAAGATACAACACTTAGTGATCGTCAAGGTTACTAATAAGCTATCAAATCGTACTAGGAAACAGGTAAAAACAATATAATTGAAAGGTACAAGCAACATGTTTATAGTCCTAAGTGGGAAGAGATAGATGCTAGGAAGGAAGAGAAGAATAATAGCAATACAGTCTCAGTAAATTATTTGACAGTGTTGTGGGAATTATTTGTTTAGCAGAGTGATGGCGTTCGGGGGAAAAACTGTCCTTGTGTCTAGTTGTTCTGGTGTGCAGTGCTCTATAGTGTCATTTTGAGGGTAGGAGTTGAAACAGCTTATGTCCAGGATGCGAGGGGTCTGTAGATATTTTCCCAGCCCTCTTTTTGACTCCTGCAGTATACAGGTCCTCAGTGGAAGGCAGGTTGGTAGCCATGGTTTTTTCTGCCGTTCTAATGATCCTCTGAAGTCCGTGTCTGCCTTGTTGGGTTGCAGAGGCAAACCAGACAGTTTTGGAGGTGCCTGTCCGTATTCGATCCTCCCCCGTATCTGTAAGGACAAGCAGCTCTCCGTCCGTCGACCACCTCCCCCAATGCCAAAGGGGCCTGGGACCGCATCGTCCTGAGCCTCTTGGACTCTGCAGACATTCCAGGGGAGACATGGCGTCCCCATCACATGATCCCAGTTCCGACTCTTCCTCCTTCCCCGAACTGGGATCCGATGGGGCCACGACAGTCTTCCTGTTCAATCTCATCAACCGTCCCACTAGGTTAGACAGCAAAGGAAAAATGTCTCCTGGGACATATTTTTGGATCAAGGGTATAACTTTACTGAAGATTCCGTGTGGTTAGGTAAAGGTTCCCCTCGCACATATGTGCTAGTCATTCCCGACTCTAGGGGGCGGTGCTCATCTCCGTTCCAAAGCCGAAGAGCCAACGCTGTCCGAAGACGTCTCCGTGGTCATGTGGCCGGCATGACTCAACGCCAAAGGCGCACGGAACGCTGTTCCCTTCCCACCAAAGGTGGTCCCTATTTTTCTACTTGCATTTTTTACCTGCTTTCGAACTGCTAGGTTGGCAGAAGCTGGGACAAGTCACGGGAGCTCACCCCGTTACGTGGCACTAGGGATTTGAACTGCCGACCTTTCGATCGACAAGCTCAGTGGCTAAGAAGCTACCACGTCCGTTAACCATGTGGTTAAAGAAGTAGAAAAGCCAGTTCTAATGATTTTGCGCGCAAACAGGATAGGAAAAGTTTCCCTCCCTTCCCCCCAGCCCCGGATCTCCCATTGTCCATCAATCATTTACACACTCTCTTTATTTTGGGAACGATCTGTCTGCCTGTCGGACTTCCCCAGCTGGAAGTGTTGGGTCTGTCTCAGGCTGCCACCGCTTGGCAAACTTACATTCCAAATTTGCCTCCCAAATATCCCTTACATTCCAGTTCTTTCCTTGCCACCCCCTTCCCATCCAAAAAAAGAAAGTGGTGTTATCAGCCATCAAATCTCAAAAATAACACTTTTCCCAAAAAGGTTTCCACAATCCTGGCCACTCCTGTAATCTTGGAAAAACCAGAGCCATCCCTTTGGTGAGATGGATGCTTTGTTCTTTTCGAATGCCGCCAACGTATTTGTCTCCCTTCCCAACGTCCTTTCGCTTCGACCAATAGCGAACGGGTCGAAGCCACGAGCCAAAATCAGATTTTGGGGTTGTTGTTTTATTCCCACCCGAGAGTTCAAAAAGCCGAAACATTCCAAAATCTGGAATCGTTCTTTTTAAGTGGTTGAAATGGCAGGGGAAAAAAAATAGAAGGAAGGAATGGGTTTCTCTGTCCAAGGGAGTTTTCGGCTGTTTTTCTTTTTCTTCTTATCCTTCCTTTCAGGGAACGTTGCTAAGGCAACCCCGGCATGCTTGCCAGAATATTATGCGCCTTGCATTGGTGCACACCCAGTGGCCATGGGAACGAGCACCCTCTCTCTCCATGCGTGTGGAAAGAGAGAGAGAGAGAGCGAGAGAGAGAGCGTGCGTGTGTATAAATATAAATAAAATCAGAGGAAAATAATTTGCAGCCCACGGAGTGTTTGCAAAAAAGAAAGACGCCTCTTATCTCTTTTTCCATCGTTGTGGATGAATTTGTTATTGCTTGGCCGAGTGCAGAAATGGGGCTTAACATTAACAGGAAAATTCTTTTTTTTTTTTTTGCAAGTAGTTCTCCACTTACGAATGTTCGTTTAGTGACGGTTGAAAGTTAGAACGGCACCCACGCCGTCATGAATAACGAGTCAGTCGCCAAGGGTCCGACATTTTGACCTGTGGAAAATACGGCAACGGTTGTGAAAACTGGTTCATAAGTCATTTTTTTCCCCCTCCGGTGCGTCGCACCTTCGAACAGGCGCTAAAACTATTGCAAGTCAAGGACTACCGATAATCTCAGCCATGGCTAGCTATTTATTTATTTATTTATTTATTTTATGATTTATTGGTTACAATTTATTACAGGTAGTCCTCAAGTTACGACTGCTGTTGAGCCCAAAATTTGCGTCGCTAATTGAAAGGTTCGTTCAGTCAGTGCGTTTCGCCCCGTTTTACAGCCTTCCTTGCCCCTGTTGCTAAGTGAACCGTTGTGTTTGTTAAGTTAGCTTAACATGGTTGTTGAGTGAACCTAGATTCCACATGGACTTCGCTTGTCAGAAGGTCGTAAAATCGGATCCTGCGAACCCAGGACGCTCCAGTCGTCATAAGTATGAACCAGTTGCCAGGTGTCTGAATTTTGGTCATGTGAGCCTGGGATTTCTTGCAACGGTCATAAGTGTGAAAAACGGTCCTATGTCCCTTTTTTTTTCAGCGACATTGTAACGTTGAATGGTCACTAAATGAACCGTTGTAAATCGGGGACTGCCTTTATCTGGCCGTGGGCCTTCTCTAGGCAGCTTAAGACAATAAACAGGAAGAAATGAACTGAACTAGATTGTGTTTAGGTTTATTTAGTTTAGGGATGTGGTGGCTCAGCGGCTAAGACACTGAGCTGATCGATCGAAAGGTTGGCAGTTCAGCTGTTCGAATCCTTAGTGCCGCGTAACGGGGTGAGCTCCCGTGACTTGTCCCAGCTTCTGCCAACCTAGCAGTTCGAAAGCAGGTAAAAAAAAAAATGCAAGTAGAAAAATAGAGATCACCTTTGGTGGGAAGGGAACAGCGTTCCGTGCGCCTTTGGTGTTGAGTCATGATGGCCACATGACCACGGAGACGTCTTCGGACAGCGCTGGCTCTTCGGCTTTGAAACGGAGATGAGCACCGCCCCCTAGAGTCGGGAATGACTAGCACAATATGTGCGAGGGGAACCTTTACCTTTTTAGACTGTGTTGTTTCTCTGTGCCATATAATATATGCGGGTATATGCCTAATTTTGTATTGATTTACTTATTTATTTTGTCATGTTAATGGTGCGTATATTGGAGGCGGTGACCCTTTGAGAGCTGTATGCCACGAAATTTCATTTTAACGTATGCCGATCAGTGTACATTCAGCAACAATAAAATTATCGTTCTAAGTGTGAACGAAACAGAGGTACAGAACAATAAAATCAGCAATGAGAAGAAGAAAACGGCGAGAACCTATCCGATACGATAAGAAAATACAGACAGAGAATAAGAGTATTTTTTCTGCGGTTCATTCCCCAAACAGCTTTCCTGGGTAAAAACAGACTTGATTCCATTCTAAGCAGCTTGTGTGTTTTTTTTTCTTTTCTTTTCTGTCTTTCTCAGACCCCTAAAACCTGTGAAAACTTCATTAAACTCTGCAGGAAGAACTACTACGACGGGACCATATTTCACCGATCGATTCGTAATTTCGTGGTGAGTATCGAACCGGGAGGGCAAAGGTAGATACAGATTAACAAAGAGTTGGAAGGGACCTTGTAGGTCATCTACTCCAACCCCCCGCCCAAGCAGGAGACCTTACACCATTTCTGACCGATGGCAGTCCAGTCTTTTCTTGAAAGCCTCCAGTGATGAAGCTCCCACAACTTCTGAAGGCAACTTCTGTTCCATGGGTTGATTGTCAGAAAATTCCTCCTTATTTCCAGGTTGAATCTCTCCTTGTTCAGTTTCTATCCATTATTCCTTGTCTGGCCTTCGGGTGCCTTGGAAAATAGCTTGACCCCCTCCTCTCTGTGGCAGCCCCTCAAATATTGGAAGACTGCTATCCTGTCTCCCCTGGTCCTTCTCTTCACTAGACTAGCCATGCCCAGTTCCTGCAACCGTTCATCGTATGTTTTAGCCTCCAGTCCCCTCATCATCTTTCTTGCTCTTCTCTGCACTCTTATAAGTATTAGTTTGTTTACGACCTTTCTTGCCACAGTTGTTAAATGAATGAATAGTAGTTAATAAGTTAAGGATATTGTTGTTGTGTTACCAACCAGCAGAGTGTAGAGCACAGAGAAACGTTGCTGAGAGCAATGAATAAGAGATGTGCAAACTGGTTTATCAAAAGTTGACTTTATAGTGAAAAAACAATCTCATAGTCTTTAAATCAATCCAAGTCTTTGCCAGTTAAATCAGTCCAGTGATACAAAAACTTTTCTTACCACACAAACAGTAGTTGGTTAGAATAACAAACTCACTCTGGTTCACAAACCACGATGGTAGCAGATCCATCCAACGATGATAGCACAATGATAGCAACTCCACACACTATGGTAGCTTATCATCAACTGAATACTTTACAGTACTTTTCTTAAATACGTTTACAACCAGTGATTATCTAATTACAGCATGACTCAGCATTACAATGAATCAGCAGTAAGACTTTAAAGTCACACAATACATATTCATATTAAAGTCACAGATATATTGCCTGGACAACTTGTTAGGCTCAAACCATATCCTAACAAAGTCACCCAGTTGTTAAGTGAATCTGGCTTCCCTGATTCACTTTGTTTGTGAGAAGGTCGCAAGAGGGGATGACGTGACCCCGGGATACTGCGACCGTCATAAATACGAACCGGTGGCCAAGCCTTTGAATATTTGAGCCCATGAGCTTGAAGCTCCTGCAAAGGTCGAAAGTGTGAAAAACGGGTCGTAAGTCACTTCATTTAGCACCGTTGTAACTCTGAACGGTCACTAACTGAACTGTTGTAAGTCGAGGACTACCTGTGTTTCACCCTTTGGCAAACACCCCCCCACCCAAAACTTCCCTGCTCAGCAGCTGAAACTCTGATTATTGTAATTTGCTCCTTTTGGGAGCTGGTTGCTTGATGGCGGCAGGGCCCCGGTTAAAGGAGAAGGGAATAAAAAAAAATAATTTTGTTTTTCTTTTCTCCAGTGGGCTGATAAAAAGTAACGTCTTGAATGGTCTCAAATGATAAATTCATGGCTCTTCAGCTTCCCCCTGACACTGTCTTTATCTTTTGACTGTCTAGATTCAAGGTGGAGACCCAACCGGGACAGGAACAGGTAAAAGGAATCTCAGATTTTTTTTTTTCTTTCTTTCTTTCTTTCTTTCTTTCTTTCTTTCTTTCTTTCTTTTCTTTCTTTCTTTCTTCCTTCCTTCCTTCCTTCCTTCCTTCCTTCCTTCCTTTCCTTTTCTTTCTTTCTATGATTGATTGATTGATTGATTGATTGATTGATTGATTTTAGTTCTTTATAAACCCTCTAGGTCAGGAGTCCCCACCTTTCGGACCTCAGGGACCACTAAATTCATAATTTTAAATCCCACGGACCATTAATATGGTCTACCTAATGACCGCTGGGTGGGCGTGGCTAGGTGGGCATGTGACTGGGTGGGCATGGCCAACTCGATGTCACTCATATCAAGGGTGCCTTGCTGGCCTCTACTCGCCCCTCCCCTCCCAGCCACTCCTCGCCTGTCCCGCCCTGGCTCCTTAGTGCCCCGACAGGAAGCAGTTGCTGGAGCTAAGCAGCCACCACGAGAAAGTTGGCAAAACAGCTCAGTTTAAATTGGATCTGACCAAGAAGGACGCTCAGCAGAAGCACCTCACTGAGGACTAGGAGCATAGGCTTTCCAAGCAGAGGAAGACCTGTGGGAATGCAAGGCCAGCTACTGGCGCCTGGAGGCTCAGTGGCTGAGATGGTCAGCCAGTTCCAGGCCATGATGCAGTCCCACTGAAACGAGGCCTCATGGCTCTTTGCCACCAGCGGCGCTTCCCTCCAGCCTTCGCCCAAAGCCCCACACCAGGAGGCTGAAGCAGACCCCAAGTCGGAATTTCTGCCCCCCTCCGACCCACAGAAAAGACCCCGAAGCAGGAATTTCACTTCCACCACCACCATCGGTGTGAAATATTTCCTAGAATGGCTACTCAGTGACCCCGCCTCCTCCTTCCCAGTCCCAGGTTCCTCCGAGAGAAGCACAAAACCCCAAAAAAAAATAAAAATCAGTTTTTTAGAAACCAAACCGTACTTTTGCCGGCTGAGACTGAGAGCCTGCCAGGAACGGGGCAGAGTCATCCCCCAAATCTAGAAATGAAATCAATCCTTACGAGGGCCAACCCCACATCCCGGGTTCTGGATTGCAGCCCTCACCTCACACTGAAACGCTGAAGGAACAGATGGGCAGGGAGAAAGTGAGCGCACACGGCTGAATTTAGATCGGTCGGTGTGACTGCTGGGTGGGTGGGAGGCGTGGGAGGGCTTGAGGGTCTGCTTTTCCTGGAGGGATTTTGAAAAAAGGGAAAAAAAGGAAAGGGAGCATTTTTGCTCACTTGCTTTCTCTGTGCCTGGAGGTGCATTTAAAACATGTATACAGGCAGTCCTCAGCTTACGACCGCAATTGAGGCCAACATTTCTGTTGCTGAGCAAGAAAGTCATTAAGCGAGTCTTGCCCCATTTCACAATTTTTCCTATTCCATTCTTCCATTCCATTCTATTCTATTCTATTCCATTCTATTCTATTCTCTTCATTTTCTCTTCTCTTCTATTCCATTCCATTCCATTCCACTTATTCTATTCTATTCTATTCTATTCTATTCTATTCTATTCTACCCTTCCCTTCCCTTCCCTTCCCTTCCCTTCCATTCCATTCCATTCATTTTCTCTTCTCTTCTATTGATGTTCTGTTCTGTTCTGTTCTGTTCTATTCTATTCATCTTCTCTTCTCTTCTCTTCTCTTCTCTTCTCTTCTCTTCTCTTCTCTTCTCTTCTTTTCCTGTTCTATTCCATTCATTTTCTCTTCTCTTCTATTCATTTTCTCTTCTCTTCTATTCCATTCCATTCCACTCCACTCCACTCCACCTGTTCTGTCCTGTTCTGTTCTATTCATATTCTACTCTACTCTACATTATTCTATTCTACCTTCTATTCTATTCCTTTCTGCTCCTAACGAAGGACCAATTCAGGAGGAATAGGACAGCCGTCCATCTCTCCGTTCATTCCTCGAGGAATGTGGAAAGAGCAGCCGTGCACCTGGGGCAGATTCCCATGTTAGGTCTGCCCAGGAACAAAAGCCAGAAGGGGAGGCAGACGTAGAGGGATCCAGAGTGGATTCTTTGGAGCGGATTCTTTCTTCACTTCTCTGCAGGAGAAAATGGGATGGTTTCTCCTAGCCCAGAGTGAACATCGGGGGGCACTTAACTTCCGTTCAAATCTTAGCTGCTTCCAAAGGCAGGAAGTAAATTTGGGCCCGCTGATAAAAGGGGACTGGCTTTTTGCTCTGTTTTTTTTTTTTAATTGAATTGGCAGAGATTTCTGGCCCTTTGCCATCTAGCAGTAGTAACAACAAAGCTGCTCCTTTGTCTTTGCTGGAAATTGTACAGCTGGAAATTTTAAGATGCGCTAGAGATGGATTTGTGGCGTCCTTGGTGCTCTCTGAGCTGGGTTGTTTTCTTGTAGGTGTTTTATTACCCAGCTAGGTAATAGCATCAGTGCTAGAAGGGAGTGGGGTTTGGGAAGAGGAAGGAAGGAAGGAAGGAAGGAAGGAAGGAAGGAAGGAAGGAAGGATGGACTATAGGGTCTTTGGTGCTCTCTAGAGTAGTGGCCAAAATTGTGGAAACCTTTTGGGAAAAGTGTATTTTTGAGGTTTGATGGCTAATAACACCACTTTATTTATTTATTTATTTATTTACTTACTTACTTACTTATTTATTTATTTACTTATTTACTTACTTATTTGTTTATTTATTTACTTACTTACTTACTTATTTACTTATTTACTTACTTACTTATTTATTTATTTACTTACTTATTTATTTATTTATTATTTAGTATGTATGTATGTATGTATGTATGTATGTATGTATGTATGTATGTTTCAAGATAATCCTATTTCACTGCTGGAATGGCCTGGGAATAACCCAGACCTTCACCCAATTGAAAATCTATGGAGCCGATTAAAGAAACTTGTTAGTCAGAAGGGACCCAGCAATAAAACCCAGTTAATAGAAGCCATCATTCAATCTTGGTTTCGCATTAGAACAGCTGCAGAACTCAAAGACTTGGTTCCACTCCATGGGAAGACGTCGTAAGGCCATAATTCATGCTAAAGGTTACTCAGCTAAGGATTAACTGACATGGTGATCATTTTTATATATCTCATTTTTTTTCTAGGGGGATCAATTTTTGTATATCTCGTTTTTTCTACGTGTTCCACTTTTCTTCTTTATACCGTAACTGCTATTCTAATAGCAAATCCTTCATGAAAGTGATTGCATTACGTTCTTGATTAAATTATCTTTCCATTGATAGATAATTTTATGGTACTGCTCCCAAAAAAAGTGGTGTTATTAGCTAGTTTTAGAAAACACACTTTTCCCAAAAGGTTTCCACAATTTTGGCTACTACTGTATATGAATGTCTCCTTCACCATCCAGAGAAGGTTCTTCTGAGGAGCTGTGGTGGAACCCAAGAGCTGCCTTGAGGCAGCCTCTTGCCTTTTATTTATTTCCTGCAGGAAATGCTCGCCAGTCCCTCTTAACCTTCTTAATTAACTCTGTCCTCATTCTATCAAGCAGAAGGAGGGCCGGCTTTCAGGCATGTTCTACGTTTTTATTTCAGGAGGAGAATCGTACTGGGGAAAGCCGTTCAAAGACGAACTGAGGCCCAACTTGTCCCACACAGGGCGAGGTGTCCTCAGCATGGCCAACACGGGGCCCAACAGCAACAAATCTCAATTGTAAGTGGAGACTTGGCTCTTCTAATTTATTGATTTATTATTTTATTAGTCATATTTCTATGCCGCCCACTCTCTGAGGACTCTGGGCGGCTTACAACAATTGACAGTATACTAAACAGCATATTGCCCCCCAACAATCTGGGTCCTCATTTTACCCACCTCGGGAGGATGGAAGGCTGAGTCAACCTTGAGCCTGGTGAGATTTGATCCGCTGATCTGCTGAACTAGCAGTCAGCTGAAGTAGCTGCAGTACTGCACTCTAACCACTGCGCCACCTCGGCTCTTTTGTCCTTGCTCCCATCAGGAGGACACGAGCGAGTGTCCCAAAGGTGCTTTTTCAAGAGGCAACTGGGTCTTTCTGGTTTTTCTTTGAAGACATTTCGCTTCTCATCCAGGACCCCCTCCGTGATTCCCCCGCTTTTGGCACGCGATGGCATGGTGGGCCCAGTAGGCCCGTTTTTCGCCCTCTCTAGGCTCCAGAGCCTTTCTAGGCGCCTGGGGAGGGCAAAAACAGCCTTCCCCAGCCTGACTTCCAGTGGGCCCAGAAGGCCCGAAAGCTGAGCTTGCGTGCCCACCAATATGATCATAGGTTCACCATCACGGCCCTATACCATTGCAGACAAATGGTTGCCCAATCTCTTCTTGAAAACTTCCAGCGTTGGAGCATTCACAACTTCTGGAGGCAAGTCGTTCCGCCGATTCGTTGTAGATCCACGCAGGCCCATCGTAACTTTGAACCGTCATTAAGCGACCGGTTGTAAGTCGAGGACTGCCTACAGTTCCCCCGGAGAGGCCTTTGGCTTTTAGCTCCTGCATGTCCTCAAGCCTGTAAAATACGGACTCCCAGGAATGCTGTAAATTAAATCTCAATCAGCCGAGTCGTGGCATCGTGTAATTGGATCCGAGAAACCACCGATTACGCAGCCAGCTCTGCGATAACAAACGGCCAATCCTCTTTTTAGAATTCTTTTTTTTTTCTTCTTCTTCTTCTTCCCATTTCATCTGGAAAGGTTAAAGCTTCCTTCTCCGCCATTCATTCTGCTGAGATAGGAACGGGTAGTCCTCGGCTTACGACCAGAGTGGAGCCCGAAATGTATGTGGCCGAGTGAGACATTGGTTAAGTGAGCTTTGCCCGGTTTTTACAACTTTTCTTGGCCACGTTGGTTTAAAGTAAACTGCTGCCGTTATTAACACTAGTAAGACGGTTGTTAAGTGAATCTAGTTTTCCCGTGGACTTTGCTTGTCGGACGGTCGCAAAAGGGGATCGTGTGACCCCGTCATAAACGCGAGCCGATTATCATGCATCCGAACATTCGCATCACGTTCGGGGATACTGCCAACGGTCGTAAGTGTGGGGAAAAAAATCCCCCTTTTTTAGTGCCTTTGTAACTTCAAACGGTCATTAAGTGAACTGTTGTAAGTCAAGGACTGCCTGTACGTACCTCGAGCTGGTGACAATTTGGCTGAGCCGAGTCCCAGCTGTTTGCGTTACTGTGATTGACTCATTTTTGGGGGAAACTCTTGATGTGTTTGTTTCATGGCAGCCTTTTCTTTTCTTTTCCAAGTTTCATTACTTTCCGCTCCTGTGCATACCTGGATAAGAAGCACACCATATTTGGAAGGTAAGCGAAAACATTTCTCTATATCGCAGCCAGCATTTCGTTAATTACCCTTAACAGATGTCTGTGTGGCAGTTAGAAATTTTTTTTTTATTAAAAAAAACCCCAAAAAATCTGGAGGAAAAAAACAATGGATTTGCAAGCACCCTCAGCTATAGGTAAAGGTAAAGGTTCCCCTCGCACATATGTGCTAGTTGTTCCCGACTCTAAGGGGCAGGTGCTCATCTCCGTGTCAAAGCCGAAGAGCCAGCACTGTCCGAAGACGTCTCCGTGGTCATGTGGCCGGCATGACTCAATGCCAAAGACGCACGGAACGCTCTTCTCTTCCCACCAAAGGTGGTCCCTATTTTTTTCTACTTGCATTTTTTTAACGTGCTTTCGAACTGCTAGGTTGGCAGAAGCTGGGACAAGTCACGGGAGCTCACCCTGTTACGCGGCACTAGGGATTCGAACCGCTGAACTGCCAACCTTTCCATCGACAAGCTCAGCGTCTTAGCCACTGAGCCACTGGGTCCCCTTTTACTCTCAGCTATAAAAGAGCTCAAATTCATAAGCTTGCTTACCAGCGCAGCCCAAGCTAAGAATGCTATGATTGTTTGATTGGGGATTCTATTCTATTCTATCCTATCCTATCCTATCCTATCCTATCCTATCCTATCCTATCCTATCCTGTCCTGTCCTGTCCTGTCCTGTCCTGTCCCGTATTTTCTATTCTATTCCATATTTTCTATTCTATTCTATTCCATTCCACTCCATATTTTCCATTCCATTCCATATTTTCCATTCCATTCCATATTTTCTGTTCTATTCCATTCCATTCCATATTTTCTATTCTATTCTATTCCATTCCATTCCATTCCATATTTTCTGTTCTATTCCATTCCATTCCATATTTTCTATTCTATTCCATTCCATTCCACTCCATATTTTCCATTCCATTCCATTCCATTCCATTCCATTCCATTCCATATTTTCTATTCTAGTCCATATTTTCTATTCTAGTCCATACTTTCTATTCTATTCCATTCCATTCCATATTTTCTACTCTACTCTACTCTACTCTACTCTACTCTACTCTACTCTACTCTACTCTACTCTATTATTACTCTTACTCTTATTCCATTCTAAAGGAAATCACGTTAAACACCCCTAGCTGCCTTCCATTCGGTGCTTATGATTTCACTTTGACTTATGAAGGCCAACACCGAGCTGCCTTCTGTCCCTTCCTTCCGTTGGCCGCACCAGCTTCCTCCTCCTCGTCCCCCACTCCAATTTTGAAGTAGGTTGGGCTTTTTCGTACTATGTCCTTACTCCGTGTGGGTTTTTCCTCTTCCTTTCCCCAGAGTCGTCGGAGGCTTTGAGACCCTCACTGCGATGGAAAACGTGGAGAGCGATCCCAAAACAGACCGTCCCAAGGTCAGTCTCTTGGGGCGAAAGATCAAACGGAAAGAGAATAAAACAGCCTCGGGTGTCAGGTCTGGCAGCCATCTTTTGCCTTGGATATTCAGGCCTGCCACATTTACTACTGTGGGAAACTGGGAGGGGGGATTGTATTAAGCATTGGCAGAGGTGGGTTTCGACAGGTTCTGACCAGTTCTGGAGAACCGGTAGTGGAAATTTTGAGTAGTTTGGAGAACCGGTAGTAAAAATTCTGACTGGCACCGCCCCCATCTATTCTCTGCCTCCCAAGACCCAGCTGATTGGGAGGAAATGGGGGTTTTGCAGTATCCTCCCCTGCCACACCCACCAAGCCACACCCACAGAACCGGTAGTAAAAAATTTTGAAGCCCACCACTGAGCATGGGTGATATGTAGTCATAATAACATTCCTTTCTCAAAGAATCAAGGACATAACTGCCCTGCACTTGGAGGGCTGGAACTGGAAGGCATCCCCAATTGAGACGGTGCTTGGATTGGACCATGTGGATGTTGGGAAGGGACTTGGACTTTCTTTTGGGTGGGGAAAACCTGGAAGCTTTCAGATTCGGGTTTTCTCAGACGTGCCAATACGACATCTCTAATAAAATGGAACTTTAAGCCTCGGAGTTTTCTTTCGTTGGGGGTGTTACTTGGACCTCGGACATTCGGCTACGTTTAAACGATTTCAACTTTGCACCAAAGCAGCAGCGAAAAAGCCTGTGTAATTCCCCCCCCCCCCCCCCGTTCTCTCTCTCTCTCTCTCTTTTTTTAGGAGGAAATAAAAATCAAATCCACAACAGTTTTTGTTGACCCGTATGAAGAGGCAGACACCCAGGTAAGCGTTCAAAAGAGTTCAGGAAGACAATTGACTGCAGGTGACTCGTGTGCCCCTTTCACCCTCCCAAATTCTCTCGTATATTAAGTTTTTATTCGGCTGGCGGGGAAAGGCAGAAACGCTGGAATTATTGCACGACCAGATATGGGTCAGTCGGTCGTCAGAAGTTGCTGTCTGTCGTTCTCTCAAAACCTTGCAGCCCGAGTGGCCGCACAGAAGGCAGGGAGTCCTCGCCTTACGACCAGAACAGCAACCTCATTCGCTAGGAGTTGTGTCTTTGTGCGGTTATTGCATTGTCCTACTTTGCCTTCCTTTCTCAAAAATGAAGCAACGGAGAGCAAGAAAGATCTGTCTTTCCTCTTTTTTCTTCCTTCCTTCTCCACATTTTTCCTTTCTCCTTACTTCCCCCTCTCTTTTTTTTCTTTCCTTTTTTCCTCTTCCTCCCTCATTTCTCTCTTCTTTCCCTTCCTCCTTCCTTCCCCTCTCCTTTTTTCTTCTTCCTTCCTTTCCCTTCCTTCTTCCCTTCCCCTTCCCTCTCTTCCCCTTCCTTCCTCCTTCCTTCCCTTTCCCTCTCTTCTCCTTCCTTCTTTCCTCCCTTCCCTTCCTTCCTTCCTTTCCCTTCCCCTTCCCCTTCCTTCCATTCCTCCTTCCTTTCCCTTTCCCTTCCTTCCTCCTTCCTTCCTTCCTTCCTTCCATTTGTCCTTTCTTTCCCCTTCCTTCCTTCCCTTCCCTTCCCTTCCCTTCCTTCCTTCCTATAGCTGCTCATCTCCCCCAGTGACTGAGCACCTTACGGTTCTAAAAACTATACAAACTTTGTGTGCAGCTGCTGCCCATCTCCCGTTTTCAGGCAACTGGTGCTGTGTGGCCTGCTTGAAACCTCTTTTTCAAGGGTTTTTTTTTTTCTCGGAAGAGTGATCTGTCTCTGTTCACTTTCTCCAAGGTCGCCCAAGAAAGAGAGAAGGCCCTGCAGGAAGAGGAGGCAACGAAGAGAGAAAGCAAAGAAGTCCTGAAGAAAGAACCTCCCACACCAAAAACTTACCGCACCGGAGTTGGGAAATACATAAACATAGCAGCAGCGTAAGTTCTGGCTGCTTTTTACTTTTTTGAATTTCTGGGTTTTTTTCTATGGGGAGATAAAAGCATGTGTGGAAAAAATAATCTTTGCCAGTTGATCTTATTGAATTTGTGCAAACATTTTTGTGGTTTCAGGCAGTGAAAAATAGAAATAAGACAGGACAGGACAGGACAGGACAGGACAGGACAGGACAGGATGATGGATGGATGGATGGATGGATAGAGAGATAGATAGGTAGTGTGGGTGGGTGGAGAGAGAGAGGGAGCGATAGAGCTAGATGATAGACAGATAGGATGGGATGGGGTAGGATAGGATAGGGTAATGAATAGAAAATAATGAAGAATAGAATACGGATAGAAATTGTATAGTTCTTACCACAAACAAGTGCACTGTCACTTTTCCACTTGATCACCGCTTGTTTTTCCGGCTGTCAGAGCTTCGGTTTGGCCATTAATGGCTGGCTTTTTCTCTGCCTGTTCAGAAAGTTTCCCCAGATCTAGCTAGATGGACCGCCGTCCACCTGCGATCTGCGGGCGCCCTCCCAGCTTGGTCACCCCTTCAAGGTGAGAGTTGGCCCCAAGGAGCCTCCAGGCTGGTAGAAAACACCTGATTTTCGTGGATTTCCTCGGATCTCTGCAGATTTCAGCTGTCACGCTCCGGTGACAACCAGAAGTCCTGACCGAACCGAAATAGAAATAGAAATAGAAATAATAGAAATAGAAATAGAAATAGAAAATAGAAATAGAAATAGAAATAGAAATAGAAAAATCAGTTTGCCCCAAAGGAAAGGACCTTAGAGCCAGTTAGATGAGTGGATGACCAGATAATGTAAGGCGATTGGTTCCTGTTTCTCTTGACCTCCCATTTAAAACAACATTAGAACTTTTCACACTTCACTTTTTTTAATTTTCCAAAACTGCTTCATTTGAAAGAAGAGGCGGAAAGATTTTTGTGTTATTTTTTTAACCACTAAAGTAGGGGAAATCTAGTTGATTTGTGCTACTTAATTTCATCCTTCTCTTCCCCTTGTATTTTTCTGCTCCTCTCTTCCATTTTTTTTTTGAGAACTCTAAACCAGGATCTGTTTGTAGTATGACTTTAAGCCAGGGTCTGTTTGTAGTGCGACCTTAAACCAGGGTCTGTTTGTAGTATGACTTTAAGCCAAGGTCTATTTGTAGTGCGACCTTAAACCAGGGTCTGTTTGTAGTATGACCTCAAGCCAGGGTCTGTTTGTAGTGCGACCTTAAGCCAGGGTCTGTTTGTAAGAAAGGGGTTGACTTGGGCATTTTGTGATGCAGGAAACGAGCAGCGGAAGACGGGCCGTCCACCAGCGGGGCTGCCAAGAAGGAGAAGAAAACCAGAGGCTTCGGAGACTTCAGCTCGTGGTAGCCAACTGAGGAGGACCAGCTCAAAACCATCCAGCCTGGGATGGAGAAGCCCAGGTTTGTGCCTCCGCTGCTGTCACAAAAAAATATGCGACTCTGGACCATAATATTTCCCTTAACAATCTTTCCCTGGCAGCCCTTTGTCGGTTGTGAAGGGTTTTGACGAAAGACGGGGCTTTTCCCGGAGTGCCTTGTAAGCCAACTCAGAAAGCCCTGCATATTTTGATGGCGTGTGATCAAATTAGAAGAAAGGGGGAAACTTCCATTTCACAGTTGAGCTGTCAACTTGCAAAGCTTTCAAGTTGCCATGAGCAGGAGGGAGGGAGAAGTGATAGAGCTGATTGATTTCCCTAACTGAAGCTGCATTCCATACATTCTTCCTGACCGCAATCAGAAGGAGGGTGTTGGATTTCACAGCCAGCCAAAGGGGTTAATGAGCATTTTGATGGACGAATTTGGGAAAAGACAGTTTGGATGGAAAAACCCACGGTCCTTCCCAAGATGGGCCTCCCAAGCTACCCTTTTAAAACAGCTGCCCAGAGACTCTTGGGAAAAACAAACAAACTTTGATCTCTGCAATCTGGTGACTTCCCACCTAAGACGTTCCAAGCCAACATCTTGGTTTAGAGGTGGTGATGGACCCAGATCCTCAATCGTTGCTTAGTGAAGATTCTGCTTCAGAATAAACCCCCATATCTACCTAATACCGCAGCTCTACTCCAGTTTCCCTTAGCTACTGTGTTTCCCCCAAAATAAGACCGGGTCTTATATTAATTTTTCTTCCAAAAGACACATTAGGGCTTATTTTCTGGTTAGGTTTTATTTTGGGGGGAAATTCAGTACTAAACGCCTCCGTCTGCTGACGATCTTAACTGGGGCTTATTTTTGGGGATAGGGCTTATATTACGAGCATCCTGAAAAATCATGCTAGGACTTATTTTCCGGTTGGGTCTTATTTTGGGGGGAAATTCAGTACTAAACGCCTCCGTCTGCTGACGATCTTAACTGGGGCTTATTTTTGGGGATAGGGCTTATATTACGAGCATCCTGAAAAATCATGCTAGGACTTATTTTCCGGTTGGGTCTTATTTTGGGGGAAATTCAGTACTAAACGCCTCCGTCTGCTGACGATCTTAACTGGGTCTTATTTTGGGGGGTAGGGCTTATATTACGAGCAACCTGAAAAATCATGCTAGGACTTATTTTCTGGTTGGGTCTTATTTTCAGGGGAAACAGGGTACTGAAGAGCTGTTGGTCCATCTTCTCTTCGATGTGTAGCCTAAAATATTCTGGCCCATTGAGAAGGCCTCTAGGAAAACTCCCCGTGGCTTTAGGCCTCTGGCTTATCGGCGTAACCCAGCTAGACACTTGATCTTACTTAACCTCTTTGGGGGACTTCAACCCCCTTCTTTTGGAAGACAGAGGGATTTCTGGACCCTAGGATGCAACTAATCCAAAGCCAAAGGGTGAAAGCGATCGATTTCCTGCTAACAGTGATAAAAGTTGAGCAGAGAACAGTAACTGGGAAACTGTCTGTTTGAAGAAAGGCAAAATAGCAACAAGGAAGGGTTGAAGGATCTTTGGCCTAGCGGTGGAGCTCTCGCCTCACAATCAGGAGGCTGTGAGTTCGATCCTAGGTAGAAGCAGATATTTATCTCTCGCAACACAATGAAAATATATCTGCTGAACAAAACTCCGTGTTGGTAACAGGAAAGGCATCTGGCCATGAAAACACTCTGCTAGCTCCATTCAGTTGCCCAGACTCCACCCCGCAAGGGATTATGGGGTTGTTAAAAGATAATGATGAAGAAGAAGGGTTGAAGGATCTTCCCCAAACAGATGTATTTTAGCCCCTTTTCTTCATCACTGCCCTTCAAGTAACCTTTGATGGCAATGCTTAGTTCTCCATCTCCACCAAAATGGAGCTACGTGTGCTTTTAGTTTGGTCCACCTCAAAACAGAAAACAGAGGTCCAGCCTGGTTTGGTCCATTCCTGAAATTGTCAGGACAGGCCATCCAGCTTGAGCATTCTGGGAAACACACACATTTGGAGATCTCTCAAGACTTGTCGTTCAACCTGACAAATGTCAGCAAACGTTTGACTTTGGGCTCAGCGTGAACTTCCTGATGTCCTCTCGCATCCGCTTCTAGGTAATGCAGTACAGGGGTGGGCTTCAAAAAATTTAGCAAGGGGTTCTCTGCCCAGTTGCTGGGTGGGTGTGGGCGTGGCCTAGTCGGCCTCCTGCACCACCGGTGTTTTTGCCCTCCCCAGGTTCCAGAGGCTTTTCTCGAGCCTCTGGGAAGGTGAAAATGGCTTCCCCAGGCTCCGGAGGCCCTCTGGAAGCTGGAAACGGGCCCGTTTCCAGCCTTCCCGAACTTCTGGTAGGCCCGTTTTTCGCCCTCCCCAAGCCTCCCCATGCACCCTGCACTTAGCTGCATCCAAAACGGGCTGTGTGGGGACTCCTGGGAGGGGCGGGGTGAGGTGGGCGGAGCCAGCCAGGAGTGGGATTTGGGGGTTCTCCTAGCTGCACAGAATCTTAGCTAGAGGTTCTACCGAACCCCTGCGAACCCCCAGCAGCTCACCCCTGATGCAGTAGCTTCCAAGCTAAAAACACACAAGGGAGTTGGGTTTTTCTTTTTTTTAAATATATATATATATATATATATATTCTGAATCGCCCACCACTTTCTCCTTTGGCGATGATCTCATTGACAAATGTTCTGCAGGAGGAGGAAGATGACAATTAACTCCATTCATGCTAAAAATGAGAATTTGCCACTTGTCCTGCAAGAGCTAAAATAGGAGTCGGCTTCGGGTGCAATCGGTCTCCTCGAGTCTTGTGCTACCTGGATGTAGAGATTATAGCCACTGCAGTCCAATTAAGTCCCAGTCTTTTTTTTTTAAAAAATATTTTTTGGACTGTTCAGGGATTTGCGGAGAAAACGGGGGCATCTATACCCCGTGCAGATTTTCAAACGGCGAGCTTTGAAAAATTAACCCGTTGCAGCGTTCTTTTGTACAAGTTCCCGGGTCACGAAATTTGTAAGCGGGATGGATTACGTGGACTGTTTTTCATTAAAGTTTTACGTTTTCGTTTGTTTCCTGATTGTGAATTTGGGCCTCCCCTCCCCCCAGAAGACTGCTGACTCAGGATTTTCCTCCACCCCAAACATTTTATTGCCAGAAAAAAGATATTTTAAGAAGAGACTGGACAGTCACTTGTCTGAAATGGTATAGGTTCCCCTGCTTGAGCAGGGGGCTGGACTAGAAGACCTCCAAGGTCCCTTCCAGCTTCTATTCTGTTCTGTTCTGTTCTATTCTTATTCTTCCATTCCATTCCATTCCATTCCATTATTCTCTTCTCTCCTTTCTTATTCTTTCATTCCATTATTCTCTTCTTTTCTTTCTTATTCTTTCATTCCATTATTCTCTTCTCTCTTCTCTTCTCATCTAATTCTTATTCTTTCATTCCATTATTCTCTTCTCTTCTCTTCTTTCTTATTCTTTCATTCCATTATTCTCTTCTCTTCTCTTCTCATCTCATCTCATCTAATTCTTATTCTTTCATTCCATTATTCTCCTCTCCTCTCCTCTCCTCTCCTCTCCTCTCCTCTCCCCTCCCCTCCCCTCCCCTCCCCTATTCTATTCTATTCTATTCTATTCTATTCTATTCTATTCTATTCTATCCTATCCTATCCTATCCTATCCTATCCTATCCTATTCTATTCTATTCTTCTATTCCAAGATTTATAACAGGGGCCTAGAGTACTTTTGAAGAAAAGATTGTAAATTTGCCTGCGTATGAAAATAGAAAGAAGGAGGCAGGGCAAGAGGTGGAAGAAAAATTACGAAGCTGAAAGGAGGCTGGTGAAACTTGCCAAGTTCAGAATGATCTAAATGTGCGAATATGTTGTAAGAAGGAAAACAACTCCGTTTTCTGCAGACTGATTTTTAGGCTAACGGGAAGAGTGAAGTCACCGATGGGTGGTGAGTGATTAGCAGAGAGCAATGCTGAGCTACAGGAAGAAGGCATCCTGCAGAAACTCTTTAAGGCAGTTTAAACCCCAAAAAAGTAAGATCATCTGCACTGTATGAATGCATCAGAGCACTGATGACATTACCTAGGGAGGTCATGAAACGTCTGCAAGAAAACAAATTCAGAAGCACCAGTCCTCCTCCACCTCCTTCTCCTTTCTCCTCCTCTTCCACCCCATCTCCTCCTCCCCAACTTCTCCTCCATTCCGCAAACCCCACTCCCTTCTAGCACTGATGATGTAACCTAGTTGGGTCGTGAAACGTCTGCTAGAAAACAACCAAGCTCAGGGAGAACCAAGGACCTCACAAACGTGTATTAAGTTAGAACTACCCTCAAGAAAAACCTATCATACCTCGGATGGACTTCTTCCAATCCCTTACGGGTTCCATTGGACGTCTGGGGAAGAAGCCCGCATGTCTGAAGAATCTGAAAAAAATTGTTTTGGGACAGAGATCTACTCTGAAAGCCCAGGAGAAGGACCATTAGTGGCTGTAACCATTTTCCATAAAGAGCCTTTAACGAAAGCTTTTAATGTCTAGAGCCAAGTGAGTCATTCCTATTAAGGGAGGTTTACGCAGGTTGCATTATTTATGTTTTATTGGAAAGTTCTAATTTTATATAGAAGACTCTTAATGCACGAATTTCTAAAATAATTTCCTGATCAGAAAAAGACATTGTTCGGCACGGAACAACCAAGCAGAGCCAAATAAAAATGGGAAGATAAATATATTTTTTTCCTGATCTGTGATCTCATTATTTTCCTAGACCAAAACGATGTCTTTCTTGCAATTCTATTATCAGTTCCAGGTATTATGCTTTTTTCTAAAAAAACAACAATTAGTTATCTGATCTTGGGTAACAAAAGCCTTTTCAGCTGAATTGGGGAGAAAAAAAATTCAGCCTTTACATCTAATCTTGCTCTGGAACAATTGTGTGTCCAACCTTGGTAACTTTAAGATTTGTGGACTTTAACCCCCAGAATTCCCCCAGCCAGCTTTGGCTTCTACTTCTGAGAAATATTTTGGGACTCCAATGAAGGTGCTCCATGCCAGAGGGAGTTAGTAACCCAGGAAGAAAATCCCTGCTTCACCCTGTTGTATTTTGATTTTTAACTGATTTAATCTCTATTATCTATGTTTTAACACCATGTCCTTGCTGTTGCAGAGGGGCGCGGTGGCTCAGTGGCTAAGATGCTGAGCTTGTCGATCGAAAGGTCGGCAGTTCAGCGGTTCGAATCCCTAGCGCCACGTAAACGGGGTGAGCTCCCATGACTTGTCCCAGCTTCTGACAACCTAGCAGTTCGAAAGCAGGTAAAAACAAATGCAAGTAGAAAAATAGGGACCACCTTTGGTGGGAAGGGAACAGCGTTCCGTGCGCCTTTGGCGTTGAGTCATGCCGGCTTCATGACCACGGAGACGTCTTCGGACAGCGCTGGCTCTTCGGCTTTGAAACGGAGATGAGCACTGCCCCCTAGAGTCAGGAACGACTAACACGTATGTGCAAGGGGAAATTTTACCTTTACCTTACTTTCTGTTGCATTGTCATAAACTGCTCAGATTTGCTTGACAGTGACTAGCATATAAATTTAATCAATAAACTTTGCCGGGCACCAGCAGGAGGTTGGACTAGAGGACCTCCGAAGTCCCATCCAACCCTATGATTCTTTGTTCCAACTGAGGGTGTTATATGCTTTAGGATCTATTCTCTGCAATTGTCGAGCCGATGCCTTTCCTGCTTTCTCTCAAGACAATAGGCAAATGTTTCAGACACATTTTTTTTCGGGAAGAGGAAATCCTGAACAATGCTGGATGGACAGACCTTGAATGTTTACCTCCTTTCCTGCGGCAATGATCAACTCTGAACTGGAAGTGATGTCAAACCATTTGGGAAGGAAGCCCTTAAATTGAATTAAGACCAAGAAGGAAAATGATTGACGGGCACTTCAGTCTTTGTGGTCCCTCTTTTCTTTGCAAACCCTTTTTTTTTCTTTTTTCTTTTTTTTTCTTTTTGCATTTTGGCAAACACGGTTTTGAATTAGCCAATCCCCACTTTAGCTCTGTACTTATCAACTGGCTAAGAAAGCTTACCATCCGCAGGCAATTGTGAGACTTAATAGCAACAGCACTTAGACTTATATACCGCTTCATAGTGCCTTGCAGCCCTCTCTTAAGCGGTTTACAGAGTCAGCCTATTGCCCCTAACAACAATCTGGGTCTCCTCATTTTACCCACCTCGGAAGGACGGAAAGGCTGAGTCAACCTTGAGCCTGGTGAGATTTGAACTGCCAAATTGCAGGCAGCCGGCAGTCAGCAGAAGTAGCCTGCAGTACTGCCTTCTCACCACTGCGCCACCATGGGTCTCTGATTTAAGCAAAGGATTAAACATTTTATTGGTCCCCACTTTGTGTGCTGATGCTTCCCCAGATACCTTTCCAGATGTCAGCTCGGAGGAAGATGAATCAGTTCCGGGCACATCTGGAAGGTCAGTGGCTCCGAGCAGCCGTCTTGAGAGGGATTTGGCTCAAGCTCAGATGTAGCAGGGGGCGGTGCTCAACTCAGTTTCAAAGCCGAAGAGCCAGTGCTGTCCGAAGACGTCATGACTAAAAGCCAAAGGCACACAGAACGCTGTTACCTTCCCACCAAAGGTGGTCCCTATTTTTCTACTGGCATTTTTTCTTACATGCTTTCGAACCGCTAGGTTGGCAGAAGCTGGGACACATCAAGGGAACTCACTCCATTACGCGGCACTAGGGATTCGAACCGTTGAACTGCCGGCCTTTCGATCGGCAAGCTCAGCATCTTAGCCACTGAGCCACCGCGTCCCCAAAAATAGAGAGGAAATTCAGGACATTCAGCGCAGAGATGGAAGGGATGGTACTTGCTTTGGCCTATGTCGTGAGCTGCCCGGAGTCACTTGATAGCGAAGCAGCGTATAAATTTAATAAATAAACTTTGCCGGGCACCCAATGGAGGTTTTCCAAGATACTGAATTTTAACAGGGCTAGTGCAAAGCTCTCCAAAAATACAGAGGAAAATTCTGCGAGGAGTCAAAAGACGCTCAAGACACCGAGATTATGGATGGAAGGGCAACTCAGATCTAAGAGAGGAAGAGTGAACGTCATCGGGGGAAGACACAGTTCGCTGCCTACATTGGGGAGCAGAAGCGAACAGCACCAACCATTGTATGGATTTGCGCCCACAGTTGTTTCTCCTCCATTCTTGGCCCCGTGTATCATCGCCTCCAGATTAGAGCTGCAATGGAAAGAAAGAAAGGGGCTCTTTCTGCCAGATCAGCAAGGGCTTGTGACAATCGTCCTTTGTGTTGCTTCCACACACTGGGAGGGAGGGAGGGAGACAACGGAAAGCCGCCGTTTTCCAAATAACCCAAACGATCTCTTTTGCCACCCAGAGTCATTGTCAGGAGACCGGGGGCGGGGGAGGGAGGGAGGTGTCGGGACGGACACATTCAACATATAAATTTAATAAATGAAGATTGAAGGTAAAGGTTCCCCTCGCACCTATGTGCTAGTTGTTCCTGACTCTAGGGGGCGGTGCTCATCTCCGTTTCAAAGCCAAAGAGCCAGCGCTGTCGGAAGACGTCTCCGTGGTCCTGTGGCCGGCATGACACCTCCTCACGAGTGAAATCAATGGGAAGCCAGAGTTTCCCCAACAACCCGGTTACTAATTTAATATCTGCAGCGACAACTTGACAGCTGTGGCAAGAAAGGTCGTAAACCCCTCACTGAACTGTCTCACTTAGCGTCAGAAATTCTTGGCTCGGTTGCGGTCTTAAGTCAAGGACTACCTCTATGGGAGCAAAACCTTGATTCCCGTCTCCAATCTGCTTTCTCCCCCAAACAAAAAATGACGTAGCTACTATTTGTGGAGGAAAATCCAGCCCAAGCAGGGAGAAGGGAGGGGGAGAGAGAGAGAGAGAAGAAAAAGTCACATTCAACAAAACAACGGAAAGTTTTTATTGTGATACTGTCAAAGAGATACAATAAAGTGAAATCACAAATTGTGTATAGTATTGCTGAGGCGAGAACCAGGAAGAAGCCACGTCAGCTGCAAAAAAATAAAGCATTTCCCCCCCCACCAAATTGTTCCAGCAATGAGGCACACGCCAGCTGCCACCAAATGCATGTTTTTGACACTATGTGTTTGCTTCTCTGAAATCCTTTTAAAAAATAAAAAAATAAAAAAATACAACTTTCACTACTGGTTGGTTTTGCACTCGGGAGAATAACTACGGTGCTTATCGAACCATTCACTTGGAAAGAATCCCTTTTTTTGACCTACCAACGCGAGTTAAAAGTTCTCGTTTATAGCGATCTTCCCAAGTCTGGATTAAAATAAGATTTAGCTTATCGGAAAATCAAAATCAAACCTCCCGTCCCAGGTCGAAATCTTGTACTGGTTTTCACGCCGATCAAACCATTGTTCACGGCCAATACGGGTTATTGGTTTTTTTCCCTTGGAAAACGCGGGCAGTGGGAGGTGAAACTTTCAAAGTGAATTTTAAGAACGATATTGGCCATGCAGCAAATTCTTATCAAGTAAGTTCGTATAATTTGGAGGAGTCCTTAGGAAAAATCAAAAGACAAGATAACAGTTTCATGAAGCTCCTCAGCCTCGCATCGCGACACTGGTGGGACAACTAATGAACGCTGTCCACAAATCATCTTGAAAGTGTGGGGCTGCTTTTTTTTTTTTTAAAGTCACCCACAACCGCCACCCAAAAAAAGGAATTTAGACCTCCTGGCCTTCAGAGGATGCTTTCAATACGGACGAACTCGCCTAGAAGGAATTAGCTGAACCAGCAGTTCTAAAAAGTTCTGAAATCTCCGCCGAGAATTGTGATTTTTCTCCCAGACATGATAACGTCTAGGAATCTCCAAATGGACTTAAATTTAAAAAGCAAAGAAGTTTTTGAACTGGCTCTGAATCGGGTGGGGATTGGGTGGCTACGTTTACAAGAGCCATGAATGTTGACTCCCAAGGACAAAATAAACACACAGACACACAAACACTTCACAAATGTAAATGTTGGCAGCCTGTTCCTCTAAGTGCCAATGAACAATCTTCTCAAGAACCAGCTTGTAGTCAGTTCGCCCACTTCACAAAAAGGGAAGGAGAGATCTAGTAAGTCGATGTTCACAAAAATCGCCGTTACAATTTATAAAATATATAGTATATGTATATATATATATTGCTCAAAAAAATAAAGGGAACACAAGCAGAAGACATCCGAGATCTGAATGAATGAAATAGCCTTATTAAATACTTTGTTCTTGACATACACTGCTCAAACAATTAAAGGGAACACAAAACTACTGTATGTCAAGAACAAAGTATTTAATAAGGCTATTTCATTCATTCAGATCTCGGAGGTCTTCTGCTTGTGTTCCCTTTATTTTTTTGAGCAGTGTATATAAAATAAATGTTAAGGTCAACAGTAATAAAAACAACAATCAACAAAAGTGCTCAAGTTGAAGGGAAAGATTAAAACTTACCCACAAAGCACACACAAACTCTTAAATAGAATACGTTACCAAAAAAACAAAACAAAAAAACACAGGTTAAATGGGAAAATGCTTGGTAAAATGTTCAAGTATCTTTTTTTTTTTTTTTAAATGCATTTAAAGGTAACGCTGGAAAGTTCAGTAACCAGACTGATCTTTTTTTAGACCTCAACCGATCATCCAGCAGTATCTGGATCCACCAAATCTGTCCATTTTGAACGACGCAGTTTTAAGGACTTTCTCACAAGGCCAAGTCAAAAGAGCCCGCCAATTCCCAGGAATCGTAAGACAAAGAAATGCTACTTCAGACCTACGCGATTGGTTCTGGATTTAAAATTCCCTACAGCCTTTTTTTTTTTTTTTTAAACGTCCCTTGTTTCAAAATTCGTAATATTGCTCTGTTTGGTACCTTATCCCTTAAAAATAAATTGCATCTGATTTTAAGCTGCAATTTGATATTCCACTTTCCCCTCTTTTTGGCATCTGGGTTAAAAACAAACAAAAAATAATAATTCTAGGGAAAATGCCCATCTGCATAGACTCAAAAGGCCCGTCGGACTACATGTTACACGCAGATAGGTAATGTGTCCCCATTTTTATTAGAAACTATACCTTGGTAGGTGGCTACTTAGTGTAAAATCCACTTCGAGTGGATTTCTACCACACCGTGTGAATTTTCAGCTTTATGGGAAATAAAGAGACACATTTGTGTGTAACATGCAGTTCGGCCCAAGCGTTCTCGGATTAAAATAACATTCTTTCGTAAGATTTTTTTTTCCCCTCCGGCTTTTTTCTTTTTTTCCCTTCAAGCTCCCACCTTCTCAAAATCCCCACAAAGTGATTCTTTCAGATGATTTGAGAAATGTGTCGAGGCGAGAGCAACGACGTTAGCAAAGCCAGCGTTCATGGTTGAACCGGGGGGGGTTGGAGTGATGGCCACCACCGTAAGCCAACACCGCTGAAAATACGACTGCTGAAAAATTCAGGACTTCGGTTGACCGATGGCGACCGACACCAATCTCACAGAGAAGGAGGAATAGTCCAGTTCTCCATCACTGCCATAAAGCAAGAGAGGAGATCCAGGTCTTTAAAAGGATTTGTAGAGAGGGGTACAAGAAGCTAATTTCGTTTCAATAACCACCGGTTCCTTTTCGTTAGGGCTGCGAGTCGGAAAACCCGCAGGACGTTTTATGGATGCCGTCACGGTTCCTATGTTGATGGACTCTCAACCCAGGTGCCCTAAATTGAATTATTACACACTCCCAAGGTCCTCCCATAACAAGCACACACCTAACAAGCCAGCATCCCTAACAAGCCAGCCTCTCAAGTCTTCGAGTGAAAACTCTCCCGAGGGTTGAAACTGCGGCTGATCTGGAGGTGAATCAAGAGGAGTTTCTCAGTCCCGCTGCGGACTGAAAATTCACTGGGTTTCAAAATTCAATTCACAACTAAATAAAGCACCAGAATAAAAGGTCATACAAAATCTGAGACTAGCTGTCAGGAGGGACAGCTCTTTGGATCCAAATGCCTGAAAGGTAACTATATATACACACATACGCACGCTTAAATAGATAAAAGATATATATTCAATATCCTTTTTTTCTTTTCTTTTCTTTTTTTTTTGCATCACAGTGTAAAATCTGTTCTTCTTCCCAAAGGATTTACAGAGGAATAAAATGGGGGAGGGGAGTCTCGGGGTACGGGAGGGGGGAAGCATTCAACGTTCAGGAGAAGGAAGTGGCTATTTTTTCTAAGGAAGGAGAAAAGCTAAAGTGCGATTCGAGATCTGAATGTCAGTTAGATGAGCTTACTAGCAGCCATTATTAGGCAGGGACAAAAAGCCGGAGTTGCAATGCAACAGGTTAAAAAGTACGTTAGCGTTCCCATTGTAAAGCTTCCTATATTATTATTATTAGTAGTAGTAGTATAGTTATTGTAACTCATGCTGTCAGCAGTTCGGTATGATTCTGGTAAAATGTTCTCTTATATATTCTCCCCCCCCTTTCTTGGAATTATTTTGGGAGAAAAATTGCAAAAAAACCCCCAAAAAACAGCTTTTTCCCTCCCCCCCAAAGTTTTCACCTCTCTTGAAATGGTATGCACAAAAAGTTCCTGTAGAGAAACGCTACACACTTTTACACACGTATTGTGGTCCTTTGTGACTCAGCCCCCCCTGACTAGGGACGGGGGGGGGGTGTTTAAAAATTCCCAGGTGATGTTTCTTTTTAACATTTAACAGTTTTTATTATAAAAAATTGTGCTTAGGGACGATTCAGCCAGCAAATCACGCACCCCCTTTTAAAAACAAAAACAAACAAAACTTATCTTCGTGCATTCTTTCGTTCCTTTTTTTTTTTAACGCCAAATTGTCGCTTTTTATTCGCTTGCGAAACTTTTTTTTTAAACGACCTCCAGATGGATTAGCGACAGCTTTTTTCGTACACGCTCACGCACACACAACTCGCGCACACACAGACGCACATGCACACTTTCGGTGTGCTTCGGTACTGCCAAAGCCGGAGACTTTTGATGATCGTGAACCAGCCCTCCTCGCATCCAGTGCATTAAAACTAGGTTTAAAACGACATGGAACCAGCCATAAAAAAAATTCCCCTCCGGTATCCCCCTTTTCCCATTCCCAAGGTACAGTACCAAAAAACATTTTAAACCGACGTATTAAAAATAAAAGAGCTGCATATTTTTTTTTCAGCCCTTTGATCTTAAAAGACCCTGCTATACATTCTATTTTTTTTTTTCTTCCTTTCTCTTCAAAACAGGCAAAAAAAAAAGCTTTTCTTTCAGAATGTATCTGATTTGGATCTACAGTTTGGAAGTTAGCCTTGTAAATTATTACTCAATCTCTTTTCTGACAGCTTCTCTCTTTTTTTTTTTAAACAAAAGAAAACGAACGGACAAGCAAATCCTGGCGAGATCCAATCACTGAATCTCTCGCAAACTTAGCCAAAATAATATCTTAACGGGCTGCGGTACGCTTTTAAAAAATAACAATGAGTAGTACAATACTGCAATCTTTCTCACTGCAAAGAGACCACAGAAATGGCTAATTATAGGGGGGGGAGGGAGATCAAATAAAGATGTATACTTCATCCTATACATTCTCAAGGACTGTCCATATTGGGGGGGGGGGGGCTCCTTCAAAACCCCGGAGCAGACAATCGGCCAAAAAGAAAAAGCACGCGCAGCATAAAAGGAGCAACTGAAGGTGTCGGTTGAAAGAGAGAGAGAGAGAGAGGCTACCTTAGCACAGGTGAGTTGGAATGATGGAATTCTTCTTCCTTGAGCGCATAGAAAAAAAAGGTTCGTTCAAAATAAGGTGTTTTGCACGGGAATACAGATAGAAAAAAAAGAGGGGATTTACACAGGGAGGAGGGGAGGGAGGGAAAAAGAAACAAAAACAGAGAAGAGATGTTCTGGAGAGAAGGGGAAGGACCACAACATCACATCACTGAGCGGTTGGGATTTTCTCAACCGCCAAGCCACCGGTTTTTGTTTTTTTTCCTTTCTTTTTTTCCCCCCCCATGAGTCTTTTTTTAATATAAAATAAAGCCTGTTCCTTAGATGCGTTGTCCAGAAACAAGGAATCGTATTGCAGTTCATTCCCAGCCATTGTCTTTGATCATGTGAGCGAGTTCAATGATGAATTTCCCTTCTTTGTATTTCTGACTGCTCTCAAACGCGTGTTCCTAAGGGAAGAAAGCACAGCTCAGCTCTCCCATCCATCCATCCATCCCTCCCTCCCTCCCCGATCGGGGTAGTTTATGGATTGCCAGCTTAGTCCTCGACTTAAAACGGTGCGTTTAGGGACCGAAGTTGCCATGGCCCCAAAGAAAGCAACTTAAGACCTTTTCTCGCACCGATGACCGTTGCAGCCGTCCCCGTTGGTCGCAGGATCAAAATTTGGACACTTGGCGACGGGTTCATATTTATGACAGTTGTAGTGTCCCGGGGGGGGGGTCACGTGATCAGGGGGGTTGATATTCAGCCGGTTCGGACCGGTTCGCCCGTACCGGTAGCGGGGAAATCAGCTCTATACCATCCTATTTAGACACGTTTTTTTAGCCGCGCGCGAGCGAGCAGACCACATGCGCGGAAGGCATGCGTGGACACGTGCGCACTCACATTTGCGAACCGGTAGGAAAGGTAAATGAATACCACCCCTGCACGTGACCCTTTTTCGACCAGGGGGGAAACCAGGTTGACTTCTCAACCGTTTCACTAATTTAACCACCGTGGTAGGGAAGGTTTGTACAATAGGGCAAAATTCATTTAACAACTGTCTCGCTTAGCAACAGATTTGGGGAGCAATTGTGGTCGTAAGTCGAGGACTGTCTGTATTCTCTGCCCTTCGAAACCTGGAGTTGGCCTGCTTAATAAAGGCCGTATTCCAGTATTTGAGGGGCTGCCACAAAGAAGAGGGGGTCAACTTTTCTTTTCTTTTTTTTAAATTTGATTTATATGCCACCCTTCTCCGGAGACTCAGGGCGGCTTACAATGCGCTAAGCAATAGCCTTCATCCTTTTTGTATATTTATACAAAGTCAGCTTATTGCCCCCACAAACTGGGTCCTCATTTCACCTACCTTAGAAAGGATGGAAGGCTGAGTCAACCTTGAGCCTTGGAGAGATTCGAACCCTGCAGTAATTGCAGGCAGCTGGTCTTAATAACCAGCTTAATAACAGGGTGCCTTAGACCACTGTACTACCAAGGCTCTTATTCTTACTCTCCGAAGCACCAGAAGGCAAGACGAAAAACAATAGATGGAAACTCATCAAGGAGAGAAGCAACCTGGAATTAAGGAGAAACTTCCTAACAGCGAGGACAATTAACCAGTGGAACAGAAGTTGCCTTCAGAAGTTGTGGGTGCTTCATCACTGGAGGTTTTTAAGAAGACACTGGACAGCCACTTGACTGGAATAGTATAGTTTCTCCTGCTTGAGCAGGGAGCTGGACTAGAAGACCTCCAAGGTCCCTTCCAGCTCTATAGTGATTGAAAATCGAAACTTAACTAACGCAACTGGTACAGAAGTGTGTAACTGGCTTGAGTCCTCCTCCAAATGCCAGCTCAACCAACCAACTGACCCAAAGCGTGAAGGACTGGCAGGGACGGTGGGCTCCCACTTTCGCGTCAACCAAAGCTAACCAAGGCCACGCCCAGCGCCGAGGCTTACGTATTTCCATCCGAGGGTGGTTTTGCAGTTTTCACAATAAATATCGGCTACGGCGTGCAAGCCCGTCAGAAGAACTCGCTCTTCCGCAGGTCCACAGCCCACATTCACCCTGCAAGAGAGGGACGGGAGAAACACAGATGGCGTCATCGAACGCACGATGCCCATCTACGGGGAAAGTAGAAAAAAAATTGAGCAGCTCTTTCGAAGACCAAGGCGGCGGCGTTTTTCATCCTCCCAATCGAGGGATTTTGCCGATTATAAAATAAGAGGGAGCTCGTGCAATTTGCTCCTCGGCATGGAAGAAAGTCAAAACAGCTTAAGTGGGTCGGTTGCCTCAATCCAAGGCGGAATTGTCCAGCTGCGTCCAAAGTTTCAATGCGCCTCTTTGGAATTTCTCGTGGGGCAGTCGCCAGTGGTCTTGGAGCTTCCCAGAGGCTCAACTAAATGGACCTTAGGAGGGTAGAGTGAAGACCCTCTGACCTCTCTGATGTCCAACAATATCCATCTTTTCTGTCATTGCTTAGCATTACCCTAACTGTGTGATGTTGCTGTCTGGAAGTTATAATTCAACCTTCCTTTCTTTTTCTTTGTTTCTTTCCTTCTTCCTTCCTTTCATTTTCTTCTCTTCAACTTCTTCTTGTTCTTCCTTTGCTTTCTTTTTCTTCCTCCCTCTCCCCTCTTCCTTTCTTCCGATTCTTTCTTCCTTTTTCTCTTCCTTTTCTTTTCTTTTTTCTCTCTCTCTTCTTCCCTCCCTCCCTCCTTCCCTTTCTTTTTTTCATTCTTTCTCGCTCTCCCTCCCTTCCTTCCTTTTTTCCTTTTTTTCTTTCTCTCTTTTCTCCCTCTTTTCTCCCTCCCTTTCCTTCCTTCCTTTTTCTCTTCCTTTTCTCTTTTTCTTTCTCTTCTTCCCTCCCTCCCTTTTCTTTTATTCTTTCTCGCTCTCCCTCCCTCTTTTCTTTCTCTCTTTTTCTCCCTCCCTCTTTTCTTCTTTCTTTTTTCTTCCCTTTTCTCTTCCTTTTCTTCTCTCTTTTCTTTCTCTTCTTCCCTCCCTTCCTCCCTCCCGTTCTTTCTTTTCTTTTCTTCTTTCTCGCTCTCCCTCCCTCTTTTCTTTCTTTCTCTTTTCCTCCCTCCCTCTTTCCTTCTTTCTTTCCTTTCTTTCTCCCTCCCTCTCTCTCTCCCTTTCTCTCTCCAACCCACCTCACCACACAAACAAGCTAGCAGTACCAAAATATTTCTTAGTGCCACAGAAAAGCAGAAATTTAATGGTACTTACACAGAATTAAAGAGGTAGGCTCGTCCCTGGCTTCCCTGAAAAGACTGTAAGAAAGAGAGAAGGAAAATGAATTTTACATTTAAAAAAAAACAAACTGTTGTAAAATCATGTCACTGCATTCTTTCAACGAAGCTTCAGGGGTAACTTTGAAAGGGGCATTGCCTAGAACACATGTGGCCAACATTGTAGAAACCTTTTGGGGAAAGTGTTGAGGTTTGATGGCTAATAACACCACCTTTTTTTGGAGTTTCAAGATAATCCTATTCTACTGCTGGAATGGCCTGGGAATAGCCCAGACCTTCACCCAACTGAAAGACTATGGAGCCCACTAAAGAAACTGGTTAGTCAGAAGTGACCCAACAATCAAACCCAGTTAAGAGAAGCCATCCTTCAATCTTAGTTTCACGTTATAACAGCTGCAGAACTCAAAGACTTGGTTCCCTCCATGGGAAGACGTAAGGCCGCCATTCACGCTAAAGGTTAGCCAGCTAAGGATTAACTGACATGGTGATAATTTTTGTATTTTTCGTTTTTTCTACGTGTTTCACTTTTTTTCTTTATACTGTAACTGCTATTCTAATAGCAAATCCTTCCTAAAAGTTATTGCATTACATTCTTGATTAAATTATCTTTCCATTGATATATAATTTATGGTACTACTCCCCCCCCCCAAAAAAAGTGGTGTTATTAGCTAGTTTTAGAAAATACACTTTTCCCAAAAGGTTTCCACAATTTTGGCCACTACTGTAGACTGGACCATCTGACAGACACGGATACGAAGCCTCGTGGCAGCGGTTCAGTGGCAGAAATGTTGCAAATCTTCTATGTACGTGGAAAGAATAATTTGCTATTACTGAGCACATTGTAAGCCGCCCTGAGTCTCCGGAGAAGGGCGGCATATAAACCAAATTTAAAAAATAAATAAATAAATTTAAAAAAAATAAATTATAGAGGTGCAAAATTAAAATGAGAAAAAGTAGCGGAAGAGAAGAGTAACTAACATCATTATTACTTTATTATTATTATTATTATTATTATTATTATTATTATTATTATTAGTAGTAGTAGTAGTAGTAGTAGTAGTAGTAGTAGTAGTCATATTTCTATGTTGCCCACTCTCCGAGGACTCTGGGCAGCTTACACCAAAGACAGTATACTAACTAGCATATTGCCCCCCAGCGATCTGGGTCCTCATTTTACCCACCTCGGAAGGATGGAAGGCTGAGTCAACCTTGAGCCGGTGAGATTTGATCCGCTGATCTGCTGAACTAGCAGTCAGCTGGAGTAGCTGCAGTACTGCACTCTAACCACTGCGCCACCTCGGCTCATTCTGTATTTTCATTCCTGTATATACAAATACATTCCTGTCTTTGTTACTGTATCCCCTTCACAAACAAAGTGACTAAAAAATAAAGGGGTGTTCCTGATATTTTCACTCAAGGGTTTAAATGTCCTTCCTTTGACCTCAGCTACCCTGTTTCCCCGAAAATAAGACCTCCCCTGATAAGTCCAATCGGGCTTTTGAGTGCATGCGCTAAAATAAGTCTTCCCTGAAAATATTTAAACACAAGAGCTGGAAATCAGGTAAAACGGCAAGAGGAGCCCCATCTTGCTCCACGCGCCCCAAAATAATAAAACCTCCCCAAAAATAAGGCCAAGCGCTTATTTCTGGGTTCAAAAAATATAAGACAGGGTCTTATTTTCGGGGAAACACGGAACTTGGAAATGAATGACACAGGATCAGATTTCTGGTTATCCATTATATTCAAGAAACTGATGATAACGCTTTAATCTACCAGACATTCTTATCAGTGGTGGGTTGCTACCGGTTTGGCCCGGATCGGGCGAATCAGTAGCGGCAGTGGCGGGAAGCTCCGCCCACCCACCCGGATGTCTCTGCGCATGTGTGAGCGAACCGGTAGCGACCGAAATTGAAACCCACTACTGATTCTTATCAAGGCACATTTCTAGAATCTCTGAAAATATATTACAGTCCTCAACTTCCAACAGTTCATTTAGTGACCGAAGTTACAACGGCACTGAAACCGTTTTTCACACTGAACGACCGTTGCGGCCTCCCTATGGTCACATGAACAAAATTCAGATGCTTGGCGACTGGTTCACACGTATGACGGTCGCAGTGTCCTGGGGCCACGCAATCTCCTTTTGCGACCTTCTGACAAGCCAGACTCACTTAACAACCGTGTCACTAACTTAACAACAGCAGCGATTCCCTTAGCAGCGGTGGCAAGGAAGGTCGTAAAATGGGACAAAACCCACTTAACAAATGCCCCATCCATTTTGGGCTCAATTGTGGTCGTTAAGTCAAGGACTACCTGAACTTTGATGCATTTTGAGCTTCTTTGCTGTGATCAGAAATAGGCTAAAGGGAAAACAGACCTCACACAGTTATGGGTGTGTGTGTGTGTGTGTGTGTGTGTGTGTGTACACAAACACACACAAACACACCCATGCACAGACAGAGCAGCAGATTTGAAGAGTTTATTTAGATTTTATTCTCATACTATCAGGAGGCCTCCTGAAAAGCAGATTACAATACATTATGTGTAGCTTAGAAGCGCTTTTAAAATGTCCAGAATGTTGCTAGTTGCCTTAGAGTTGACATACACTGGCTAAAATAAATGGGATTTATTTTAGCGACAACCAGGATTAGGTTTATATCAAGCAGTGTGTACTGATGTTATTATGTGGAGTAGGAGGAAGGTGATCGGACTAGATGAAGCGTGTAACTAGGGTTATTTTTTTTTTCAGAAATGATATTACGATGTCTAGAAGTCTGTACAATTTGGGATGAAGCCCCTTGGGATGGTGTGGGAGTAGAAATGGGTTTCCAGAAGAAAAATTGAAGACTACAAAAACCAGGAGCCCCACTTAGGTGATTCTGAGGACACAGATAAGCCTCCAAGTGCTTCAATGACCTGCTAAAAGGGAAAGGTAAAGGTTCCCCTTGCACATATGTGCTAGTCATTCCCGACTCTAGGGGGTGGTGCTCATCTCCGTTTCAAAGCCGAAGAGCCAACGCTGTCGGAAGACGTCTCCGTGGTCATGTGGCCGGCATGACTCAACGCCAAAGGCGCACGGAACGCTGTTCCCTTCCCACCAAAGGTGGCCCCTATTTTTCTACTTGCATTTTTTTAATCTGCTTTCGAACTGCTAGGCTGGCAGAAGCTGGGACAAGTCACGGGAGCTCCCCCCGTTACGCGGCGCTAGGGATTCGAACCGCTGAACTGCCGACCTTTCGATCGACAAGCTTAACGTCTTAGCCACTGAGCCACCGCGTCCCTTAATGACCTGATAAACGGATGCAAAGGACCAGCTGTCTGCAAGGAATATAAATCCTTCCATTCCCCACCATCCAGTCAGAGCTGAAGAAGCTTCTTGGAGGAGAAGCGAAATGTCTTCAAAAGAAGAAAAAAACAAGGAAGTCCAATTGCCTCCTGAAAAAGCAGCTTTGGGACATGATGTCTAGATGTTTCAGAGTTGAATGCTAAGTGGCAACTTTTGCTTTTCAGAGTGTTTCATGATTTCTTTACTTTAGAGATGCTAATATTTTATGCATTTTGATGAGAAGAGTTTTATTTTTTGAAAAAAACAAGACCGGTTCGTGTAGCAGTTATGCATGATGAGGTTTTATTTTTAAGTCAGAAACGCAAAGGAGTAGAGAGTTTTTAACGGGGCTAAAAGAAAAAAAAATATAGAAGCTTCAACTTACGACCACAACTGAGCCTAAAATTTCCGTAGCGAAACAAGACAGTTGTTAAGTGAATTTTGTCCCGTTTTACAATCTTCCTTGACATGTGACCATTTTTCAGAATTACCTTTGCAGCATCCCCATGGTCATGTGATCACACTTCAAAATTCAGTCGGCTTGGCAACCGACTCATATTTATGACGGTTGCTGTCTTCCCCGGATCACGTGATCCCCTTTTGCGACCTCCTGCCAAGCAAAGTCAGTGAGGGAAGCCGGATTCACTTAAGCGACTTTGTTGCTGATTTAACCACCGCAAGAATTCCCTTAACAACGGGAGCGAGAAAGGTTGTAAAATGGGGGAAAGCTCACTCAAGAGATGTCTCGCTTAGCCACAGAAATTTGGGGCTCCACTTGTCGTCGTAAGTACACTTGAAATGCACAGCAGATCAGCTGTCATACTTGTAAGTATTCCAACAAGGTAGATGCTAACAGGGGTCTGCAACCTTAAACACTCAAAAGAGGCATTTGGACCCGTTTCCCACAGAAAAGAAAACACCGGGAGTCACAAAACCCTTCCTGTGCCTTACTATTTCTTGAGCGGCCACAAAACTAGCATAGGTAGTTGAATGAAACGTTCCGTTTTTCTTCTGAAACTTTTCTTTTCTTGGATTTATCCATGGTTGGCCTACCGGGGGTTGAAAAGCTCAATAAATCGTGTGCCGGTGGGTGTCGCACATTGGCAGTTGTGACACGTATTTTGAGTGACAGCAGAGCCGCAGCAGAGGAGTGAAAGAGCCACATGCGGCTCCAGAGCTGCAGGTTGCTGACCCCTGTGCTAAACAATCAACGAGATAGAAAACATTCTGTAGGTTTGGTAAACTGTTGACTTGAAAGCTGAAACGTTTTCTATACTCTGACAACAGCTTCAACGCCCAGGAGACCCAAACTTTGAGGAGTTTACCAACCACTTTATGGAAAGTGCTGGGATCTGCTTTTGTCAGGATTTTTAATTTTTTTTGGCATGGAAACAAAAAATAATAAAAACCAATCAGTTGTCAATTGGGCATGATAGTACTGACCATCAAAAAATGCAGGTTGTTCTCCACTTACGGCCACAAGTGAGCCCCAAAATTTCCGTTGCTAAGCTAGATAGTTGTTAAGTGAGTTTTGCCCCATTTTACGGCCTTTCTGGCCAAGGTTGCGAAGTGAATCTCTGCTGTTGTTAAGTTAGTTACACCAGTGGTGGGATTCAATTTTTTTTTACTATCGGTTCTGTGGGTGTAGCTTGGTGGGCGTGGCAGGAAAAGGATACTGTAAAATCTCCATTCCCACCCCACTCCAGGGGAAGGTTACTGCAAAATCCCCATTTTCCTCCCGATCAGCTGGGACTCGGGAGGCAGAGAATAGATGAGGGCGGGGCCAGTCAGAGGCGGTATTTACCGGTTCTCCAAACTACTCAAAATTTCCACTACCGGTTCTCCAGAACTGGTCAGAACCTGCTGCAACCCACCTCTGAGTTACACAGTAGTTCAGTGAATCTGACTTCCCCACTGACTTTTGCTCGTCTGAAGGTTGCAAAAGGGGCCTCGGGACACTGCAACCGTCGTAAGTACATGCCAGTTGCCAAGCGTCTGAATTTTAATCACGTGACCATGGGGAGAAGTGTGAGAAACGGTCGTAAGTCACTTTCTTTTCTTCAACCCATTGTAACTTCGAATGGTTACTAAAGGAATGGTTTTAAGTCAAGGACTACTTGCACGGAATGAGTTCCTTAGTTCCTACATAGACCTCATTTTTTTTAAAAAAAAAATTGATTTATATGCCGCCCTTCTCTGGAGACTCAGGGCGGTTTACAGTGCGCTAAGCAATAGCCTTCATCCTTTTGTATATTTATACAAAGTCAGCTTATTGCCCCCACAAACTGGGTCCTCATTTCACCTACCTTAGAAAGGATGAAAGGCTGAGTCGACCTTGAGCCTTGGCGAGATTCGAACTTACTTTAATTGCAGACAGCTGCTGTTAAATTACAGTGCTTAGTCTGCAGAGCTATCCAGGCTCCTATTTTGTAGCTACGGTAATAGCCAAAATTGTGGAAACCTTTTGGGGAAAGTGTATTTTTGAGGTTTGATGGCTAATAACACCACTTTTTTTTTTTTTTTGGAGTTTCAAGATAATCCTATTCCACTGCTGGAATGGCCTGGGAAGAGCCCAGACCTTCACCCAGTGGAAAATCTATGGAGCCGATTAAAGAAACTTGTTAGTCAGAAGCGACCCAGCAATAAAACCCAGTTAATAGAAATTCATCATTCAATCTTGGTTTCACATTAGAACAGCTGCAGAACTAAAAGACTTGGTTCCCTCCACGGGAAGACTTTGTAAAGCTGTCATTCATGCTAAAGGTTACCCAACTAAGTATTAACTGGCATGGTGATTATTTTTGTAGATCTCATTTTTTCTATGGTGACAATTTTTGTAGATCGCATTTTTTCTACGTCTTTCACTTCTTTATGCCATAACTGCTATTCTAATAGCAAATCCTTCATGAAAGTGATTGCATTACATTCTTGATTAAATTATCTTTCCATTGATAGATAATTTTATGGTACTACTGCCCCAAAAAAAGTGGTGTTATGAGCTAAGTTTTAGAAAATACACTTTTCCCAAAAGGTTCCCACAATTTTGGCCACTACTGTATGTCAATGCTAAGAAGGGAAACCTGGGCCTTACAAGGTGACTTCTCATCTTACCGTCCAACATGTCTCTCCAATACATGCAGGAGGAAGAGGTTTCCAGATACACCGGAGAGAAAAAAAATACGCTTTTGGGGGGGAGAGAAAATAAGCTCAAGAAGCCAAAGGATTATACCGAATTTTGGAGACGGGCTGCTAAGAATCCGTTCACAATAGAGAGTTCTCCAGGGGTTTCAGTTTTAAGTCTTTTGAAGTATGGATTAAGGGAGAAGAGGACAAGGAGGACATTTTTTAAAAAAATGTTATTCAGAGTTTTGTGGCTTCCGATATGCTTTCACTAAACAATTTAGGGGAAAAAACAAAAACAAAGAGAGTCCAGCTGCCTCTTGAAAAAGCACCTTTGGGAGAACCATGACCTGGATGATTGAGTGTCTCCATAGACGTTTATTAAAAGAAATGTCCTAGTAGTAGAATGGATACGGATTACTCCTTGGTTATGTTTTATATGAGGGATTACATTTCTAAGCATGGGAAAAAAAACAAAAAACTAAACCATCCACCTTTAAACACTGTGTTTTCTAATGCACAATCTTCTTGCATGAAACTGATACAACACACACACAAATGCGCGCACACACACACACACAGCTGATTCTATGTGTGGACTTCACATTTTAAAATTCCCCAGCCAGCATGCTTTAAGATGAGTGGATTTCCATTCCCAGAATTCCCTACCCAGCATGCTTTAAGGTGAGTGGACTTCAGATCCCAGAATTCCTCAGCCAGCAAGCTTTAAGATGGGTGGACTTCAACTCCCAGAATTCTTTACCTAGTATGCTTTAAGATGAGTGAATGTCAATTCCCAGAATTCCCCAGCCAGCTGCTTTAACACGTGTGGAGTTCAACTCCCAGAATTCCCCAGCCAGCATGTTTTAAGGTGAGTGGACTTCAGATCCCAGAATTCCCCAGCCAGCATGCTTTAAGATGAGTGGACTTCAGATCCCAGAATTCCTCAATCAGCAAGCTTTAAGAGGGCTGAATTTCCAACTCCCAGAATTCCCCAGCCAGTATGCTTTAAGATGAGTGAACGTCAATTCCCAGAATTCCCCAGCCAGCTGCTTTAACACATGTGGAATTAAAATCCCAGAATTCCCCAGCCAGCATGTTTTAAAGTGAGTGGACTTCAACTCCCAGAATTCCCTACCCAGCATGCTTTAAGATGAGTGGACTTCAGATCCCAGAATTCCTCAGCCAGCAAGCTTTAAGAGGGCCGAATTTCCAACTCCCAGAATTCCCCATCCAGAATGCTTTAAGATGAGTGAACGTCAATTCCCAGAATTCCCCAGCCAGCATGCTTTAAAGTGTGTGGACTCCAACTCCCAGAATGCCGGCTGAGGAATTCTGGGAACTGAAGTCCACACACCTTTCAAGTTGCCAAGTTTGAAAAACACCTCTCCGTAACCTTTTCACGTTATGCATTTTTAATTCACCGTATTCTCCGCAGAGGATTCCGTAATGTAAACGCCGGTCTTAGCTTCCTGTCTGGCTTAAGGCCCTTCGAACAGTAAGGGCGTCCCAAAAACGGCAAATGCATGAGGACTAGCGACTTGCCTTGGAAATGAGCTCGTCGTGATTGGCCAGGTGGGCTCTGCAGTGGATACAACTGTAGGTTCGGTGACAATTTGGCAGGTACGCCTGGAACGTTTTGGATTTTGTCATTTTGACCATTTCCGTCGCTGGCTCCTCGGTCTGAGCAGAGCTGGCACTGGAGAAACAATTTTGCTGAACTTGCTGACAAAAGAAACACTGGAAAATGCAGGCAAAAGCCGTCGTTGTTGTGGAGGTTGTGTGGCCCTTTCCACACAGACGCTACCGAAGAAACTGTTAAAACCTGCAAGGGAAGGAAAACGGGTGTCAGCCGGTCCAGATGTTCACCATCCACCTGTCGCGTGCCTAGTCCCTCCTCGCTTAATAAAGGAAGGGGGAGTCTCATCTGTGTATTTCATGCAGTCACCAGATCCTACCCGAAAAGGATCTAAACCAGGGGTTAAACACTCAAAGAGCCATTTGGACCCGTTTCCCACAGAAAAGAAAACACCGGGAGCCACAAAACCCTTCCCGTGCCTGACTATTTCTTGAGCGGCCACAAAACTAGCATAGGTAGTTGAATTAAACGTTCTGTTTTCTTCTGAAACTTTTCTTTCCTTGGACTTATCCATGGTTGGCCTACCAGGGGTCGAAAAGCTCAATAAATCGTGTGCCGGCGGGTGTCGCACATTGGCGGTTGTGACGCATATTTTGAACGACGGAGCCGCAGCAGAGGAATGAAAGAGCCACATGCAGCTCCAGAGCCACGGGTTGCCGACTCCTGATCTAAACAGGTCTCTGCACACACCTTCCTTCAGGCCATCGGGAACCCAATGCAGTAAAAGGCAGGGTGTAAAGACAAAAAAAGTTATGAAACTGGAGGCGAGGCTCATGAATGAGCTGAGTAGAATGCTACTAAAACTCCCTTACGCCTGGCCCGGGGATGTCCAACCTTGGCATCTGTAAGACTTGTGGACTTCAACTCTCAGAATTCCCCAGCTAGCCCTGAGGGGGAGTTTCTGGGAGTTGATGTCCACAGGTTTTAAAAGCTGGACATCTCTGGGCTTGCCCATATGTTGCAACAGCGACGAAACTCTCCAGTTTGTTTGCTCGCTGCAAAATGTACTTTTTTTTCCCCAGTGAAGTACCGTATTTTTTTTTCTTCTTTTTGATTTATTTATTTTTTTATTTTATTTTTATTCGATTTATATGCCGCCCTTCTCCGGAGACTCAGGGCGGCTTACAATGCGTTAAGCAGTAGCCTTCATACTTTTGTATATATTTATACAGTCAGCTTATTGCCCCCACAAACTGGGTCCTCATTTCACCTACCTTAGAAAGGATGGAAGGCTGAATCAACCTTGAGCCTGGTAAGATTCGAACCTGCAGAAATTGCAGGCAGCTGTGTTAATTACAGGGTGCATTAAACCACTGTACTACCAAGGTGTGGTTTTTGACAGAGGAGGCCAAGGGGAGACAGGAGCACCTGTTCGAAATGAAAGGATGGAGGGGAATTTTGAGACCATGATACCCAACCTATGCCCATTTTAAAAAAAAAAAAAAAAATATTCGTGACCCAACGGATGGCCGTGGTTCATCACTTTAAATGGTCATTTTTTTTTGCAAATGCAAAAAGTGGAGTTACCAACGCGCCTCACACTTACAACGGCAGTCACGTGATCGAAATCCGGGCCCTTGGCAACCGGCATGCATTGACAATAGTTCGCAGCATCCCGGGGTCGTCGGCCACCTTCCTAGCTTCCGTCAAGCAAAATCAATGGGGGGGAGGTTAGATTCGTTTAATGGCGAAGAGGTGAAATCAGGGGGGAGTCGCTTAATGACTGCATTGCGTAGCAACAGATCCCCAAATGGGGTTGTAAGGTGAGGATTACCTCTGATGTGAGGTCCTTGGTGGTCTTTTGAGCTCGGTGGAGGTTTTTTTTTTTTTTTTGCACATATTTCATTACCAAATGATGTAATATAACAGAATAACAGACTTGGAGGGGACCTTGGGAGGTCTTCTAGGCCAACCCTCCCCTCAAGCAGAAGATCTTGTACTATGTCAGACAAGTGGCCACCCAATCCTTTCTTTTTTTTATTTTATTGAAAAGTTCTATAAGAAATACAAACAATTTTCTCCCCCCCCTTTCCCTCTCCCCACATAATAGAAATTGTACATTTTCTTATACATAATAAATCCTACATATACATGTTTCCCCTTAAGGAAGCATTAAAATAAGACATTTTAATTACATTCAGAGTTGCTCTTCTTATCTTTCTTCCCTCATTTCACAACAAACCTTCTTCTCCTCCTTTCTTTCCCTTCCCTCCCTCTTCTCTCCTACCTCCTCTTCTACCTCATCCTACTTCCTTTTCCTTTCCCCCACTTCTCTCTTCTTTTCCCCCTTCTCACCTTCACTCCTACTCCTGTCCCCTTCCCTTCCTCCTCTCCTTTCTTCCATTCCTCACACTCCCTCTCCTCTTCCTACCCTCTCCTCCTCTCTCTCCTTTCTAACTTCTTTGCTGTGAAATATTCTCCTCCTTTAATATCTGAGCAACTCCTGTATTCTAATCGTAGATACTTTTAAAACATTTCTCTGTTCACCACTTTTTTTCCCCACCCCAACCCTTATCCCACCCTCCCCACCCCACCCCCCGACTTCCCAGAGCAAAAACAGGGTATAGCATCTAACAAACATATGCTAAAATAAACTAATTATAAAGTTCAAAACTCCCACACGTTCTTTAACTCCCCTTGCTCCAATTCATCAACCTCCCTTTAAAAATTCTCAAAGCCAATTAAATTAAATTCATTCTTCCTAATTATAAAAAAAACTTTTTCTTGATGTATAATCCAATACTTCAGCAGTCTTACAAACAGTAAAAAAATCACGAATAAATTCCATTTCCATACCCTCGAACATCATTCTTTTTGAACATTACTCCCCAATCCCTTCTTAAAGACTTCCAGGGTTGAAGCACCCACAACTTCTGGAAGCGTTCCACGGATTAATTGCTTTCACTGTTAGGAAATCTCTCCTTAGTTGTAGGTTGCTTCACTCCTGGATTAGTTTCTATCCACTGTTTCTTGTCCTGCCCTCCGGGGCTTTGCAAAATTTGCAAAATTTGCAAATTTGCTTTGCAAGACTCTTTTATTTCATCAAGCTGGCCTCGCCTAAATCTTCTCCCTTTTAAGTGCAAATTTTAAATTTTAAAGTGTTTCAAAATATGGGTATTTTAAATCATGGGTATTAATTCAGCCAAATTTATTTAATTCATTTTATTCGATTTTAAATTTTTATATGTATGTGTTTTATTTCGTGGTTGTTCACCGCCCTGAGTCCTTCGGGAGTAGGGTGGTATAGAAATTCAATAAAATAAAATAGGTGATTTGGAAAAAATCGTCAATGCACTTTCTGCAAGAAAACAAGGAAGCTCAAAGAGCACCGAGGACCCCACCGTCCTCCTCCTCCACCCCTCACTCAGCACTGATGATGTTACTTAGCTGGGTCATGAAACGTCTGCAAGAAAACAACCAAGCTCAAAAGATCACCAAGGACCCCCACAGTTCAACCCTGAGCTACCCCATATGCCTTTCCATCGTATCTGATTTGGGCTGAGGCTCTGTTGAAAGAGAAAGGTGCCTCATGCAGATCTGCTTTCGACATCACAGAGTTTATCCAAGTTCTGGTTTTCGTAACCCACCTCCCTTTGTAGGCTTCTTCGCCTTTAATTTCTAGTATAAATAAGACGTAGATTTGACACTACCAGTGACACGATTGGGGGGGGGGTGGAGAAAGAGAAAGACAGCTGGTGTTTTGTTGTGATGCATTCAGCCGGGGTGGGTGGGAGGGAAGAGGAGGCCGTGAGAAATGATGATGGGCTTTGCCGAGTCTTCAGCTCTCGGGCCCAATTACCAAGGAGGCCTCACCAGAGAAAGAGTTATCAAGATCCCTGCCGCTTCCCCATCCATTCTGGAAACACATCTGAAAAATCCATCTGCCACCAAAAAAAAAAAAAAAGGAGAAAAATTAAACCGGCAGGAAAATGGCAGCACAACAGCAATGATGGAGTGACAAGAGATTTAAAGCCCATCTGTTTTATCTCGCTTCGGAAGAAGGCAAAGTCCAAAGGTATGCAGGTTTTCTTGGGCCCTCCCTGCCCCAAATTATCTTGGGTGGCCGAAGATCATCTGCCCTTCTATAACTGTCTGGTTTGGTTCTGCAACCCAACAAGAGAGACACAGACTTCAGAGGATAATTAGAAGTGCAGAAAAAACCATGGCTACCAACCTGCCTTCCATGGAGGACCCGTATACTGCACGAGTCAAAAAGAGGGCTGTGAAAATATCTACAGACCCCTCGCATCCTGGACATCAACTGTTTCAACTCCTACCCTCAAAACGACGCTGTAGAGCCCTGCACACCAGAACAACTAGACACAAGGACAGTTTTTCCCCGAACGCCATCACTCTGCTAAACAAATAATTCCTTCAACACTGTCAAACTATTCACTAAGTCTGCACTACTATTAATCTTCTCATCGTTCCCACCACCCATCTCCTCCCACTGATGACTGGATGACTGTAACTTTGTTGCTGGTATCCTTATGGTTTATATTGATATTGTTTCCTGATTGCTAATTTGTACCCTATGAGTATCATTAGGTGTTGTACCTTATGATTCTTGACGAATGCATCTTTTCTTTTTATGTACACTGAGAGCTTATGCACCAAAGACTAATTTCTTGTGTGTCCAGTCACACTTGGCCAAGAAAGAATTCTAATCTAATCTAAATGCATAATCATGGGAAGTTTGGAGGGGGTCTCTAGGCCCAGACCAGGGAGGAAGTGCCACAAGAAAGAGTTGTGACTCAGGCGAGCGTTGAAGTTGTGGTACAGTGGGTTTTAGTGGCAGAACTGAAGGATGGTGAACAACTCCGTGCTGTAAAGCAAAAAAAAAAAAAAAAGAAAGAAAAAAGGCCATCATTTAGGACAGACTCAAAAGCTGGAGGGGACAGCTTGATTTTGCAATGTCCAGAAATATAGGAGAGACTGTTTGTAGCTCAGGTTTGAACTGTGGGGTCCTTGGTATTCTCTGAGCTTGGTTGTTTTCTTCTGCTAGCACTGATGATGTTACCCAGTTGGGTTCATGAAACGTCAGAAAGAAAACAAGTTCAGAGAATAGCAAGGACTCCATGCTCAGAAGTCCTACTGGAACGAATCAAGTCTATTAAATGTAAGAATTAAGTGGAGATATATAGAAAAAAGAAGCATTGTGCAATTGTTTGGGATGAAGACTTTCAGGACTGGATTATGGCGTGTTGGTCAACTAAGAACATCCTTTTAAGATGGTGGGCCCTGGGAAGGTTTGCAAAGCGGGAAGGCATTTGCATGTCCCTGCAATTCCTACCTTTTCCATACCACAATTTCACAAGTGGTTTGATTCAGATACGGCACCCAACCCCCATTGGCCAACGAATTCCATTCCAGTAAAAACCACGTTAAGCTAAGCACGCTGGTTTATCAATGGCGGGTTGCTTCTAACTGCCTGACCGATGCAAATTTTCTTGAACAAAAGAGCCATCCAACAAAGCACAAGTGTGACAACAAAGCAAAGAACATGACCTAAACATTTGCACACACAAAAAAAGAAGAAAAAAAAAGCCATGGCAGCTAAGCACTGCTTCAAAAGCGAGAGAAAATTCAAGTGACTGGCTTGGCTTTCTAGAAAACCTATTTTAAGCCAACCAAGAATCAGTTCAAGAGCTCAAAAGCGTTTTTGTTTTTTTTAAAATTCTTGGAGTTGAGGCACAGATTGAATTTACATCGAGCTAACCGCTTGCCGATCGTTGTCTCTTGCTTCCAAGTAGAAAAGGAGCCCTGTGCCCCCAATATTTTGAGGCGCACCGTTCCAATTCTCCAAAGAACTCACCAGCCGGGCACCCCGTGCGATTCTGCCTGCTGGCATGACATCATTTAAAGAAAATAAGAGCCGCTGGTAACCAAGCAGCAGCCAATCTTCAAACACAGAGGGCTGTCTTTCCTTCGCACCCGGATGTATAAACAAATATTTAAGCATGTTACCTGCCACAAAAAAACAAGATTGCACAAAATGTAAACCCAGCCAAGGATTGGACAATCCCGCAAGCAACAGGTCAATTCGAATTGGCCTCGCCGCACACGTACCACTCCGTCATAAATATGCATTTCACCGCCGTTCAGTCTTAAAAGCCCTTTCTTTCATTGATAAAAATACGCTAAGCGCAACTGGCAAGCTACCGCTGGTTAAAAAAAAAAGAGCTCTTACAATCGGGTCGGTGATCCCTTGTTATGTTTAGGATTAATCAACGGGAACTTAATATTTCATCTTTGTGGAACGTTAAAAGGCGCCCCGAGTTATTAAATCAAGACGGATAAAGGACCATTCATTGGGAGCCAAGTCATTTCCTTCTTTTTATTCATCGCGACGAAGTGGCCTCTAAGCCTCCAAACTACCATTCAGGGTACACACTGCAAACATCCACCGTCATTTCAGAGCCTGTCAAGGCATAGAAGAGAAAAGGCACTGCGTTCAAAACAAGCCCAAGCCTTTTCTGTTGAGCCCCCGTGCCCTAGGAGAAGAACCGAACAACGGGTCTCACCCGGGCTTCAACCCCAACAAAGCCAAAATCCCGGAACGTCAGGAGTTTCCTAAGCAATCCCGCATCGGCAGAGACTCCAAGCAAAAAAAAAAAGTCAAGCTTGCCCCCTTTGGATTTTTTCACCCAAGCATCTCCTTTTTCTCCTGATCTTCGGTGGACAGCAGGAAATCGAGAGCTTTGCAGGAGAATCTGACTTTTTTTTTTCTTTTCTTTTTTTCCCCCCCCTTCCCTGTAGCCGCCGCCGCCGTTGCAAGAGGCAGCTTGCTAAAAATAGACAAGACACCTCCAGCCTGGTTTAGACAACACAGCACCTGGGGAAGGAGGCGAACGTGCGGCAACCGAGTCCCAGACAGTGTTCAGACCTTCCTGTAGCCAGCCAGCACCTGCTGGATCCAAGTGAGAGGGAGGGGGGGGAAAATAAAATAATAATAATAATAAGGCAAGCGAGATGCTGTTTTTTTTCTACAGTGTTGACAAACAGCTACAACAGGGCTGATCTCGCTGGCAGGAAGCCGCTTGCCACAGCTTGCCACTGGCAGGGGAGGGGGGTTTAGTGTTCGGATATAAAGTGAAGGAACAGAGCTGGGGAGGGGGAAAGAGGGGGGGGAATGAAGAGGGCTGTTTTTGCAACCATATTATGTAAAGCGTGCCCCTCTTGTTTATATTCCCAACCGGCGTGCACAACTGCAACGAAGAAAAACAACAAAGGGCTTCCGTCACCAAAAAGCTTGAAAGCTGTCCAAAAAAAAAAAAAAAACAACCCCGACCTCAGGCAAAGTGGCAAGGAGTCGAAAAGCCTCAGCGACGCAAAACGCAGAAGAGAGATCATCGGCTGCCCACCCCGGAGTGACAGTTCCCCCCCCCCTTCACCTTACCTCTGGGGCTGCCTTGTTTTGGACTCCTTGGTTTGACTCGGGGGGCACAAATAACAGCCGGTCTAGAAGCCTCCGACCCGATTAGCAAGTGGACAAGGGACGGCACGTAGAAAGAGCCCCCACCTCACCCCAAGTCCGTCCGTGCCTTACCGTGATCGTCATAGGAACATGCACAGATCTGAGTAGTACCAACCTCATCACTCAGACTGCCCCCAAACTGCAAACTCACAAAGACAATGGGGCAGAGGCAGGAGCAGGAGAGGTTTATGACTCTACCGCTCCAGGCCACATGCTCAAAAAAATAAAAGAAAACCACCTGTATTTCCCAGGAAAGCAGCTGGAGGGGTGGGTGAGTTAAGCCCCCCCTCCCCTTTTCTGCAAGGGTACACAGTTCAGAGCTCCATCTAAGAAACTGGAAAGGAGACCCTGTTGAGACCAGCTCTCATAAGCATCCTTAAAAAGCCCAGGACAGAGTTTCAAAATTTGCAACTCTTTCAAAACAGGATTGGATTTAAAAAAAAAATAAATAAACACCAACAACTGCAACTCCATTGATTTGTATCTTTTTCTTCCCAATAAACCCATCAAGGGAGAAAAGCAGGAAAAAAGAGGGGAGGTTAGGCAGAAGCATCCTCACCAATAAAAACTCATTTAGAGGTGAAGAAGGCCTTGCCAAACCAAAACGCACTGCAAAGCGCACTCCTGGCTTCAGGAAAAGCCCCATCCTCAATTCCTGTTCATCCCAATTCCAACCATGCGTCAATCAAAGTCTTGGGGACCCCAAGTCAAGTCCCCGGCCTCCTCTCTTCCATTTCAACCAATCCCTCTTTTCTTTCGCACATGGGATGTTTTTCCCTGGCCTGCAACCAGTTTCCCGAAAGGGGAACCACGTTTTTGCCTTCCACAGCAAGAACCACGCTCTTTAAGGAGGGCCTTTTCAGCTGTTTCATTTGTGATTGTATATTGCGTGTTGTGTCGCTACCGGCCTTTCCAAGCCTCCGGTATCCCAGCTCTCCCAACTGCCCTGCAATTCCTCTCCGCAGCCTTCGAAGGCGAGATGGGGCCCCGGCTCTAAAGTCCCACCAGGAATTTCACAAGCCTTTGGTGAATTTGGAAGGTCGCTCTTATTTTAAGACGGGTTTCATTCTTAAGACGGACGGTTCTCGCTTCCTCCTCCACAAAGCGAGACTCCGGATCGTGAATTGCATCATCGGAGATTGGTGTGTGGCATCGCTCCGAAGCCACCTGAGCTTCCGAAGGAAGGGGGGGGGTGTTTCAATATTTTTTTAAAAAGCATTAGGAAATCATTGATTATTGGCAAGGATAGCTGTCAGAAAAAGATGAAGCTTTGTGTGTGTGAAATTTGCAAGAGGCTGAAGATTTTATATTTATAATACAGGGCTGTATTTACAACACGGTGCATTTTAGATCTTAAAGATCTTTTAGATCTTTAGATCTAACCCTGTCTTTCCAGATTATGCTTCTTTTGGGAGGTGGAAGGCTCAGCGTGTATAGGGGGGGGCACGTTTCAGGTGTACCCACGCAAGCAAGAGGGCCATTAACGTCTTTTCACAGGCCATTTGTGCACGGATATTTTCGTGGTGCAGTTCATTCTGCGTTCAGGTGGGTTTGCGCTATAAATCCCATCGCACCCAGCCCAAATATAACCCAGTGGGCGCAATGGGATTTATAGCGCAAACCCACCTGAACGCAGCTCTAAGTGAGTTGGTGGGCCTGGGATTCCAGGGTGACTATTCCTCATCCTGGGGCCTTCCAGATGCATTGGGATGCCAGCCGATTGGAAGCAGATGGGAGTTGTAGTCCAATCTCATCTAGCCTTTCCTGATTGTTGCATTTGGTTTTCTCCAATGATGCATTGGTGGGGGACAATAGGTCTTTGTTGATAGGGGACAGCCCCAAATATGTGAGGGAATGGGATTTATAGTCCATTTAGAACACGTGCGCGCGCACACGGAAAACAGGAAAAATGGCTTCCCCAGCCATCACAGCAATTGGTTCCCCAATCTCCAGCAAATGGGATGAGACCTGGGCGGCTGCGCAGACAGGCCAAGAAAGAGAGAATGGGATTTGTAGTCCAAGCCATTTAGAACTCCCAGCAGTAAGAGAGTCAATCCCAAACTTCTCCAGCCCTCCCAGCACCAGGTTCTCCAATCCTTAGGGAGGCATCTGCTGGGGAGAATGGGTTTTGATGGGGAGCAGGCAAAGAGGCCGGAGGATGGGATTTGGAGTCCAAACCATAGAACTTTCAGGGGCAGAGGAATCAATCCATCTAAGAACCAACAATGGCAAGTCTCATCTTCCTCATCCTTCCCAGCTCTGCAGTCTTCAAAGAGGCAGGCTGGGGATCATGGGACTCTTAGCGGGGACCCAGCCAAGAGTTAAGAGAAGGATGGGATGTGTAGTCCAAGCCACCCAGAACCCCCAATGGCAGAGGAACCTAATCCCATCTTCTCCATGCCTCCTGGCTTCCCAATCCCCAGGGAGGCCGGCTGGGGATCATGGGCCTTTTAGCAGGGACCCAGCCAAGAGTTAATGGGATGTGTAGTCCAATCCACTCAGAACCAGGAACCTAGTCCCATCTTCCCCGTCCCTCCTGGCTCCCCAATCCCCAGGGGGCCAGCTTGTAGTCCAGCCCCAACATGTCCTTCCCCCACCCGGGGGGATGATGGGCCCGTCCACCCACTTACCCACCTGGGCCGGGCGGGGGGGGGGGAGCCGTACCTGTGGGGGCGGGGCGGTGGGCGGGGCTTCCCTCACGCCCCCAACGGCCGGCGGGCGAAGCTGGGCGGGGGGTCGCGGCGGGGGGGAGGCATAGAGAGCGCCGCGCGCCGCCTCGTCTCAGGTCGCCGACGCCGCCACCGCTGCGCGCTTTCTCCTCAGCCCGGGCAGCCGGCGACTCATCCCGCCGCTGCCGCCGCCGCCGCCGCGACCGCCCGGCTGGCCTCGGGCTTTGTTTTGCTTGGGGCTTCCTCGGCCCCGCCCCCTGGGTGGGCTCGCGGCCCCGGCGCATGCGCCGCAGCAGCCCGCCGCCCGGTGGCCGTTGAGCCCAAGCGCCGAGGAAGAGGCGCGCGCCGTCGTCCGGCGTTGCCGCGGGCGACGGCCAATCGTGGCGCAGAGCGCTCCCGCCCGCCGATGCCGCCTCCGCTGGGTCTTAGCGCCCGCACGGAGTCGTCTCGGCTGAGCTGGTGGCTGGGGGGGGGGGGCGGGATTTATGAATGTATTATTATTACTGCTGCTGTTTTGTTTTGCTATTGTTATATTGTTTTATTATAATTTAATATTTTTATTAATTATCTTGTTGCTATTGTTTTGTTGCTGTGTTATTACTATTACTATTACTATTATTATTATTACTATTACAATTCCACTCCGGATGCTGGGAATCGTTCGAAGCGGCCACTCATTTTTTCCCAGTGCTTCGCTCGCTCTGCAACTGAGGTCCTGATGGGAGGACAGCTGGGGATGATGGGTGTGGTCGTCCTCCACTTGCACAGGGACTGGAGTTGGCAACGGCTTTTCTGTTCGACTGATGCACAATGCTTTTACATCAGGATCTCCTCGCCTTGCAGCGCGAGATCATCAGCAAAGCAGCCCCCAACGGATCCGTCGTAAAGCGAATTAAAAAAAAAAAAAAAAAAAAGCTTTGCTGGCTGAGGAATTCTGGGAGTTGGAAGTCCACAGGTCTTAAAATGGCCAAGGTTGGAGACCCCTGCCCCAGGGGTCTATCTTTATGTTTCTAGACCACCACCACCCCAGCTCCCTCAAGAAGGGTCTCTGAGCGGTGTAATCCCCAATGATCCCTAGCAAGCTTGGCTCTGGTGACATAGCTACGTGAAGGCGCAAAGAACAGGCCCACAGAGATCAGGGGGGGCTTTGTGACAGCAGGAAAAGAGACACGGGGATCTCTAAAACGTTGCTGACATCTAGCGGCAGCTCCAGCAAAGGGAGGTTTTTGTTTGCCAGACTGGATTAACTTGTTTCAAGGGCATCTGGAGAGAGTGTGCGAATCACTTAATATGTGAGATAAAGTTGTGAATCACTTAATATGTGAGATAAAGAGGATGAATGTTGCAAGAGATTAAAAGACAGTGCAAGGGGGGGGAAAGGAGGCCACCTGGTGTTCTTGAGGTATTGGTGGTTGAATTCTTCCAAACCATCGCCAAGGTACAGGTATTTATTTTATCATTTATTTTACACCTGGGCCATTTTCATGCCATTGATCCCAAGTGGAATAACCAATGCCTGAGTTAGCCCCGTTTCCCTGCTCCTAACGGCTTTGCAATTTGCTCTAACGACATACAGGTAAGTCCTTGACTTCCAACAGTTCCATTTAGTGGCCAGAGTTTCAACATCATGGAAGAGAAGAGACTTATGGCCGTTTTTCATATTTCAACTGTTGCAGCATCCCCATGGGAATGGGATCAAAATTTGGACGCTTGGCAACCGACTCGTATTGATGACGGTCGCAGCATCCTGGAATCATGCAATTCCCCTTTTGCGACCTTCTGACAAGCAAAATCAATGGGGAAGCCAGATTCACTCAACCACTGTGTTGCCAACTTAACGACCGCAGTGATTCGCTTAACGAACGCGGCAAGAAAAGTCGTAACGTGGGGCAAAACTCTGCCCCACGTTACAAAGTGTTGGACTCAATTGTGGTCGTAAGTCGAGGACCCACCTGCATTGTAGAAAATGCGTGCGCTCTGAGATGGAAAAACTGTGAAAAAAGACCCAGCTTCTCCCTCATTCCAAATATCCACAACTACTTTGTTGCTTTAGTAATCCAGGATCAAATTTAATGAGTTCCTTCACAATTGTTTTTACAAGAATCGGATGGTATGTAGTAACAAGACATTAACTGTTCCATTTCCTTAAAAAAAAAAAAAAAAGGCATGTACGCTCACAACAGAAGACAAAAATATAAACTTTTTCTACTTACAATAATCCTATACATAGCATAACAACCAAATCACAAATTTTGTCACACGATAGAAATGTTTTGTGTTATCAGGTAAACAGGCGGAAAACCCTTTATAAAATTCCGCTTTTGTTTCCGGTTTTAAATTAACCATTAACTAAAAATAGCTATGCGGGGGGGGAGGGGCTGGGGTACATGACTAAGGCACCGACAGTACAAAGCAATATAAAAGCAAAACGTTTTTTCCTTAGGAGTGCGTTACACACCGACACGCCACGAGAAAAGGCAAAAAGAGTAAACCAACTCGTTGTAACCTTTGCGTGTTCGTTCTCAGGTGGAACCGTTTCTTCCGGTTTTCATCCAAACGAATATGGTGACGGGCTTCCTCAAGGCTTCAGAAATTCAATCCCAATTTTCCTAACCTGGGTGTTTCTTCAGATCCTTGGCAGCAACCTAAGCTGGCTGGAGAATTTCGGGAGATGACAACCGAACAAATCGGTTGCTCAAAATCTAAACCTGAACTTTTTTTTACTTTGAGGCTTTCCTTGAACGTGATCCTTCGACGCTCAACAAAAATAATTTACCGTTCAAATGAGAATTGCGTCAAAACGTTGTTGGCTGGAAGTATTCTCTTAGGTCTAACTCACCTGAGCTCATTTCAAGTTAAGGTTTCGTCTGCAGGAACCAATTTAGCCTGAAGAGACTGAACATAGATCCCTGTGATTCCTTCTTGCAGGGATCGGAGTATGTTATAGCGAAGTATGTGATGTAAGGATGTGCTATAGCAGGGATGGCTAACCTTTTTGCCATTGAGTGCCAAAAGTGGGGGGGGGAGTGCAGGGGAGGTCGCTTTTGTACATGCCCACACCCATAATTCTGTCCCGCCCCCCGCGCATGCGTGTGCGGCAACCCCCACCCCACGCTCCCACTTTTGGCATGTGATGGCAAGGTAAGCCCATTTTTCACTCTCCCCAGGCTCCAGAGCCTTTCTAGGAGGCTGGGGAGAGCCAAAATAGCCTTCCTCACTCTCCCAGAGGCCCGCCGGAGGCCAGAAACAGCCTTTTTCCTGACTTCCGGTGGGCCCAAAAGGCCTGAAAATCAGCTGGCATGCACGCACATGCATGTCGGAGCTGAGCTCACGTGCCCACCGATATGGCTCCATGTGCCACCTGTGGCATGTGTGCCATAGGTTCACCATCACAGTCTTATAGCTTGCTGGCAATATACAAGGTGTGCATATTTCAAAGTACCTACGTTTAGACTCTAGAATCAACCAGGATGAGAATTATTTCTGCACAACCCTTTGGGGTAATTTACTATCAGTTAGGGGTTTCACTTGCCTTACGTATTGCTTTCCATTACTAAAACACAATCAATCGTAATCAGTTAAGGCAAGGGTCTCCAAACTTGACAACTTTCAAGACTCGTGGACTTCAATTCCCAGAATTGCTGGCTGGGGAATTCTAGGAGTTGGAAGTCCACCAGTCTTAAAAGTTGCCAAGTTTGGAGACTCCTGAATTAAGGTACACCCAGCCGTATCCCTGACACTGTGGGACAACCAGAACTCCCAGAAGGGTGAACATGCTTGCAGGGAACTCTGGGGGTTGTGGTTTTGAACCTCTGAGGGGAGGGGGTTAGGCAGTCATCTCATATCCACCAGTTTTGTAAATTATGAGGTTACTTTTAAAACTGGATTGTTTGGACTGCTTAAATATCAAGTGGCTGGGGGAGTTCCATGAAGGATCTGCACCAAAGGGTCTTCCATTTTGCCCTATTGAGCTGCATAGTCTCAAACATGATAGCCAAAGTATTTTGTAAATGGCCAGCAGAGGTTCATTCAATTCATATTAGGTCCAATATATCCATATATTCCATATTTACATATATCAAACCATTTTTGAATAGGCATGAATATGATTGCATATTCTTTATCGAATGTGTAATTTCTAGTATATATGGCGTAAGGAATAATGTATTAAAACTGTACCGATAGAAGCATTTCTTAAAAAAAGACAGAATATGGTAACAGAATAACAGAATTGGAAGAGGCCTGGGAGGTCTTCTAGTGACTAGGCCAACCACCTGCTCAGGCAGGAAACCCTATACTATTTCAGATAAATGGTTGTCCAATCTCTTCTTAAAAACTTCCAATGTTGGATTAACTCACAACTTCTGGAGGCAAGTTGTTCCACTGATTAAATGTTCTAACTGTCAGGAAATTTCTCTTTAGTTCTAGGTTGCTTCTCTCCTTGATTAGTTTCCATCCGTTGCTTCTAGTCCTGCCTTCAGGAGCTTTGAAGAATAGCTTGACTCCCTCTTCTTTGGGGCAGCCCCTGAGATACTGGAAGACTGCTATCTCTCCCCTAATCCTTCTTTTCATCAAACTAGACATACCCAGTTCCAGCAACCGTTCTTTATGTTTTATCCTCCAGTCCCCTAATCACCTTGGTTGCTCTTCCCTGCACTCTTTCTAGAGTCTCCACATCTTTTTTACACCGTGGTGACCAAAACTGGATATGGCATTCCAGGTGTGGCCTGACCAAGGCCTTATAAAGTGGTATTAACACTTAACGTGATCTTGATTCTATCCCTCTGTTAATGCAGCCTAGAACTGTGTTGGCTTTTTTGGCAACTGCAGCACACAGCTGGCTCATATTTAAATGGTTGTCCACTAGGACTCCAAGGTCCCTCTCACAGTTACTACTATTGAGCCGGGTACCATCTATCTATATCATCTATATACTATAGCTTTGCATTTGCTTTTTCTTGCCTAAATGTAGCGCCTTACTTTTTTCACCAAGAAATTCTATTCTGTCAAAAGATGTGCCTTTAATGAACAGTTAATGGCCAGAAGTCAATTGACAGACAGAATGAATGAATATCTCAAAGCTGATTTTAGTACAGAGGTCCCCAATGCCTGCCTACTGGACTGCAGCATGCCAGAAATAGGGCCACACAAACAAGCTAAGCCTTATCCATGGGATGCAGGCAGCACGCAAAACCAGATCCCTTCCAGTCCATGGAAAAACCTCTCCACTGAACCGGTCCCTGGTACCCAAAATGTTGGGGGCAGCACTGTTTTAGTATGTTTTGTCTGTAGCTTCCTTTGTCCAATTGTAAATTGCAGGTGAATAGGATAGTACAAAACATAATAAACAAAGTCAACACAACTTTCCATTCTTGTAACAAAAACTGCTGCTGTGTTGTTTCACTTGAGAGACTCGTAACAGTCTAAAAATCACCAAAATAATGTTGTAATAATGATGCAAGCCAAGCCCCCAAGAACAGCTCAGCTTAACGGCTGGCATTATGGTAAAACTGTTTAAAAAAAAAAAGAAGAATTAAGACAGATCTAACAGTCATAGGAAGTTGCAAAGAACTTGGGACGCGTCAAACCTTTTCCAACAATATTCCAACAATATATAATATTCAATATATGCTTTTTGCAGGTTCCACGAGAGTTAACAGAGATCAACTTTCAGAGACAAACATTTATTAAGTTTGGTTGAGCAGGCTGATTGCTTATGTATTAATGTAGAATGCTGTCATCTGTAAACACCTAATATAAACGTTGATATACACAGTACGCAACTTCAGATGCACCTAAAGTGGCCAAAACTGTAATTCTAATTTCCTAATGAACAGTCTTACCAAGCTCAATGGAATTTTGGATCAGAGAAACAAATTAACTAACTATGGATCAAGTGGAGACCATAACGCCACATCCTTAACAGAAAAGAAATCTTACTTGTTTTAGCATATATACATAATGATTGGCCCATTAAGAATCCACCCAAAAGACTTTCTCGCCCTTGCAGGAAGTAAAAATTAAACGCAAGTCACCCCAAGACTAAAACAGCAAGACTCCCAACAAAAATGCTTCAAAAGGCAAACAAAAATTATTTGGAAAAAAGTAAAGGGAAATATACCAAAACGAAATTTTAATGTTTGATTCGTTAACAAGAGCACTGCTGCCAAAATACAACAGAGCAAAAAAGAAAAAAAAAAGAAAAGATGGAACAGCTAAGAACACGCTTTATTCTCCCCCAATGAAATGTTCTCTTTGCTGGGGAGAATTTCATTGAGCATAATTAGAGGTAACTTTTTTTGTTGTTTCAGCTCCAGCTATGTGGCACTTAAGACAATCATTTGTGCACAGAAAGCTTTTAACAGTCATGCGAGGAAGAGACACAGTTGTCATTTTAGAACAAGGTAAAATTTTTCACCAAGGGCAGTGGGGGGAAGAGGGAAAAGTGTCAATGAGGCACTGCACTGGAACAGAACATCTAGTAAACTCCACACTGTACAGTTTCAGAAACAAATACTTGAAGAGCTATCATTAAAAAAAAAAAAAGGCAGAATATTGATGAAACAGAACCAAGGGTTCTATTCATTTCGTGGGCCCCGGGTTGGGGGGGTCTCGATAATGCAATTTAAATCAGCTGACTGAACAAGAGGTCCAGAGTTATAAATTCTGGAAGCATTATGGGAAGAGGGGGGGGGAACGTTACAGGAAATAAAAGGCGAGATGCCGACATGCTGTGGAAATACAGTTGTTCTCACTTTCTTATTTTAAAGATGCAGTGTTCCTTCCCCCCCCCTTTCCCCCCCCCCAGAGCCCACCACATACATACATTCAAAAGAAAGGTACCAAGTGAGGATTCTTCGTATTTGGGTGGAGTTTATGGTGTTCACAAAAATTTCTCTGCTAATCCCCCTGGATGCGTTTCCAGAAAAAGAAACCCATCAAAGATTTCGTATGAAAGTTCATTTTTGCTGGGTTGAAAAACGACCGAAATTCTAAGGTCGGCGGGGATTATGTCCTGTTCAAATCAACCAGATTGGCTTCTGGGTAAGCAGATGCACCTTGCAAATGTGGCATTGGAAATCCCAGGTGTACCATTCAAAGTTAAAATTGCACAAGTACCTACGATCTCTTAAAGTGGGGGGGGGAAAGAAGGGGGAAAGGGGTTTTTCCCCCCCCCTGCATCGTTTACCGAGATGTCTCAGCATTGAAGTGACCTGCCTTAATTTATGCCCAGAGAAAGGGGGGGGGAGTAAAAAGTATAAATACAGTGTATGCCTGGATCTGTCCTCTCGTACTGTGTATGTCAGTAAACATGGCAAGCTTAAAGAAGTGCAAAAGTTGTGGCAAATGCCCCTGACTTAAAGTGCCCTCAATGTTCCTTAATTATTATTATTTTTTCCCTCTCAAATGCCGTTACAAAAATCTAGAAAAAGAAAATGATCCAAGGTACAAAATAGTCCGCCCTCCTCAAGGTCAGAAGCCAACACTGCATCTTTCAAACCAGAAAGGGGACATGGTCTACTCTTAAAACCATGTTGGCGTGATCGAAGGGTGGTGTGTTTATAAAGACAGTACCTGCAAAAGATCGGTGGGGAGGGGAAGTTGGGGTTTTACACGCAGGAGTATTGGTAACGTTTCTTCAGGCATGAGAGAGAGAATCGGTTGAAGACATAGAAAGCCAGGACGGCCATAGAAATGGTCCTCCTGAATGGCTTGAAATGTTTAGGAGGCCACGTCATATGATCATAGAGAAAGATCCAGGAAGAGAATGTCTACGAAGAGTGTGCCCAGCCCTTTAATTCCTTTATCCTACAAGAAAGGGGAAAAAAAAAAAAGACAAAGCGGGAACATTTTATTGGAAAATGGAGGATACACATCGGATTTACCATTTGCCCTGAATGGTGTAGGGTTTCCTGCTTGAGCAGAGGGTTGGACTAGAAGACCTCCAAGGTCCCTTCCAACTCTGTTATTCTATTAATGGACAGAGTACAGAGATCACACCGTACAGGTAGTCGACTTACGACCGCAATGGAGCCCAAAATTTCTATTCCTAAGCGAGACGGTTGTCGAGCGAGTTTTGCTCCACTTTATGACCTTTCTTGCCACCGTTGTTAAGTGAATCCCTGCAGTTGTTAAGTCGGTAACATGACTGTTGAGTGAATCTGGCTTCCCTGTTGACTTCGCTTGTCAAAAGGTCGCAAAAAGGGATCAGGTGATTCCCCGGGACGCTGCAACCGTCATAAATACGAGCTAGTTGCCAAGCTTATGGATTTTGATCATGGGGGATGGGTGGGGATGCTGCACTGGTCATAAGTTACTTTTTGTAGTGCCGTTGTTAACTTCAGACGGTCACTAAACAAATGGTTTTAAGACGAATATCTGTACAGTGTACTGGAGACTAAAAAACAATATAAAATTATCTCCAGAAGCTGAGTAGAATATACCACTAGCACTAGCACTTAGACTTATATACCACTTCACAGTGCTTTACAGTCCTCTCTAAGCGGTTTACAGAGTCAGCCTATTGGCCCCCAACAATCTGGGTCCTCATTGTACGGAACTCAGAAGGATGTCAGGACTGAACTGCTGAATTGCTGGCAGCCGGCAGTCAGCAGAATTAGACTGCAATTCTGCATTCTAACCACTGTGCCACCACAGCTCCTGAACTTCATATATTTATTAAATTTGTATGCTGCCCATCTTACTGTTGAGAGACTCTGGCTGGCTTACAACAATTTATATATAGGTAAAGGTTTCCCTCGCACATATGTGCTAATCATTCCCAACTCTAGGGGGCAGTGCTCATCTCCATTTCAAAGCCGAAGAGCCAACGCTGTCCGAAGACGTCTCCGTGGTCATGTGGCCGGCATGACTTAACACCAAAGGCGCACGGAATGTTGTTACCTTCCCACCAAAGGTGGTCCCTATTTTTCTACTTGCATTTTTTGCGTGCTTTCGAACGGCTAGGTTGGCAGAAGCTGGGACAAGTCACGGGAGCTCACCCTGTTACGCGGCACTAAGGATTCGAACCGCTGAACTGCCGACCTTTCGATCAACAAGCTCTGAAGGCAGACCCACAAAGCATTTTTTTTAATTTAAAGCAAAATTTTGATATTTTAGCTTTTGCTGTACAAAGATTAATACAGAATATTAAAGGTGCGGTTTTCTAGGTGTATGAATTGAACTGAATACTGGACGAAACAGCAAATTATCTTTGCTTTAGAAAGGAAGGCTACATTCTCACTTGGGGGGGGGGAGAAATCAACAGGCATTTTAGGAAAACTAAATGAAGCCATTGCAGACTTTTGGGCTGTTTTTCTGAATTCTTTCAGATATTTTACGTGAATTTTGGAATAGCCACTTGGGGCTGCTCCAAAGTAAATTCCTAAGTAAATTTTTCAAAAGCTTTTTTTGGAAAGGCTTAACAATTGGCAAATCTTAACTGTGATGATATAAAATAATTTAATATTTATCAAATGATTACATTAGATGCAAAAGAAGTTGCCCGTTTCACGTAGTTCGATTAAAACACTTAATGTACCCTTATGCCATTTAGGATCTGTATCCTGGCTGGAATCTGGCAGTTTCCTCAAAAATTAGTTCTTTCAGTTTTTCCTTCGGCAAGTCATCCAGCTCCATATCAAATTTGAAAGGCGCTTCAGCTACAGGCTTTAAAAAAAAAATAAAGAACAGGCCATCAGAAACATGAATGATATTGAGGCACAAAAGGAATATGCAAATCGGAAAGTTTTTGACTTTTTAAGTGTTCCAAAGCTGTGCAGAAGACTTTGTGGTCAAAATTAAAATATGAATCTTAGAAAATAATGCATACTAAAATTACCTGCACTAGTACTTACTCTATAAATATGCAGTTACGGAAGTTTTACTTGGTTAACATTTATTATGATATGGCTTGGAGAGCTGGTGAGTTAAGATTTTTCACACATTTATTGATATATGCTAAGGAAAATACAGATAGTCCTCAACTTATCACAGTCTGTTTAGTGACTGTTCAAAGTTACAACGGCGCTAAAAAATGTGACTTATGACCGTTTTTCATAGTTACGACTATTGTGGCATCCCCATGGTCATGTGATCAAATTCAGATGCTTGGGAACTTAGCAACCAGGTTACTAACTTATCAACTGCAGTGATTCACTTAACAACTGTGGCAAGAAAAGTCGTAAAATGGGGCAAAACTCACTTACAAATTTCTCACTTAGCAACATAAATTCTGGGCTCAATTGTGGCCATAAGTTAAGAACTATCTATATATATAAAACAAGATTTAAGCTATAAGTACGTATTATCCTCTCTGGCTGCCAAACCTATTCAAAGCATTGAATTAAAGTGTTTTATAGTGTCAAATAGCCTCCATACCTCATCACTGGGGTCGTAATACTGTTCTAGGTAGGGGTGAGCCAAAGCTTCTTCCACTTCAATTCTCTTGTGAGGGTTGAAAGTCAACATTTTATCCAACAGATCAAGAGCTAGAAAGACAATTTTTAGAATTAGTTTGGCTTGCATTCTATTCATCCCAATGTCCATCCTTATACAGAACATGTTGAATGATGTTTAAATTTTTTCCCCTGGGGGACGTAAAATAATTTCACAGAACCACCACAAAAGGAGAGCTCTAGTCCAAGCAGGACTTCATCTACAATAAAATCATTTACTGAGAAGAAAATAGGAATTGTTTGCATGTTTTTCAACGTATTTATTTGGAAGAGCGTAAATATGGAGGGCTAATTCTTTTGATATGAGCATTAATGAAGAAAGAGAAAGAGTAGGGACTGTTACAAATCTCAGCTCTTCCAACTTTTCCTATAACCCATGCCATGGTTTTTGCGAAACGTCAGAATCTTATTCTTTTAAATTACCTTTGGGATCAGCATTTGGAAATAATCTGTTCCAGGGAACTTTATTTTTATACGGTAGAGAAAGCAAGTAATTTCTCGCTTTTGCGTTGATTATACAGTTCAAGTCTTCTTGGGAAGGAGAGCCAAGAATTCCTGCAACATGAAGGGGAAAAAAAGGAAGAGAAATTATTGCAAAAATAAAGTAGATCTGTCTATGGGCAACTTAAATTTGCTATCGTTTGCTCAACTTCCTAGTTCCAACAAGTAAACAAAGAAAAAGGAAGAAACACCAATTAGACATGTTAAGAGTCTTTTGCCTGTATTATTTAGATGTAAAAATGAAAAAAAAAAATTACCAAGAATGTGGTTGAGCTGATCAAGGTAGTGTTTTCCTGGGAAGATGGGTCTGTTTGATAGCATCTCCGCCAGAATACAGCCTACAGACCAAATATCAATAGATTTGGTATATCCCTACAGACAAAATGGGGAAAAAACATTTGCTATAATGTTGTATAATTTTACAGTTCTGGAGTTTTCAAATATGATAGTTTTCTAGCACATGTCACTACTACTACCATTTGGAGAATATTTTAGACTTTACACTTAGGATTTCTTGAAGCATTACAAAAATGCACTGTAAAAAATATTTGTTTATACAACTCCATAAACCGCTATACCTAAAGTTAAATTACTTGGAATCCAGAGGACTTGTTTCAACACATAGATATTAAATAACAACTTTAAATGGATAATATGTTACCCAGCTTTGAGCCTACAAACAAACACGTATATGCACAAAAAAAACACCCTGACAATATTCTAGAAAAAAAGTACTGTTTATAAAACAGGAAGCACCATTTTACGATCTGCAAAGTTAAACTAATATTTTACATAAACTAGGCCTGTGATGGCGAACCTATGGCATGCGTGCCAGAGGTGGCACGTAGTCCTCTGTGGGCACGCATGCCGTCGCCAGCTGCTCTTCTGGTTTCTGGCATGCACATGCGCGCCTGCCGGCTAGTCTTTGCAGGCACCGGAGCATGGTCCCAAAACAGGCCATTTTCTGGCCAAAAACATCCCCCAAAACGACTTGAAAACAGTCCGAAAAATGGCTTGAAAATGACCCAAAAACAGACATGTGTCCGCCGGCCAGCTGGTCTTCGCACATGCACGCGTGTTCCAGTTTGGGCACTCAATGCTGAAAAGGTTCATCATTACTGAACTAGGCTCACTCAGTTAAACAGGTCTAATAATGGATTTCCATTATTGGTTGACTGATTTGGATTGAACAACTCTGCTATAATATTAAACACAAAACATTTCAGCTCTCACCTTAGAATTCAGCATGATTTCAGGAGCTCTGTACCAACGCGTAGCTACGTATTCTGTTAGGAAACCAGTGTGGTCATGGTCTGGATCTGCCACACGAGCCAAACCAAAGTCACATGTCTATTATAGGATAGAAGAAAAGATTGTTGTTGTTTTTAGAAAGAGTAGGGGTTTTTCTTTCGAGTCAGCAAAATTCGTTTTTTTTTTTTAAAAAGGTAAATTTTAGGGGAATATCTTCCACAAGGGGGAAAAGGCTTCAGAGATGGCAGTGTTACAATATCTGAGCGGCTGCACAAAGAAGAGAGGGTTGGGGGGGAGGGGGTCAACCTATTTTCCAAAGCCCCAGAATGCAAGACAGGAAACAATGGATGGAAACTAACCAAGGGGAGAAGCAGCCTAGGACTAAGGAGAGGTTTCCTAACTGTGAGAGCAATCAACCAATGGAACGGCTTGCCTCCAGAAGCTGTGGGTGCTCCAACACTGGAGGCTTTTAAGAAGAGACTGGACAGCCATTTGTCTGAAATGGTATAGGACCATGATGGCAAACCTATGGCACATGTGCCACAGGTGGCACGCAGACCCCCTCTCTGCGGGCACACCAGCCGTCGCCCCAGCCCAGCTCCACCGTGTATGTGTGCGCTCTTCCCGCTGACCACTGGTCTTTGGGTCTCTGCCGCGCATGCGCGGGGAGCAGGGGGCATGTGGGGGATGCACATGTACATGTGCAGGAGGGGCGCATGCATGGGGGGTGCTCGCATTGCATTTTGGGGGTTCAAAATGGAAGCCAAAATGGCGCAGGGCACCACGCGAGGCCCCCCCGTGCCCCGTTTTGGGCCTGGAAAATCTCTTGCACCAACCTGGACGCCAAAATGGGGCATGGGGGCACCGCACAAGGCCCCCCATGCCCCGTTTTGGGCGTGGAAAGCCTCCTGCACCAACCTAGAAGCCAACACGGGGCGTAGGAGGGCAGGGCGCATGCACGCAAATGCATGGGGGATGCACACGCATGCACAGGGGGGTGCTCACAATGCATTTTGGGGGTTTGCACACGCCTTGGGCACTCAGCACCAAAAAGGTTCACCATCACTGGTATAGGGTCTCCTGCTTGAGCAGGGGGCTGGACTAGAAGACCTCCAAGGTCCCCCTTCCAATTCTGTTATTTTGTATTCTGTAACCCCTTGAGCTGTCTCCAAAAAGCTAAATACAGACCTTGAGATCACAAGTAGTGTTTAGCAGCAAGTTGGACGGTTTGAGGTCCCTGTGCAATACGTTGGCTGAATGGATGTATTTCAGTCCTCTCAAAATTTGGTAAAGGAAGTAACAAATATGATCGTTGCTGAGATGTTGAGTCTTTAAGAGTTTGTAAAGATCTGTTTCCATGAGATCTTGCACAATGTAGCTGAAAATTGAATTAAGGCATCAAAACCAACACATGTTTTATATCGGATAATGTAATTTGGCCGAGCTTCCGAGATGTTTAAATTACGTGGCCAAGGGGATGCTGCAACGGTCATCAGTGTGGAAAATGGTTCTAAGTCACCTTTTTCAGTACCGTTGTTAACTTCAAACGGTCAAGTAAGCGATGCATATAATAATAACCATTATTTTACTTTAACACAAAGAGGAAAAGAGGACGGCAATGAGAATAGGAGGAGGTAGGGTTTTTAAAAGGATACACGTCTTTCATTTGATCAATAGTTGAAGCCCTAATGATGTCGTTGATCCCAATAATATTTTCATGCTTGAAACGCAACAGGATTTTGATCTCTCTCAGGGTTCTCTGACAGTAAGTCTGGTGTTCAAAAGGGCTGATTTTCTTGATCGCCACCCGAACTCTGTTCAAATTATCATAGGCTGAACTGGGGGGGAAAAAATGTGATAAAATAAACTCAACAATCGACAAAACAAGAGACGTTTTTAAATAATGTAGCAGGATCTCCACCTTGTCTTCCAACCAACGTTTGGTTAAGTTTCAACATTAAAAAGCTTCCTTTGATGCTGACGACCACAAAAATTGCCGAGCACCCGTTTCTCCTCTAAATCTTTGCCCATATTTTGTTCCTTCTCTATATCGTCATATAGCTTTCTTCTCAGCAATATAATAGATAGAAATTGTTGGTCCCAAAAGAAATGTTGCTTAATACAAAGAGTAGGCTCCAGCATTATAGACACTGAGATTGCAAAGTTGTCCACCCATTTCTTTTCACACGATCTTGCCTAATTTCAGAGTCAGTAAGGATTGTAGGGTTGTGTTAAAGGGGTGGGTTGTGGACTAAGGACACAAGAGGGGACGTGGGGTCCTCCAAATCAGGAGACCCCAATACCCATTCACCATTTTTAGGGCAGAGGGGGCTGTTAGGAGGAAGAAGATTCTAACTAATTTGGATGCTATTATCTCCAGCACATGTAACATGAATCAAACGCACCGAAATATTCACTTTAATGTCTGTTGCAAAACTTAAGATAATTTAGACAATGTTGCCTATCTCTGTAAATATACTGCTATTATGGGATACAATGGTAAAGAGATTTTTTTTAAAAAAGTGCTACAATTTTTATTTACAGACCCCTCACATCCTGGACATAAAATGTTTCAACTCCTACCCTCAAAACGACACTATAGAGCCCTGCACACCAGAACAACTAGACACAAAAACAGTTTTTTCCCGAATGCCATCACTCTGCTAAACAAATAATTCCCCCAACACTGTCAAACCAGTTACTAAGTCTGCACTACTATTAATCTTCTCATCGTTCCTATCACCCATCTCCTCTCACTTATGACTGTATGACTGTAACCTTGATGCTGGTATCCTTAAGTTTTATATTGACTGTTTCCTAATGTGATTTGATTGCTTACTTGTTCCCTATGACTATCATTAAGTGTTGTATCTTATGATTCTTGACGAATGTATCTTTTCTTTTACGTACACCGAGAGTGTATGCACCAAGACAAATTCCTTGTGTGTCCAATCACACTTGGCCAAGAAAGAATTCTATTCTATTCTATTCTATTTAGCAAAGGATAGTAATAAACAAGTGGGACTTTTCCTGTGGATCTGGATACATTAATCCAGCCCCCGCTCCCCCCATTTGCCTTCCTTGTTGTTCTGTTGACAATGGCTCATTTTCTGCTCTGGTGGTTTTTCAACACTGACAAGCACCAATATGTAAGCTTATCTGAATCTTGAAAAGTTTAAGGAATGTGTTCTTAGAAAAGGAGCAAGATTATTGCTTTGTCGACCCAGTTCTTGCTGTTGCTTGGCAACCACACTTAATTTAGTTTAAATTTCACTCCAGATTTCAAGCCTAATAATAGATGATTACTGATTCGGTTTTCAACGGAAAGACAACTCCTATAGTCTAACAGAACCATTCCAATAACACAGAAGACAAAAAGGAATTGAAGCAAAATTTGGCTGAGATTCTCGGTCTCTGTTCTTCTTCCCAGCAGGATCATTCAGCAGGAGCTATTCAAACAGGCTAAATGAACTATTTCTAGATAACCATTATACCAATTGTAAATCAGATTGCCTTTTCCTCCTGTATCACCTATTACAGATATAAGTCTGGAGCCAGGCACTTTCTTTGCAAGGATCTTTGTGAGTTTGCAGGCAACCTTCCTGATTAAAGAGGTTAAAAATGCTTTAAGTAAACAAAACAACCGCAGCCAAGAAATTAAAAGACGCTTGCTCCTGGGGAGGAAAGCTATGGCAAATCGAGACAGCATACTAAAAAGCAGAGAGATCACCCTGCCAACAAAAGTGCGGATAGTCAAGGCGATGGTTTTCCCAGTTGCAATGTAGGGCTGTGAAAGTTGGAGCATAAGGAAGGATGAGTGCCAAAGAATGGAGGCCTTTGAACTCTGGTGCTGGAGAAGATTCCTGCAAGTCCCTTGGACTGCAAGGCCATCCAACTGGTCAGGTCTAGAGGAGATCAAACCTGACTGCTCTTTAGAAGGCCAGATCCTGAAGAGGAAACTCAAATCCTTTGGCCACCTAATGAGAAGGAAGGACTCCCTGGAGAAGAGCCGAATGCTGGGAACAATGGAGGGCAAAAGAAGAAGGGGACGGCAGAGAACGAGGTGGCTGGATGGAGTCCCTGAAGCAGTCGGCCTGAGCTTCAATGGACTCCAGAGGATGGTAGAGGACAGGAAGGCCTGGAGGAATGTTGTCCATGGGGTCGCAATGGGTCGGACACGCAACTAACAACAACAAAAACAAAACAACAAAAATTTAACCCTGGAGGAATTCAGGAAGGATTAAACCGAGCCTGATTTTATCCTCCACTTTTACTCTTTAGAGATAAAGAATATTTCCCCATGAAGTTAACCCAATTAAAAGGAAGAGAACTGTCTAGCAACAGATTTATAAGTGATTATCTGGAAGAGAAAACTAATGGAATAAGAAATCCATTATCAAAAGCTAAAGAAAGTTATTAGGAAACAAGAACTTTAGATGTCTATGATGTGTGTGCAAATCAGGTGGATCACACACTGACATGAAATAAAAGGCTGAGAATAATTAATTTTTATATTCCTGACGAAGGGGAAGAGGATAATAATAATTAAACCTGCATGGTGCCCAACTCTTGTTGACTTTGGGTGGGTCATAACAACCAAGCAAAGAAATTAATGTTTCATAACCTTTCTCAAACAGATACTCTCTCCAAACCAGTGTACAGGGATCTGATTCCCAGAATTCCTTGGAAAGGCGGCCAAAGGTATTACCTAGATCAAAGATCGGGGTACAATCTGTTTGACTGGTTTGGAAAGAAATTCATTCTCTTTGTCGCTGAGCAACAAATCACTGGTTTGGCAGTGCACCTGTGTCAAGGAGTGATTCTGCTTTTAAAGGTTCAGGATCACAACCTTCTCGGGATCCCAGGTAAATGGTCATTCTTGCTTCACAATTTATGATTTGCCCATTAACCTGAAAACATTAAGGTCTTCATAGGATATCCCAAAGATTATTTCAATAGCCCTGCGTGAGAGTTGGTCAATGCATCTGCGGAGTGCCCTATTTCAGGAAGACCGCACTAGGAATTGGAAGAATTCCCACTGGAAAGTTTTAATTCTTCATTAAAGAATGGATCCCATAGGGCAAATCAGAATTTTAAGGCTATGGTGACTATTTGAGAGAGATGGGGTTTCTGTCTTCCAGGCTACTGAAAAGTTTAAAAGAACGTATTTTTATCCTTTTCACCTAACTAGGAAATAGGGTAGCCTGTGAGAAGCGCTCGTCATCAACTTTATTCTTAGAAAGAGAGAAGAACAAAACAAAAACAAACTCAGAGCATAAACTGAGAGCAGAGGTGGAGCAAATATAGGTTTTGGCAGAAAGAAGACAAAGAAACGACTATTATTAGAGCGAGCAGAGACCAGACGGTGTCTGGAATGTAACAGAGGATAAAGGGACACAAGCGGGCAGCTTCAATCACATTTCTTTCAAAGAAATTCAGAAGCTCGGGAATCTCAGCCTTTGCAAATAGAAGGGATGAGCAGTACAGGCAGTCCTCGATTTACGACCACACTTGAGCCCAACATTTCTGTTGTCAAGCGAGGCATTTGTTAAGGGAGCTTTGCCCCATTTTACGACCTTTCTTGCCACCGTTGTTAAGTGAATCACTGTATTTATGTTAGTAACCCGGTTGTTAAGTGAATCTGGCTTCCCCCTTGACTTTCCTGGTGAGAAGGTTGCAAAGGGAGATCATATGACCTTGGGACACAGCAACGGTCGTAAGTATGAACCAGTTGCCAAGCATCTTAATTTTGATCACATGATCGTGGGGAGGCTAAAGGTTGTAACTGTGAAAAACAGCCATAAGTCACTTTTTTCAACACCGTTGTTAGCTTTGAACCGTCACTAAATGAACTGCTGTTAAGTCGAGGACTACCTGTAATCGTGATTTCCTGAATCCAGAGCCAAAGAAAGGGATGAGTTAAAGACAGAAGTCTTGATACTACTGTATTATTTCAGTGGCCATGCTTAAAAGCATTAATGTTTGAAAATCCAACTGATTGTTCTCAAGACTGCAGACTTCCTCTTCACTCTTCCTGCAGGTAGGAACCTATAGAAGCACTTACCTTTCTTTAAAAAAAAAGCCAGAATTACACCTGCCATTTCCTTCTTTAAATGAAGCAGGTAGCAGCCAACTTCAAATTCTAGTTTCGCATTATATCTTGCTGGTCAAGGGATAAGGTGAGATCTGTGTTCCGAAGCAACATTAAGCTTTTTCAATCCTAAAAGATTCAGTGTTACCCACTTGAGAGAAAAAAAAAATTAAAATCCCAAGATAAGCTTGAAAAAAATCAGATAGAGAACGCTGGCACGGTCGTTGGTGAATGTTAGGCCAGGATTCTGAAGAATTATGGCTTGGTATTTTCTGCAAGACAATCCAGAGAAGGCAGTTTCCTATGTTCCTAAGTTACAAGCCCCGAAGCGTAGGCAGAAGTGACAGGAGAAATAACATATTAAAGATGACTGCAGAATCAGTACACTGCACCTCGAAAAAACAGACATCGAAGGAAGGAATGAAATGGTGACCAGGCTACAAAAAAAGGACTACAAGAAGACAGAATTTTGTAGAAGGGATTCTAGGAAAGTCATTAGGGTTGAATATCAGAATATGGTTTGCCGAAGTATATTTTTTAAAAAATCTGTCCCAGAGAAAACTGGAAGAAGATGGTTCAAAAAGGTGAACGCGAATGCTGAATCACCAAGGCACAAGAATGGAAAGTAAGTCAGAGAGAGAGAAAGAAAGGGAGAAAGCCACAAGAGGTCTAGAATGAAAGTTGAATCTGGCAATGTGCCAGTAACTACGCAGAAAAAAAAAATACAGATTAAAGTTTCAGCAGTGGGAAAAGATAACCACCCAAGGCTGAGCTTTGCCAGGGAACTCTGCTATCAGTCAGGTAAGATTGTAAAGACTGCCCAAAGGGAAAGGAAAAATCATCAAAGGCTGCGTTTTCTTCCTATTAAGCCACCATTCGCTTAACCACAACTTATTATTAAACCACAAATGATTGGGTTTGCACAACATGCTAAGAAGAAGAAGAAAAAAAACCTTTTGGCTTTGCAATGTTAGATGAATCTAGCCATCGTAAAAGAAGGAAACTGTGTGTTGAAGAAAGAAATTATAGAGAAAACCAGAGGATAAATTTAGTATCCAAACCAGCAGTGTTTTCCAGCTTTAGTGAAATCTTTTTGGTCTGCCTGGACTAGCATGTTCATTTGACATTGAAATGGACATACAAACCTGGATAGGGATCTGGGTAAGAGAAACCTTTGGTCACTGTTTTTAGTGGCAACCTCACTAGTGCGAGGTCTCAGATGTGAGTCTAGCAAAGATGTTCAACATTCTGAACACTTTTTCATGGAACGGAAGCATTAATAACTTGACTCCGAATCAGGATGTTCACATGCTTATAATCTGCTGAAAAGTATATAAACCACGGCTGTCTTAAATTCTCACTAATCTGCATGCACAGAACTTTTCTTAAATTCCTGTCTTAGCATCAGCTAACAGTCGCAGCTGACTGCCACATACCTATACTTCAGGTTTTAAACTAAATCTCAGAGTTTTCACAGAAATAAAGTACAATACCTATAACACACAGAATTGTTTGTATAATAGAATCACGATTCTTTCAGTTAACTATTATTAATGCTGAATTTTCTTCAACATTTCTGTTACCTGATTTGAAATTTTAGTAAGACAAATCTATCCATGGGTTAGTCAAGTAGTCAAACAGCTGTTAAGTATAAAGACGTTAGAATTTTAAAAATGAATTACCGTCTAGCTCATTATGCTGGATCGGAAAAAGGCAATTCCCCAGTGGAAGATCTGAGCACTTATGCCAGCTTGCATTGATTTAAAAAAAAAAAAGTTAAGAGCTGAGCAGTCTTTTTCAAGAGGAAAACAATTAACTAAAAAGACCTTAATGTAAAGTAGGCTCTGCATATGCTATGAACAGAACACTTTCCTGCCTACCCCTCTGAACTGATATTGGTGTAATAGATCCTGCACCATGTGACGGCAGGCACTTGATTGACAGGCATTAAATTCTGACTTCAGACTGGCTAGTCCATACAACACAGGAGACCCCAACAGAGGAACAGAGCCTTGTTGAATGTCAGCTGAAAAGGAGCAGCACCAGCTGTGTTAAGCACAAAGCCTTCACAACACAAACCTGTAATATATCACTTGCCCCCTCGCTGGCTCTGGTAACTAGAAAAGGCTCTGTTCCCTGCTCTCGCAGCTTCCTGTACCCAAATTTTTAAAATTATATAAGACCCAACAAGCTATCCGTCAAAGCCCCCTACAAAAAAAATTGGCCGTTTTTCGTATTTGGCCTAGTCTCCTACTGTAATTCAAACAATATACAATACATTTTCATTCAAACCCAACTGAAGATACTATCTGATTTCATCAAGCGCAGGCATGGCAAACAGCGATTTAAGGAAGAGACAAAAAATGATACCCCATGAGCAACAAACAGTAAAATAGACTTAAGAATAGCTGAGCTCTGGGTCTTTGCTCCCACACACCCCTTAGCTTAGTATGTAGTGAAGGATCAGATGTTCTTCTGGTATCTTCCTGGACACCCCAGAAAATTCACACATGAAGTGTATTAAATAATACCTGGCATACATTTACATATGTAACACAGGCACCCTTATACAGACACAGACTGTACGCAGTTTCACCTTTGCTATGAACAGTATGGTTAATAATTAATATCTGACATTAAATATCATATTTAGATTGTATAGACGGCAACAGCATAAAGTGGTTTGCTGAAACTATAGCAGGCAAAGAAACTTGGGCATGTGGGTGTTTTATTAAGTAATCCGGTAGAGGAGATAATAACTTAGATCTTTGTAGCTGCTATAATACCAATAATAGGCATTATATTTTATTTGTGGCAGCAAAGTCTCATTAAATTTTGGGAAAATATGCATAGGATCAAAATGAGAATTTGAAATATATGCGTCCCGAGGCAAGACTCACTATTTTAGGTTTCGATTGCCTAAAAAAAATGCTTCCCCAAGGAATTTGGCACAATTAAAATATAAGGCATAAAATGTATTCCCGGTACATAAACGGCATAATGAAATGTCAGATATCGATTCCTTTGGAAAATAATGGGAACTCGGGAGAGAAATCAGAAGAAATGACTGCTTTAAATAAATAAATCACTGATATACATCAATGCACACCTATTTTGACTGCTTTACATAATATTATGAGGCACCCTGAATGCCTCATTGAGGGAGAATAGGCAAAACAAATGCGTTGTTTTTTTTTAATAGACAAAGCTGCAATCTTAAGGATATTTTAACCAGGAGTTAACAAGTTTGAACCTGGTTGGTTTCATTCCCAAATAAAAATGCCCAAAATTGCTCTGCAGTCTCCAAGCTTTTGACTTCAACCTTAATAGATTTTAAATGCAATCTAGGCACCCAACTACATTTGCATTTGATGTATGTAGAGTGTCTTGGCTAGCCAAGAACAGAACATTAGCCTGATGTGACAGTGAATGTGTTGACTTTTGAATAGGGAGACCCTGTTGCACACTCAGCCATGAAAACTGTTGGGGTGACTCGGGGCCAGATGTTTTCTTTCTTTCTCGGCCCAGCTCACTGGGTGATTGCAGAGGGGGGGAGCTGGGTCTAGGCTGCCTTTTGCTTCTGTGGGAGATACAGAAAACAGAAACCCACAAACAGGCGACAGGTTTGCAATTAAAAAAGGCTGCGGCAACCACAACTCGAGTTTGTCAGGATGGGTCACAGCCCCAAAGAAGCTGGGATCCTATGAAGATGGTGTGGGCTGCTGTTGCCCTTGTCACTTAAAATATGAAAGTGGAGCAGCAGATCTAGAAAATCCTGGTGGCCTTCAGACTCCATTCTCATCATCTACCACCACCATGGGAAGGCCCTTCGAGTCCGTGGGCAGCGATGGGAGTTGTGGTCCAACCTGGCTAAAAGGTAGCAGTCAAGGCCCCAATCCTCTCTCCAAGGATGGACCACCATCCTCATCATCCACTGCCAGTACTGGAAGGTTCTCTGCTCTCTGGAGCAATTGATGGGAGCTGAGGTCCAATCCATCTGGAAGGCAGCACTCTTGGCCTCCAATCTCTCAATTTGAATCCCCATCCCCATCATCCACTGACAATATAAGAAGGAGCTCTGGTCCTTGGGGTAGTGATGGTTCTTGTGGTCTGACTTGTCTGCAAGGCAGTATGCATGCACAGCCCCCAATCTAGAGCAATGAGGCTAGGATAGCAATGGGAATTGTGATCCAATCTATCTGGAAGGCAGAACACAGGGCTCTCCAGCCTTCCCCTCCTGGACCCCCATCCCCATCATCCATCACTAAGACAGAAAGGCTCTCGGGTCCATGGGTCAGCAATGGGGGCTATGCTCCCACCTGTCTGGAAGGCAATGCACCGTCCAACCTCAACCTACAGCCCCATCATCCACTGCTACGTAGCATGAGAAGGCTGGGAAAGCGAGGGGAATTGTGGTCCAATGTGTCTGGAAGGAGGAGTGCTCTCCAGTCCCTGTCTGGCAAGCAACGCACCCAGCCCCCCCTCCCCCGATTCCCATCATCCACTATCAGCTTGAGAAGGCTGGGAGTTGTGATCCAATATGTCTGGAACATAGGGCTCCCCACCCTTCCTCTGCTGGACCATCCTCATCATCCACTATGAAGACCAACAGGTCTGAAAAGCAATGCACCCATGCTCTTCCTAGATACTCATCATCCACTACCAGATGGGGGAAGGCTGAGGCAACGATGGGAATCATGGTCCAACCTGTATGGTTGGCTCCACACCTCCCCCCCCCCCGGCCTGGACCATCATCCCCATCATCCCCCACCAGGACAGAAAACCACTTGCAGTCCCTGTCTGCAAAGCAACGCACCCAGCCTCCACCTAGATACCCATCATCCCCTACCAGATGGGGGAAGGCTGGGACAGCGCTGGGAGTCATGGTCCAACCTGTCTGGACGGCTCCCCCTCTCTTCCCCTGTCTGGACCACCCTCTCCATCATCCACCACTACGACCCGAAAAGTCTGGAAAGCAATGCGCCCAGGCTCCTCCTAGATACCCATCATCCACTACCAGATGGGACAAGGCTGGGAGTCATGGTCCAACCTATCTGGATGGCTCCCCATCTCCTTCCCCCACCCCCCACCCGCCTGGACCACCATCCCCATCATCCACCCCCAGTTGATGGGAGCAGTGGTCCCACCTGTCTGCAGTGCGCCCCGCCTGCAGCCGGACTCCCACCCCCATCATCCCCACCCCCCACCCCCCGCCTTCCTTACCAGACCATCCCGTAAGCCCCTTCCCCGATATAGGAGAGGTTGGTGTAGCGAGGCCCCACGTCGAAGACTTGCCCGCGCACCATCTCCGGGACCCCGGCAGGGCTCCCACAGCTGCCCGCGGCGGCCCCCGACACCGCCGCCATGTTGGTATCCGTGAGGGGAGGCGAGGCTGAGGGGAAAGGGGCGCCGACCGGCCGGCGGGCGGGGAGAAAAGGAGGCGGGAAGCCCACCCTTCGCCTTTCCGGGGCTCGCTCCGGCCAGACGAAGCGAAGGAGGAAAGGCTGCCAAGGGAAAGGCGACGCAGAGACGCCCCCAGCCCCCGCCAAAAAAAAAACACGGCCGACGCGCAACCCCGCCAACCGCCCTCTGAGAGAAGCTTCTGAGGGAAAACGGGGCGGGGCTGGAAACTTGACGAACCGCGCACGCGCACTCGCCGGGAGGGGTGGGTTGGGAGAGCGGGCCGGGCTCGCGCTCTGCGATTGGTTGGGCTGAGGATGGGGGGGGGGGAGAGAGAGAGAGAGAGAGAGAGGGGGGGCGCGCGCGCGCGCGGGGAGGGAGGGGCTTAGAGGATTGGATGAAGGCGGGGTTTGGGGGAGGGTGTGGAGAGGGTGCCGCAGCCCGAGGGGCGTGGCCTAGGGGAAAAGCGGCGGAGGACGTGGAACGAAGGGGGGCGTGGCCACGGAGGCGGGGTTTTGCAGAAGGAAAAGGTGGGGGGGAGGAGGAGGAGGAGAATCTGTAAATCACGTGGTTTCCCTTTTATTTTATTTTATTTTTTCCCCTTGCCATTCGTGATTTGCAATTTTATTTCTTATTTCTACCTCCGAAATTGCATTGGCCTCCCACGAATGAGTTTGCTTTTCTGGAAATGTGGTGCTGCTCTGAGAAAGAGGGAGATCCAGATGTGCATTTTCGAAGCACCCTAAGAGGGTGAGATTTCTGCAGAGTTGAGGAAGAATAATTTTTCGGTTTAAGAATTTTTTTTTTTTAAAAAAAAAGGCTAGCCCCTGCTCCGAGCAATGCATTAATAAATAAATCGATATCTTTTTTTATATATATTTAACATTTATTAAATGTTTATGCTGCCTCTCTTCGTTTTCTTGCAGACGTTTCATTACCCAAATTAAGTAACATCATCAGTGCTAAGAGAATGGAATTGGGGGGGGAGGAGGAGGAGGAGGAGAAGAAGAAAAGAGGAGGAGGAGGAGGAAGGAGGGGAAAGGAGAGGAGAGGAGGAGAGGGGAGAGGGAAGGAGAGGAGGAGGAAGGAAAAGGAGAAGGAAGAGGAGGAGAAGAAGAGGAAGAGGAGGAAGGGAAGGAGGAGGAGGAGGAGAAGAAAAGAAGAAGACTGTGGGGTCCTTGGTGCTCTCTAGGTTGTTTTCTTGCAGACCCAAATTAAGTAACATCATCAGTGCTAAAAGAGAGGGGAATTTGGGGGGGGAGGAGGAGAGGGAAGGGGAGGAGGCGAAGGAGGGAGGAGAAGAAGGAAGAGGAGAAGAAGAGGAAGGGGAAAGGAAGGAGGAGGAGAAGGGGGAAGAAGAAGGAAGAGAAGGGGGAAAGAGGAAGGAGAAGGAAGAGGAGAAGAAGAGGAGGAAGGGGAAAGGAAGGAGGAGAAGGGGAGGAGGAGGAAGAAGAAGGAAGAGGAGAAGGGGAAGAGGAAGAAGGAGGAGGAGGAGAAGAAGAGGAGGAAGGGGAGGAGGAAGGGGAGGAGGAGGAGAAGAAGAAGAAAAGAAGAAGAAGACTGTGGGGTCCTTGGTGCTCTCTAAGTTGTTTTCTTGCAATGCAGACGTTTCATTACCCAAAGTAGCTACACCATCAGTGTTAGTTCAAGATATATATATATGAACCAATTCCAAACCTTAAACAGGAATCACTATTTCACAGGTTTGTTTTTAAAGTCTCCTTCTATAATCTTAAAATTGGATCTTATGATTCTTGGCGAATAATTTTATTTTTTTTCTTTTATGTACACCGAGAGCTTATGCACCGAAAACAAATTCCTTGTGTGTCCAATCACACTTGGCCAATCAAGAATTCTACTCTACTATAAAATCTACGGTAAGGCAGTTTAAGAGAAAAAAAAAAAAAACCCCACACATTTAGTTCTTTTTGACTTGCTAATTTTGGGTTGCCCAGCACCTCATTTCCAGATATTTTAATGTAGGATCTGTAACTCCTTTCGCTTCTTCCAGATTCCCTGAAGAGGCGACCCGGATTGCTCCCCAACTTTTTCATTGCACTGCCATCCAACGTGAGCTATACAGTGCAGAATTTAAAATCGAGATGGATTTAAATACCCGCAACTGTGCCAAACACCTGTTTCTTTTATGACAGCTTTCTGCGCCACATGGAGGAACACGGTGAAACCGTTTCTTCTCCATGTTCCCCCTGTTAAAAAAAAATAAATATATATATATTTTTTTTAATTGCTCAGGAACACCAGAGAAACCGCAGATGACAATGCGGCTTGCAACAAAAATATTTTTCCATCTCCTTCTTTACATAATCACAATTTTTCACAAGGAGAGGGAAGAACAGATGGCCGATGACTTCGTATGTTATTAAAGCACGTGTACCCCGTTAGGTGTGATTGGAGTTCGACGCATGGGCCATAATTAATGTAGGATGCGGTTAAAATGCTTGGATTATGTTCTGTCCGCACCGCAAGATTTGTTTTTGTTTTTTGTTTTTAAATGAAAGTGCGAGATTTTTGCATCTTTTCTTGGCTTAAACCTGAATCCTAAAAACTAGCCCCATTCTAAAAGATGCTCAGAGTAGGAATTAATTAAGTAAAGGTAAAGGTTCCGCATCCAGTGGTGAAATCTAATTTTTTTTACTACCTGTTCTGTGGGTGTGGCTTGGTGGGCATGGTGTGGCTTGGTGGGTGTGGCAGGGGAAGGATACTGCAAAATCCCCATTCCCACCCCACTCTGGGGCCAGCCAGAGTTGGTATTTGCAGGTCCTCCAAACTAATCAAAATTTCCACTACCAGTTCTCCGAACTGCTCAAAATTTCCACTACCAGTGGAACCTGTCAGAACCTGCTGGATTTCACCCCTGTTCCCCTCGCACATACGTGCTACTCGTTCCAGACTCTAGGGGGCGGTGCTCATCTCCGTTTCAAAGCCAAAGAGCCAGCGCTCTTAGCTTAGCAACTGACATTCTGGTCCCAGTTGTTATAAACCAAGGAGTAAACCTGTAGTAGTTTACAGCAAGGAAAGGTCCACCCAGATTCTACTGCTGGCAATCGCTATATAGGGAGGGTATACTTTTCTGCCATTTTTAATAGAGAATCGGTGAGTATGCATATACCTGATGTAAATAGAATTTACCTAAAGGAAAAGGTAAAGGTTCCCCTTGCACATATGTGCTAGTCGTGAATAAAGGGTTCAAAACATTGCTAGGTTTTATTGCACGAGGGAATCTTTAAGAAGAATAAAAATGTTTCGGAGCTACAGCTACGCTTCAGCTGTATTAAGCGGCCAGGCTCCCGAGACTTGCAAGAATAATATTGATTTTGCTTCTGCATGGCTATTACAGCAGACTGAACATTTCCACACGAAGCTAGGAAAGAGATTAAGACACTGTCTAAGGCCGTGATGGTGAACCCATGGCACGCGTGGCACCGGTGGCACCGAGCCCTCTCTGCGGGCACATGAGCCGTCGCCCAGCTGATTTTCAGGTCTCTGCCACGCATGTTCAGGGGGGCAGGGGGCATGCGGGAGACGCACATGCTGGCCGAGGGTTGGGGGGGGTGTCGCGGGCGCAGGCCTGGGGGTGGGGGGTCATGTGGGGGCGGGGTGCCCCCCCACGGCCCATCTTATCAGTTTTCTAATTTATTTATTTTATTAGATTTCTATACCGCCCTACTCCCGAAGGACTCAGGGCGGTGCACAGCCATTTTGGTCCTAGGAGGCCTCCCTAAAGCCTCCTGGGACCAAAAACGGGCCACGGGGGGGGTGGTTGCCGCACCCCACCCACCCATGGCCCATTTTTGGTCCCAGGAGGCTGCAGGGAGGCCTTCTAGGCCCAAAACAGGGCAAGGGGGGTCACACGCGCATGCGTGGGGGGAAGCGTGGGGGGGTCGCGCGTGGAGGGGCGGGGGCACGAGCGCATGCGTGGGGGGCGGGACCCAGGGGTCATGCACGCATTGCATTATTCGGCACACAATGACAAAAAGGTTAGCCATCCCTGGTCTAAGGCAAGGATGGGGAATCAACAGTCTTGTCAGCTGGCAGATCTAATTGGAGCGATGGATCTGAGATCCATACCTGGGGAATGGTATGCAACTGTTGGGGATCTACGATCTCGCGATCCTTCCTCCCCCTAGGATCTGAAATAAAGAGATATTGGGGGCTGGGAAGAGATTAGTTTTCTCCCATTGCGGGCAAGATGTTACATGGCAAAGAGGAGAAACCGCGTTTTGGGAAGGGTAGACCCTCAAAATACAAAGTATTTTGGGAAACACAAAGCTATCCATTCCTTTCTATCCCTTTTATGTTGTAGGCCGCCCAGAGAGGTTGGATACGAGATGGGTGGCAAATAAATTTCATAATAAATAAATAAATAAACTCAGTAGGTTAGTGAGTGTTGGGCGAGAGGGAATTGGATGTCTTCTCTTTCCCCTTTGGAGGTGCCAGGAGGAATTGGTTGCCGAAAGGAGATAGAAGCAAAATAGGAAGATAATTCTGTTTTTAGCTGCTGTTGACTCTCTCTCCATTCTGCCTCTTCATTTCTTCTTTCTCTCCCCTCTCTTCCTCTCTTCTGTCCCTTCCTCATCTTCTTTTCTCTTCCTGCCTCTTCCCCTCTCCATCTCTTCCTGTCTCCATCTTTCTCTCCTCTCTTCCTGTCTTTCTCATATCTTCCTCTCTTCTGTTCCTTCCTCATCCTTTTCTCTTCCTGCCTCTTCCCCTCACCTCTTCCCCTCTCCAACTCTTCCTGTCAGTTCTTGTCTCTTCCTCTCCATCTTCCTCTCTTCCTGTCTTTCTCGTATCTTCCTCTCTTCTGTTCCTCCTTCTCATCCTCTTTTCTCTTCCTGCCTCTTCCCCTCCCCATCTCTTCCTCATTCTTTTCCTCTTCTTTTCCTCTCCATCTCTCTCTTCCTGTCTTTCTCATATCTTCCTCTTCTCATCCTCTTTTCTCTTCCTGCTTTTCCCTTACCTCTCTTCCCCTCCCCATCTCTTCCTCTCAGTTCTCGTCTCTTCCTCTCTTCTCTTTTCCTCTTTCCATCTCTTTTCCTCCTCTCTTCCTCTCATCTTTTCCTTTCTTCTGTGACTGTCCCTTCTTCTCATCCTCTTTTCCCCTCTCCATCTCTTCCTGTCAGTTCTCGTCTCTTCCTCTCTTCTTTTCCTCCATCTTTCTCTCCTCTCTTCCTGTCTTTC